ACACCGAGGGAAGGAAATCCCAGTCGTCTTCTCTCTTCCTCGATTAAAATTCAGAAAAATAAGAAAACTAAGGAAAAAGGGGCCCGACGAGATTCCAAGAGACGCCCGAAACACGAGGAAAGGAAAGTCCCCTTGCTATCTCCATAGATTAGAGGCGGAAAATTATTAGAAAAAAAAAAAAGGGAAAAAAAAGGAAAGAGAAGAAAATAAAGAAGGGGCCTCACGATCCCTGGCACACTTCGAAGATCCCGGGGACGTTCCCGAGGATTCCGGGAATTAGGACCAGGACTACGAGGCAGGAGATAGGGAGAGATAGGGGAGAAGGACGACCCTCGACGAGCGCCAGCTGTTCCCGGGCATTACAGGGCGAGGGAGAGAGAGCGAGAGAGAGACGCGGCTCGGTCTTTATGCCCGACCTGGCCGCCATATTTACCGCGGCGTACCGCTCGCCTTTACGAGCTTGCCCTCTCCTCTCTCCTACAGGTATCCCGGATTTTACGGTTCTCTGGTGGCGTTCCGTCGGTTCCCTCGATTCCCCTTGTTCCCGGTTCCCTGGCCCGGGGTCCCGATCGGTCGAGTCCCAACATAGGGGCCCGTCTTCCGGGAGCGACGCCGACGACCTCGCTCGAAACCGCGATGACGCCGGCCGCACCTGCCGACGTGTTCCCCTCTCTTTCCCCCCGTTCCCGGTTTCCACGAGTATGCCCGTACGACCGGGGCCCCTCCACACACACATCGGGCCCACACATTGGGCCCAATGGCGACAGTCTCGTCGTCGAGCGCCGGGTCTACCCACGTCCCAAAATCGAGCGGCCCGACCGGGACATTTTCCCTCCACGGCGGAAACAACGCGGAATCTCGGAAAATGCCAGAGGGAAAAGTTGTCCCTAACATCGCTACGGAGAAGTCCTGTAGGGGGGTGTTTCCTCGTGGAAGGCCTGGGCGAGCCGCAAATCGCCGGGAAACGGAGACGCCTCCCGGGTGGTCGAACGATCGAACTCGAGAGGGAAAAGTGCGAGTTTCCGGGCGAACGGCGTGAGACCGGAAAAATCGGCCAGGACGAAAAGGGCTCGTCTCGAGCCGCTGGACAACTTTTCCCGTTAGCGTTTTCCGATATCTCGCAGCGGTTGGCCGGAACTCGGCGCTAATGAAGCGCGGCTTCGTCGCGGGGCTCCCCTCTCCATTAGAGGGAGTCGATTGATTCCGCGCCGCCGCCGGAGGAGAGGTTATGATAAGGAGGCGAAGGAAGAAAAAAGGGCCGTCGAGAAGCCGGTCGATCGGACAATGCCCGAGTCATGGCCAAACTGGCCCAATTGAAATTCAATGGACGGTCCTGGTGACGAGGAGACGATTCCGCGCGAAATTTCTCGCCAACATTTGTCGCGTCCCGGCGAGGCGATTCGTCATTCACCGATCGGCTTAAAAATGAAGAAAAAAGAAACAAAGGAAATTCCCCGCGTCGACATCATCTCCTCGATCCCTTATCAGAGCCAAGTTCGCCATCGTTCGTCCTGCAAGAGGCAAAATGAAAAATACGCGGAAAAAAAAAATAAAGAAGAAGATTTCATTCGCTCTCACCGCGGTGCAATAAAAAAGGGGAAAAAAAAGAAGAAACATCGTAGGAAGGGAGGAAATGCAAAACGCACACCCCGTCAACGGGACGCCCCGTGCACTTGGATTAATCGCGAAGGAGCGAGGAAAAGAGGAAAAAACATGGGGGAAAAAAAAAGAAGAATCCCTCACTCGGATGGATTAAAGCGATAAATCAACCCTCGACCGGTAGATTCGCGGGCGCATAATGGAGACACCGCGACGGGCGGCGTAACGAGGGACGTTATCCACCGGCGTCTATTTTTCCTCCCGCATTTTCCTCCCGGGGAGGGACAGGATAGGAGCGAGAAAACCCCGCAGTCGATAAGTTTCCCCCCGGTTTCCCGGTTTCCGCCCCATTTTTCAGGTCGCGCGCCGCGCGTCATCGGGCGCGAGGGCCATTTCTCGAGGTATTTTCCAGCGCGTCCACCGAGGTCGAAGGTCCGAGGTTAAGGGGGGAGGAGAGACCAGGAAAAATGGGATTTTATATCCTACTCGTACGCACATATATATAAGTACATATATAAAGATAGATGGAATAGATACACGGAGAAAACGTTTCCGTCGAACCGATGAAAAATCTTCCTCGATTCCAAGGATAATTATATCGCTCCAATAAATAGGACGCAACGTTTCCTAGGATGACCCTTTGTTCCAGTTTGAGTGGAATTAATTATTCCTCGAGTTAACGGGACGTTTCTGCGGTTCAATGGCAATTCCTCTCGGTGCAGAGACAATTAGGTAAGGAAATACTCGATCGCGGTCTTTTGTAAGGGCTTTGAGGTCGAAATTCCACCGCTCCTTCGGGCGCCTTCGGTCGCCTTCGGCTACCTCCGGGTACTATCATCCACCGTCAGCCGCCCTCGGCCACCCTCGGCCCCTTCCGGCCTCTTCCGGCATCCTTCGGTCCGAAGGGCGGCCCGCGGACGGGAGGAAGGGGGGTAAAAAAAGGTCCCGGGGGAAAACTGGTTTCTCGCGGGGCGCTCGCGGAGAGAACTCGTTCCGCGATAATGGATCGCGCGAGCCGGGAACTCGTATCGGCCCCGGCTGCGAGCCGGCCCCTCCGCGGAGAGTGCCAACTTTCGCGATCAAAACACGCGAGAGGAGCACCCGGGGCCCGAAAGTCGAACGGTCGGGGCTCAAGAGGAACGACGCGATTTAGTGCCTCGAGTGGACGAGAGAGAAAAAAAAAGGAAGGAAACGGGAAAGAAAGGAAAGGAGTACCGGCAAATGGCCAACCGCCGCTACCGAACGAGGAAAAGACTGTATCCAAAAAATGACAAACAATGCAAATGATAACGAATAACCAAGAACAAAAAAAAATTATAGAAAAGTCGCAGAAATCAGCGTCTTTGCCAGATACAAAAAAAAAGGGGGGTGGATCGCTCTTTCTCGGGGAAAGGGGGAAAAATCGCAGAAATCTGTGTTACCAGATCGCGCATCCGTTTTAGTGTATTTGGCGCGAGACTGCACCGAGTTTCCCGATAGTGGAGGATAAAAAATGGAGTACCTCAGAAGGGCTCAGAGCGAGAGAACGTCCGTAGGGGTTATCTTTCCGACGAGGAGTAGGAGGCCTGCTCCGAAATTCCCTCCCCGGCGGCGGGCAGCGCGACGAGAGGCGCCCGGAGCGTCTCGACTCCATCGAGGGAGTTTGTTGACTCGGTGCACCGGCTCCGCGTGCCCGGCGCGCGCGGTGCCGAGCGGGGCCGAAGGAGCGCGAGTGCCGCCGAGGGAGCGCGAGGGCGGCCGAAGGCCCCCGAAGGTCCCCGAATGCCCCCGAAGGCCCGCGCCTCTGGGACGCCGAGGCCGCGGGCCTCTCGTCGCGAGGAATTATCGGGAACCTGTCCCTCGCCTTTCCGTAGAATAATTCGGCCTTATCGCGATTCGTAGCCCGATAAAAAGGGGACATCCAAGGGGGATTAATCGTGGAGTACCGTCATCGCCGAGGAATCAGTCCCTCGGTACGCCCTCGATCTACATTCCCCTCCTTGGGCTCGAATTTATCCTCCACGTGGCGCGCCCTTTCCCTCCGCGGGCCTCGCCCCGTATTTTTTCCGAGAAACCGGGGAAGGGCAAAAACGCCGAACGCGCGAATGTATAAACATTTCCTCGGGCCGAGGATTAATTCGTCCTTGGACGTACCAGGGAGTGAGAGCAAGTGCCGGCTGGAAACAACGGGGATACGCATTCCCCGGGACGAAGAAGGGAAAGAAAAAAATAGCATATACATCTTAGCTCGGTTTTATGAAACCCAAAAGACACGGTACGAAAACATAAAACCGCGACCGCGTTTCTCCGAAATTTCTGGACCGTTGGTAAAACTTAAGGAATGACGCAACCGTGACGAGCCTGCTCGAAATTCGATCTCCGCGTTTGTAAACATTTTTCGGTATGATTAACCACCGGCGAAAGTGCGCCTCATGATCTTCGTTTTAAAAATGAAAAATAAGGAAACAAGGCATAATAGTACGGAGACCTCGCCTCGAAAGTCCACCCCTTCAGTCGCTAATTTTTTAACACAATTAATCGCTCCAAAAGCGCGGCTCAAAAATTTCACCTTGTACTAGAAAATTTCAAAATGCACTCCGGTGGATTAAAACGGTATTAAAATCGGGAACAGGTGACGAATCGTTCCGGACCTCTCACATTTAAAATGAAAAGGATGCAAAGAAATACGGAGAGGAATTCGCATCCGGAGCGGGGAGAAAAGAACGCGAGGTTAAACGGGAAAGCAGCGGAAATTTACCCGTTTTTCGATGAGACCCTTTGCGCGGAAATCGTTCTTAGAAAGTTCCCGAAGGGAATTAACTCGTCGGTTTTCGATTCCCATTGCGGAAATCGTCGGAAACCAAGAATTCCAGATTCACCGGCCTCGCCGAGTGGGTCCAAGGAGAAGGCATAAATTTCCTTCTTTCTCGCGCTATACTCCGTGCCCGGTATATATCCGCGTTCCTCGAGGACCCGAGGCCACCAACAATGGCCCCAAATTACGGGAGAGAAGAAAAAAGGAACCCCCGAAAAAAGGCCGCAACGGGGAGGTAAATTATACCCAGGGGTAGAGAAAGAGAGAGTTTCCCGGGACGCGGTAACCTCGAAAAGCCGGGATTTAATCCGCGAATCTAAGGAGAGGACGGTGGGAAAAAAGGGCGACCCGTGCACCGGAAAATCCGGGATTTTCGGGCGAAGGGGGATTCGCAGGGCCTTTTCCGCTGGCATGGAGATTCTTTCAAAATTCCCACGCGTTTTGGTCCCAAGATCGATGGGTTAGGCCCACGGGTCTCGGAGATAAGGCCCTCGAAAAATGCGAGGCGGACGTCGCGGAAGGACGCGCGACTGTTGCCGAGCGTCTCTCCGCCAATCGGGGCGCGCGTGGAGAGACGCGCTCGCGTTCCTTAACCTACTCGGCTTACCGAGCACTCGTGCCGATGCGGTGGCGGCCGTCCGGCGCTCTGTTCAGGTAATCCAATGTCGGAGCAGGTAAAACAATGTCGGCGGCCCTGGGACCGGCGAGGTCCGTGTACACTCCCGAGACAAAACTACGCGAACTCCCGGGAAAAAGTGTCTGCGAGCAGACGTCGCGCGGATACGAAAAGCCCAGCGGGACCACGATGCGTCGCCCTCGAGCGCCGGACCGAAACTAGCGCCCGCAGCCGCGCGAGGCGGCCACCGCGAGAACCTGCGCGCAGCCTATGCGCACCGAGCGCCGCTCATCCCCTCCACTGCTCCGGGCTTTGGATCCTCCTCGATCGGGATTATTCATCGATTTCTACGAATCTGGCAGAATATACCTTAATATGCTTAGATAAGTCTAAACATAGATATATAATATTCCACATCAGGCATTTAATGGACAAAAGTCGTTTCTAGGGTTTCGAGTCGAAGCGCGCGCCACTTTCACCGTGGATCCTTTCCGCTCGAGCGCTCCATCGGAAAGTCCCGCGTCGGATTGGCCGGACTCTTTTCCCCAGCGGAAATCAATCGACTGAATATTCCATCAATATGTCCACTCGCCTCCGAAATTGGGCAATGAAAGAAAGGCCGTTTGATTTGTTGCCGGCGGAATTTACGGGGGATTTTCGATCTTTTCCATTAGACCGGCCGCGAATTATTCGGCGAATTTAACCCGGGGCTCATTGCGCCGTGGAAATAATTCATCGGACATTTCTTTCCCGTTAATGTCTCGTTTCGATATCGATTCGATAACGGTCTCGGTTACATATTTTACATATTCGGCATAGTTTATTGCTCCGCTCCTTTCGAGGTCTTTTTCCACATTTCCCCTTTCCCCCGGGGCTCCTTCCATTCGCAGATCGGTCGTCGATCTGGGGATTACTTTGCCATTCGTGTAATGGGTTTAGTGTCCCGATCGGTCGCCTAATTCAATCCTTCGATCCGAGGAGGGATTCGTTCCACCTGCGATAACGAGTTATCGACCTCCTCGGCGAGGAATAATTTTATTTCGGCGACCCCCGATTTCGATGATCGACCCTCGATTACCCTGCCCCTTTGTCCCTCCTCGTTATTTATTCATGTAATTTTTTATCCCATTTATCTATCGATTTCAATTTCAGCCCGAGAATTTTACGAGCCCTTTAAAAAGTAGACGAACCTCTAAATCAATTGATGATCCCATAAGGGCTAGTTACAATTCCATGAGACTTCCCTAAGACGTCACGTATCAATGAAACCGAGGAATAAAATACCATGAAATGTCGACAAAAATGTGGTATAAAGTGATAATATTTTTTTTTTAACGGTGTAAAGTGTCTTGGCGATGAGAACGTTCCTTCCTCCATGATCTCCCTGCCCCTTTGCTCTCGTTTCTTCTTCCCCGGTTGCGAATTAATATATTAATTAATCCCTGAATTTGTTTGCCATTTCACCTGGGGTATTTAATTTCATCCTGGGATTCGTCGGCACAGGCTCTGGCGACGTTGAAACGTAGAATTCCTCGGCGAGACACGAATCCCCGGGGCGTGCGGTGGGTGTAAACTCGTAGGGTTCGTTCCCGGCTTTATGGGAATTCCATGAGAAATATTTCAATACCCACCGACGGTGTCGTGGGACGTGGTCGTCTGGACTTTCATATCGGCTCTGGCGTGCATCTCGCGGCCCGCGTAAATAAACGCTTAATGTCCGCTCCAGCCGCATTGGGTTGCGCCAACATTACGTGTATATATCACGATTTAAGCACGAAAAAGAGTACCGCGCCTACGGGAAATGGTATCCCGAGGGAAGGGAGGCAAGCTCCCTCCCTGCTCCCGAAAAGGAAGAGGGAATAAAAAAGAATACCGACTAACAGAAAAAATGTACTAAGTGGAGTAAACGCGCGGGGCGAGGACGAAAAAAATGTATTTCCAATATAGATGATAATTATATAAAAAAAAAAATAATTCCGCGTCCAGTTTATTAGACCTCGAGTCAAGTCGTTACTCTTAGAGTTAAAATATTTCTCCGGTTCAGTGGAAACGACCTGGGGAGGAGATAACGAGAAAATCGAGATTCCCATTAAGGGATCGATTTCTTTTGGAGACGGAAGGGGGAGGAAGTGTTCCTAGGAGGCGGAAGAGACTTCCGGGTAATCCTCTTAGAGGGAGCCCTGCAATATTAATCAAAGCTCCGCACTTCGGTAATCCGCGGGCCAAATTTCAAACAAATCATCCCTAGCCGGGCGTTTTACAAATGGAGTCCCTCGGGATAAGGCTTCCCCGGTGTCGGGGAGTCCCTGGACGCGCGTCGCGGCGCCTTAAAGCCGCAGAATTAAGCGCCCTTGAGCGCGCTTTGATATGCCGGCGTCGTCACCTGAGATCTCCCCGATGAAGAGGGGACTCCTTTGAAAGGGTTATTGAAGACCACATATTTTTTTTTACAAAAAAGTCGAAGCGTGAATTTTTAACACGCCTTGGTTTCGGGTCTCGCGGTGGTTACCTCTGGGAATAAAAATGCCCGTAGGTCGCCGTAATCGGGAAGACCTCGAGGAAGAGCCATCTCTAAGAAAAATAATTACAAACCTCATTATTTTCAATGAAAAATGTTAAAGCGTGAATTTTGACACACCTTAGATCTAGATCCCGGGGAGAAACGGAGGTATCCTCCGGAAATACTCACCGAGAAGGAGAGGGTGAGGGAGTTCCCGCGAGGTCGCAGCATCTCATCTCATCTCCCTCGGTCCAGATGGAGGCAAAAGATTCGCGGCCCCATTCAGAGGCTACATTCGTGGGTGTCGTTCCTGGGCAGGGGATTCGTCCTACCTGGCCCTCGGTTGCAGGTACCGCATACGTGAGTGGAATGATCTTCCGCCCCGAGTGCACGGTTTTATCTCCCGCAGGGATGCAGGAAGTCGAGGCCATCTTCGAGTTCCTCTTGGAGACCTCGCGACCCGGAAGCCTCACCTGGGGAGGTCGCAATCAGGAGCAAAATCGTTTCTTTCGCAAGACCAAGACGAAAACCAAATCCTAGATATTTTTGCAAATTCGAAATCAAGTCCTGGACATTTTTTACAAATTCGAAACCAAGTGCTGGGAATTTTGACAAGACCAAGATCAAGTCCTGGGAACTTCTACAAGCTCAAACCCCAATCCCGATCACTTTTACAAGCCCAATACCGAAGCAGGAAAACCAAGGTCGATTTTGCCCTCCACCAGGGGACAATCGTACACCCCAGGGATGGTTTTCCATTGATTAGTCGAAATTAGCCCCCGCCCTTCGGGGGATCGCGATTTCAATGGCGCCTCGTCGAGGCGCGGATTCGGCCCCATTCGAAGCCGCCACTCGGGGTTCGCGATTCTCGCAAACGGGGACGAGGCATTTGCCGAATTACGCTGCGAGCGTACGATTAGGCTCGCCTCTCGGCGTCGAAGTCATGAAACGAGGCTTCCGTTTGCTAACCGGACGAGCGATCTCGCCCAGGGTCCCTCGGCCTGGAGCGGATCGATTCGCCGGGAACGCACGAGATAGGGATGACCCTATCTATCTATCTCTAGCCTCGCACTGTGCGGGAATGCCTAATCGAGAGCCCGGAACCTCTCGTTCGGGAATTTTCAACAAGCCGAACGGCCATTCGAGAGGTCCCTCCGATTTATATACGCCGACCCAGCCAGCCACTGGAGGGGAATTCTCTGATACGCGTATATACCACTGATAGTACATTAAATACATTATACATATACGACAAGGGTTATTAACACTTTCAGAAGATACACCCCTACAATGAGAAAAAAAAATTAGTGGACAAAAAGAAATATATATATATCGCTGACATACATGTCATTGCTGAATCATACGTGGTTGCAAGAAACAATTATTTCGCCGAGGAGGAAAATCCATATCGTGGAGTTAAATTAATTTTTGTTGATTTAAACAAATTTCCTTCCAATCTGGTACTGGATGGGAATAATTTCGAGGCCGGTGCGCTCGTTCGGCACGTCGATTAATTTTTGCCGCAAGGAGGGGGATCGTTATCAGCGGCCGCGATTACAAATAATCCCCGATATCGCCGGGCTCTCGATTAAATCCCGATGATCGCTTGTAAATAGAGAGCGATCGACACCCCGTGATCCAGATTCTGGTTCCCGAAGGATAGGGACTGCACTCGATTGCGGCCGAGCGTCGATTTTTCTCGGCTCGACGAGCGCGCGATATGGCGAGAGAACGGAGAGAGATAGCGAGATATCCCTTAAGAGAAATTTCTAGAGAATTAACGTGGCTACGATTTTTGTTCCGGACGTTTTTTTGTGAAATCGAAGGAAAGCGATCGTTTTGAGGGAATTGACACGATTTTGGACTGATGCACATTCGAAATGTCAAATTTACGGTCTCACCACGTGTGTTAAAATTCCACTGATTTTATGAATATTCTACCTCACTTAATATCAATCGTCTTCAAAAAATAAAAAATAAAAATAGAAAGGACAATTAACCCGTGTAATTGCACTTAACTTGGCAGTCACTTCTGGCTGTTTTCGGAAATTACACGGTGCAGCCGAGAGGTTTAGAGCTCCCGACACGGCTTCCCGAACGTCTGCACGTATCTCGAGTCAATATTGACTCGCGGTGGAACAACGATAAGTTTTCCCTCGCTTTTCGTTTCTGCCATTCCTCGTTTTCCCGGTCGAGAGACCCCCAGGTGGGGAGCCGATTTCGGGGCAGCCTCGGACCGTAGATAGGAGGTGTCGGGCCTTATCCGTTATTTGTAGCCCCATAGATCACAGGGGTGCACGAAGGCGCGTGCGAGGGTCGGCATCGCCGTTCAACGTGATGCACCGCGATGCACCGCTGCACTGCCATCAGCGCGCGAATTACCCCTGCCAAACGGCGTTTTTCTCAATTTTATCGAAAAAATATACAAGATATGAGAAAACATCATGAGAACTTTCTCATACAAAATTTTATTATCTACAAAATTGCTTGTATGCATTTCTTAGGTATGTTTCACAGGTTTCGAGATATTGCGAGTGTATCATCCAGGCGCCGAGTCGTCCTAGCAAGAACTGTCAAACAAATGCGTTATATTTCAAGAACAAGACGAGATGCGGCGGAGGTGCATAGGACCTTTCTTGTAGAGGATGAAATTATCGAGAAAAAAGTTAAGGGTCAAATTTTCGTGCGAAGCACGGGAATCGGAGTATCCCCCTTGTCACTGTCTGTCGGGTCTGCTTTCTCCCCCCCACGTCGCGTCACACGTTATTTAAAGAGCTAATTAGGTCTCTCCGCGCGCGATTTCCACAGCGGATGTTTAATTCGCGGTCCGCGGGGTCGCGTAATCACGCCGCACGAATCGGGAGTGATTACGCGTCCCGCGGGACTGGGGGGTCCCGAGGGAGGCCCCCGCCCCGGAGAAAATCCCGGAAAAGTTCGCTCCACCTCCGGGGGAAGTTGGGGAATTTTCTCTAGGAAGGTTTTAGGGAATTCTCGGGGAATATTAGTAGCAGGCGCGATCCCTCATCGGGAGGCTCGGCAGGTGCGATTAATCGGCGCGCTCGAGAGCCCCCGTGATAAAAATTCAAAGGCGGCTCCTCTTAATGAAGTTGGCCCCCACAAAGGGGCCACGCAAGCGGAAGCTCCCCGGAAAGGAGGGCCCTCGAACCCCCGGGACGCGTTTCTCTCCCCGATCGAGGGCTCCCTCCGAGAGTGGAGACGTCCGGAGGGCGAGCCGGCTCCTCCGGGATTGATTAAATTCGCTAATAAATTCGCACACCTAATTTTCGGCCGCCTTTCATTTTTCTCGTGGTTCCAAGGAAACCCATAAGAGTATTAAAGACGATCCCGAGGGGAGTAATTGCATCGACCCCGGGAAGAAAAATCGGCAAGATGCACTCGAGCACATCGAGGAAAGTTTCAGCTCTTTCTCGCGCGATCGGGAGCGGTGGAATGAAATTGGACACGTTCAGGTGCTTAAAAGTGCACTCGGGGGCATCGGGACGCACTCGAGGGCGTCGGGACGCACTTAGAAATAATCAGAATTGATCAGACGGTGTCGAACACCTCGGAGGAAAAAAAAAAATCGGGGCAGATTTCCTCAATCGGCGGGATTTCTTCGATCCGATCGTTTGAAAGCAGCAGAATAATCGGAACGGAGCACAGCTTCGCCGATAAATTTTCAATTATCTCCCCTCTTCGAGATGCACCCAGGGCGAAGTGGCCAATCGCCGGGGGCTACGAGAACGCAACTTCCTGGAGCCGACTTCGTGCCGAACGTCATCTCGCCTTTCGCTAATCGACGCCTCTCGGCGATAACGTCGAGAAGGGGGCGTCAGGAACCCGAATATATACCCGACTCTTCTCCCCAGAGTCGAGGGAACTTCGCCTCCTGGCACCGCACCGAGAAATTAATGTACCTCGCGTCTCCTGAAAAGGATCAACCCTGCCCCCCTTCCTCCAACCCTTTCGCTCAAAGGGGTGCTTCCTTTCACGCGCCCTGACGAGCTCCTCGCGCTCCGGCGCGTCCGCGAGTTCCGCGGAAACGCAGCGATCGAATCGGCCTCCTCGAGCTGAATCAACGCCCTCGTTACATCTAACCAAATGTCACGCAATTAAAAGAAAAGGAAAATGTCGAGAAAAGCAGGGATTTAAAGGGCGAAGATGGTCCAGGAATTAGTTCTGTCCGAAAACGCAGCGATTGGCCTCCTCGAGCTGAATCAACGCCCTCGTTGCATGTAGCGAAATGTCACGCAATAAGAAAAGAAAGGGGAAGGTAAAGGACGGAAGAAAGAACCTGGAAGAATCCAGGAATTAATCCTGGACTCCTGGGTACCTCCTCCGCGTCTTCGGCGGGACCTTTTTCAAGGATATCAGCAAGACGATTGGCGAGCGGCCAGAGAGAGAGAGGTCGATAGCAGGAGAGGACCTCCTGCAAATGACGCTAAATCTCGCCCGTTTCTCTTGCCGCGATTACCGCCATTACTTGGTCCGAACCTCCGGGTTTCGTCCTTCGGCCCTTTGCCGGCGCTCGTTATTCCCCTAATAATCCTTAAGCGTCTAAATCCCGGCGATTCGACGGGAGTCTGCCGAATTCGATCCCGCAGGATGCACCTCGGCGGGATAGGGGGAGCCAGAGGACATCTATCCGTATCGGTTCCTCCTTTACATGTAATTACGGGTAATTACAGATAGATTCTCTCCGCCAAGCTGGACCGATTTCTTCCCGCGGGAATGACCTCGCTCCGTCGCCGTTAAAAAATTTAATTTTACATTTCTTAACGTTTCATGTAAATTTAGTAAATGCACGCCTTTCCCGATATTACGGCATAATAGCGCAATGTCATACAAATCATAAATCCGTGCCCTGTCCCATTTACATGTAATTACAGGTAGCTTCCCTCTGGCATCCCGATTTTTCAGGGGGAAGGACTCTCGCTCGTCCACTCCACGCTAGGACCTCTCTACCCGGGCTGATAACGATTATCAGTCGCTCAGGAATCGGTTCGGACGACCGAGTGGCCCCATCCCGGTATCCATGCTGGATCCCAGGTATTCGCTCCCGAAGGATCCATCGTGCCATTATATAGCTGGAGGGTAATAGTTGCCACGACGGCGTACGTCAGCGATATTGGTTTTTCGCGTAGCCGACTTCCTCTCTCCAGCCTCTCCGGAGGCATTATGCCGCCGTATTATGCGCGTATTACAGGCATACATCCGCGTTATACCCTCGCCTGGGTCCCCGATGGGTCCGGGAATCGAATATTTATCCAGGGATCCCGGAATCCCGGATCCGAGATGGGAGCGCGCTAGTTAGCCGCTGAAAAGTCGCCCATCGATTTCGGATCCTGGCGAGAGGTCCTCCAGGATCGCGCCGATGCCAGCCTGCTCTGCTCCAGGATTATCCCCGGCAATGGGGTCGCCGTAATTTTTCCTCCATTTTTTTACTCTCTCCCTGATTTTCCTTTCTTCCTCCCCGTGCTCTCCTTCCAGTCTCCGGTATAGCACTTCCGGAGATCGGGAGGGACGGCGGCGTTTGATTGGAAATCAGGCCAAAATCGAGTCCTTTGAGATATCAATTTTTCCTGATTTATTATCGGCGAACGATAATTTCATTCGGTCGTCAGTGACATTCTGCACGTATTTATTTAATTGAAATTTTTTTTATCGCTCACCTCGTTACAGGGGCATTAACGAGCCTAATTTAAATCCGATGCGTCGCCAGAAGATGACGGCGATGTCGCCGAGTCGGGCCTCGCAAGGAGGCGTAGGGAGCCCTCTTTGCACGGTAATTACCTCGATCGCGAGTACCGGGGAGACTAACGAGCCGGACTCGGTACATCTCCTCGGTACGCGTGTACAGGGCCGGGAGCACTCGCGGAAGTTGATGCGGAGGGCAAGGGGGGATCAGAGGAGAGATCCAAGTCCAAGAAATGGGAGAGGCCTCGACGAGGGGGATCCTTTGGCTCCTCCGCTCCCTCCTTGTTCTCCCGATGGACACAAAAGAGAGACCGCCGTCTGTATAAAGGAACGGAAAGGGTACATAAACAAATAAATAAATGTATAAGTAAGTACGCAACTGAAATACAAATTTAAAAGGACGGCCAGGGTAAGTCCACGTAAAGGGTAAGATACGCGCTGCGGTTAGAGGAAGAAATAAATAAATCAGGAATTTAAAGGGCCAGCCCCTTAAATAAGTGGAATACACGTTACGATTAAATAAATGTGTTAATTAATAAATCGGGAATTTAATGGACCTTCCCTTTAAATTGTCCTACGGTCCAGGTCTTCCCTCGAGTTTAACGGGTTTAGCGGACGCACCGCGAGCGGAAAGATGGAAACGCGCCGGATCCGAGGTATGATCTTCCGGCTTATGTCAACGTAAAGGGTCAAGCGAGATACGCGTAACGTTCGGTCATAAAGTCACCCCGAGTGACCGTTCCTACGCAAATGCATAGGAACGTATGCGCATAAATGTGTCGGCGTCACTTCCGCGTGTCGCGGACCCGGGGAAAATTCTCCTGGAAAAGGTAGGAGAAAAATAGGCGGAATAAGAAAATAAAAGGGGACAAAAAAGGGGAAAAAAAAAGAAAGGACCTAACCGTTTTTAATACGCGGCCCCGGGGGAATTGTCTGGGGGGGGAAAAGGAGTATAGAAAAGTGGAGGGAACGGAAAGAGGCGAATAAATATCGCGAGGCCTCGCGAATTAAAGCGCAGAGGAAAATATCTCCCGAGGGAGGGCCGGGGACTCGCGAGAAAAGGAAGAAAAAAGGGGGAAAAGAGGAGGCCCTGCCGGGGAAAACTGAAATTTCAGCCCAGGCCGGCATCTCGGGACGAGGGGAGAGAGGGACCTCTTAATATCCGCCAGAAAATGCTCCTCGAAGGGAAAGAAATTACGAGCTTCGTAATTTCTTTCCCCCCTTTCTTCCTCCTCGGGCCGAAGGATCCCGGGAAGCGGCAGCTCCTCTTCGGGATACTTTTACATATATAGGTGGATATGTATATATTTTTTGTTTACTTACATACGTGTATCCGGGACTGCACCTTCGCCCCGAAATACTCCCCGAAGAGGGTGGAGGACTCACGGCGAAACTCAATATATATCCTGCTTTCTTCCTGGAGAACTCGATCAACCGAGAGTGGAAAAATCAGCGATACCTCCCGAGGGAAAACTCTCTCAATGCTTTCTGCCAATCGCCGGCATTTCCCTCTTCCATTCAATTAGAATGTAGGCTTTCTATCTCTTCTCTGTTGTCGTCTTGAGGGTAGAAGGAAAGGAAAGCAATTGTTGTCAGGAATTGCGCCACGCAAATCGTCGGCGGTTTCCTTGTTCGAAGGTCTTCAGGATCTCTCCTTTTTATTTCTCCCGGCGTAGAGTCGGAATAATTAAATCATGCGTTGGAGCTCTCGGCAAAGGCAAGATGGGATGTCTGTAAAATATATAAACGAAGTGCTGTAAACTATAAAAATTAAATGCGATAAAATTAGTGACGTTTGAATGAAACTCCGCCCCCAAAAAATTAGAAATAATTACCGTGACGCTTTCAACGCTGCAGTGATTTTCCTCCATGAAAGTCTTCGGTATTTAATTATATTTCTCCTGGCATCCAGTCTGAAAGATTAAATCATGTGTAGGAATTGTTGGCGGTGGAAAGATGGATTTTAACGGAATACCTGTCGCTTGTTTGAAACAATTAGCCAACCCTCGCTGATCGGTCTTCAGGGTCCGGATTGGCCGCCTCCTCCTGGCGGAATTTCTCCTCCCTGCGGAAATTATGCCCGTAGCATTAACGGTCTTTTAACTCCTGGTCGTGGCTGCGCAGTGGAAACGAATTCCTAACTTTTTCCCTGGCAGATGAAGATTAATAGATCACAGGTCGAGGAAACTTCGCGAGGGACTCCGCTCGCGTGTCCCGTCTCCATCTCGGACATATTTCCCTCTTTCCTCGGAGCCCTTCAAAGGGCTCGTGAAATTGGAAAGAAGGAAGGGTAGGTGCATAGTTAAACGCGAATTCCGAAACTGCCTGGAACCGTATTGCATAATTTGCATGCGGTTCCGGGGCGGATGCACGCGCGGGATCGCCCGAAACTTGCTAACAGGATTCCCCGCCGTTCAGGAAAAATACTTTCCACGTTAACAAGGTGTAATTATCAGCAAACCCGAGAGCGAAAAAAGAAGAAGACACGTCGCAGGGGAGGTTCCCTACACGGGAAGCAACCGGCGTTTAAATCGTCTCCTTGTTTTCCCACCTACGGCCTGCATGCATCGTCCAGGCCCGTCGCGACCCCGAGGAACGTCGGGACTTTACCGCACCCCTGTCCACAGGGGAGGAAAACGCTTCCCACAAAAGTTCTTCCCGGGAATGCGTGGAACAATTTGTGTGAATAAAATTTCCTCGTGGAAAGCACCGTTAACCCGTCAGGTCCAACTCATCGGAGCGATGCAGCGCTCGTCGCTCGGGGACGCGCGTCCTTTCAAGTCAGCGTTTCGGCCGATCGGCGTGAAACGTCCGCCGAATTGCGGGCGGTTCGATAATTCGATCGATAATGGTCCTCCCGAGAGGGCCGGGAGGCGAATGAACGAGCGGGTCCCCCGGGAGCCGTCGGGACTCCGGGCTTTTATTTATTCGCGGGTCCGCCAAACGGAGTCCCAGGTATTTATTTATCCGGCGTATCACGCAATTATCCCCACTCGCCGGGACGCCGGTAAATAAATATTGATTCGTTAGTCCTCGCCGGCGTTTGCGGGAACGGGAGCGGTCCTGGCACTCGAGTCTCCTGTCCCTCCTCTCCGGGCGTGTCGTGCCTTTTTCTGCTTACTTTATGCGACTGCCGGAATGACGAGGGGCTTTGCCCGCTGCAGAAGTAAAAATTACGCGGGCCGCGCTCTCGTTAAGCCCCGTGATGCGTGAAAACCTTTTGCTTAATCTTCGGACTCGTAACGAGCGCACTCCCGGTCCTTCCTCGATCCCAAAGTGACTGCCTCGTCCTGGCTTCATTACGAGCCAATAAGAACTTCCCGGGATTCGTCCTGGATTAATTCCCCCTGGAAAAAATATTTTCCACTCGGTATTTCATCGAAATGAAAATTACATTTTATATAAAAGTATCAGAAAATCTAAATATTACTTATTATATACCTATCTATATATAAGGTGGGGAATTATCGTACGCAAGGCGAAGCTCCTAAAATGTATGGAAAATTAAAAAAAAAAAAGTAAAAGTACATCCCGTACCGAGTGGTCGGATGTTATATCCCGGTTTACGAATTCAACGCTCGTCACGCAAACTCCGCCGAGTGGAGTAAATGAATGTGACGTGCGGCCGGCGAATTTTCCTCCCGATTCTCTATAATTCGAAAGCTCGATATCCGTATTGTTCCGCAACAGACCGAAGGGGGATGCATTTGACGGGGCAGTGATGCGGCATTATAATAGATCCAAGCACGTTTATCTAGCGGAAGTAACGAGGTCTGCCGCGATGCCGGCTCGTCGATTTTCCCGGCCCGCGGAAATTCGGTGACACGTATAACGAGAAGCCTAGGCCATGCGAAAAATCGCGGTTTCGAGAGGACCCGGGAAAATGATTTACAAGAAGGTTGTGCAATCACCGGGAGCCGATATCGAAGGATGCACGGCTGACGCAAAGAAGAGAAGACGAACTTTTCATCTCCGCTTCCGCGCCGAAGCGCCGCCATCTTGGAATATGGCTGTGATTCATTAACAAGTACAACGGCGATTTAATAAGGCATTCGAGATTTAAAACCGCCCAGACGTCTGATAAAGCCGTACAAAAGCTCGAAGAATACTTCTATTTGCACATTTTTAAATTAAGTCTCTTTATAAAGTCAGCTGGAGAGGGTAGCACGCCGTGTCTCCTTTGCGCCATGCATGCCCGGACATTCGCTCTTATCACCGTTGAAGAGTTCCTGATATTAAATAATTCCGTAAAAGCGGGGCCATCCCGGGCACAAGCGGAGACGTTAGTCGAGCCGGGCGCAATGTTTCCGCAATAATTATGGAAATTACGTGATCTGGTTAAACGACAGCGTCCCCAAGGAGTCGCGGGGACGGGACGTTCCGGCGGAGTCGCGCGTACCAGCGATCTCGCCGAGACAATACCGACTTAATTAAATGGAACGTCGCCCACGGTGAAAAGCCCTTTGCGAGAGCGAATCGCGCTCTCCCGCGGCGGATGCGTCGACTTCTATCCGAGAGAGAGAGAGAGAGAGGAAGAAAGAGGACCTCCCTTTGCGAGGATATCGTCCCGCGAAAGCGATACGTTGCCTCGTGTGCGATGTCCTAATTAAAATGCACGACCCAGCCGGCCGCTCTTTGCAATTGAGACGTATTCGAGGAGAAGGGTCCACGCCGCACCTGCGGCTGAAAGGAGAGGTGACATAAATCGACTTTGTTCGGTAATAAATACCGCGTTCGCCCCGAAGAGCCAACAGACGCCCCGGAAAGCTATTACCTTACGACCCACGAATTAGTATAAGGAGATACAACGCCACCTATCGAGAGCGCCTCCTCGATGAAATTTTCCAACTAAAAATTATTACTTAATGCTTCCGACCTAGGGCGATTCGCGGTTTAATTAGCGCAATAATTAACCGTCCGCAATCGCCTGGAGACGTCTTCGGTATATCCTCCCCGGATGACAGTGGGACTACAATTTCGCACGGGCAAATTACAGGGAACTGGTGACGTAGGCGCAAACTCAGCATCGCACGAGATACACGTCGAGGGCCTCGGCTTGCACTCGTGAAAGGGGTTTATCACACCTGCGACATGCATCTGCGTGTCCTGCAAAAAGGAAAAAAAAGAATGGCCACGTGAGGCGCGTCCCCGGACGTGGGCGTTCTTAATTTCGGGAAGTCTACCTGCCGGACCGAGGAAATGGCTATTGCTCGACCTTCCTCTGCGTCGCGGATTCCGTTAACTCTTCGGGTACAGTTTGTTGCGGTGCATGTCGCCGTGGGTTTCCTTTCCGCTCTTTTTTTTTCTTCTGTAATTGAACTCGTTCTCTGGAGTGCCGCGCGTCGAGATCGCCATCTTGCGGAGTCTCTGAAAACTAACGTTCAGGTTACGGATGGCCGATACGCGAGTACGTGACTTTATCACCGACTACGTTTGCATGGCTTTTTTTTCGGAAATCCGGCTAAATTGACGATAGATTCAGATAGGTTTTCTCTGGAAGTGATTTCGTCCAATGTAAGGGCGCATTGTGTGCGCGTACTGTCAGAAACGACCAGTTATGGCTAGGAAATTAGCTTCCCATAACGCTATTTGCAACGAGATATACTTTAAGTTACAGGAGTGCGAGAATGAGGTAAAGGCGGAACGTAGATTACGAGTTGGAGTGTTCTAACCTCTTTCATTAATTTTAAAACTTATCTATCTGTAGACTCCGCTACTGCAAGTTATAGCAGGCCATTGCTTTCACTATCAGAAACTGTTAGATAAGTGCGTTAAGGGCCAGGTGAGATTGACTGAGTTGTAAGTGGCTCTTCAAGCTTGACATAATTCATAATTTGATCCTAACGTTGCAGAGGGAGCGTCAGCGAGCTGAGAATCGAAGAAAGGCCAATGAGAGGACTGTGAAGCTTCGGGAGTATCTACAGAATACAAACAATTGATAGGTGTAGCTTAGTTAGTTCGTAAAGGCATTTAACATGAACGGCGAAACAAAAAATGTTTGTCCTTGTGATATCCTGAATCCTAGCAGTGATGGAATAACAGAGATTAATGTAACAAAAAATGACGACTCGAGTACAGCTGCAAAAAAATTGAAACTCGGTACCAATTCAGAGGTAGGAATCAAAGATTCATTGATACGAGACTCAATGGCATTGGATTCTAAAGACTCTAAGATCGAAAGTGATGCAGACAGCGAATCGGTCCATTCGGGTCGATCCGACATTGCGGACGATGATCTCAACCATGATTTTCCAACCGAAGGTCCGGAAGATATATTGCAGAGTGTTGATCTCGATGAACCGCTGCCTACTATTACGGAACGTTACTTTACTCCTTACTATCAGGTCGATATTCAAAAACCTTGCGACGATATCTGCATTCGTATTCACAGTAATCGCATTTGTATGTTGTCATTGGCAAGCGGGCATACTCTGCTACAAGGAGAGAAGAAAATAACAAATGTGAATTTTAAAGTGAGCAACAAATTAGATAGGACGTTAAATAAAGTGTCCGGGAAGAGTAAGCACGGTGCACAGCCTCTGCAACACAATTCGAATATATGTTTCATAACCCGTTCGGACGGCGAAACCTATGCAATTAAATGCTGCATGATAGGAAAACTGGTAGAAGTGAACGAGATGTTAGTAGAAAATCCGGAGCTCCTTCGAGAATCACCTCACCAAGGGGGCTATTTAGCACTTATTCTACCAAAACTGCAGCATCTCGAGACGTTAAAAAGTTCTTCGTTGACGCAAGAAGCTTACGATGCACACATATTAAAAAGGCAAGAAATCTGTAATCAAGACCAGTGCCAATTAAACACATCTCTAACAAACGCTGACAAGGATGCAGGATAAGTGACTCTCGAATGCGAATGACATGTAAACAAGAAAATGCAATTGTGTAATATGCTTCTAAATCATTTTTAGTTTTACAGTTAAATAAAGTCATAAGCACATCGCCTTAACAAACCATTTGATTGACTCTTTAATTTTGGTATCACAAGTTTTACATTGTAATCCAACTTCAACGGCATATGCATCAAGTTATTTATATCAAGTGAAAATACCTTACAAGTGGTAATGTATCTTTGGCTTGCTCATGTCAAAATCAACAAATCATTCTATAACACAAGCACGAACCATCCAGTGACTGAACGGCTGTCTAAAGTTTGTTCCTAGTTGATTAGTTTTTAGAGGTACCACTTTATGTGACTTTAGCAGGAACTGCATATATTACAATCACATGACCTAACGGCTCCAGCAAACTCGCAATGGCACTTAATGACTGATCGTGACTATCGACATTGGACTGTTCGAGCTATCCCGAATTACCTTCTGATCGTCACGCATGTCGGTTCCTTTCTTCTTGTTAAAAGTTTTTGCTAGATTCCCTAAAACTATCCCGATGAACAATATCATTCCCACTGTATGATTAGAAAAGAATTTGTTAGCACAATCCGTAGGGTTGTTAATATTTAGTGAATATATCTGAAATAAGAAAGCAAGTATAATTCACAAATTTCAATCCATGGAGCACCGAGAACCAAAATCCTAACCTGTTGAGTAATGTGTACTCCAGCTATTCCCACTGCTGCATAATAAGGAAACGTTTGTGCACTCGTAATACCTGCAGTAACGAGAGCTGCTATCATACTCGTACCAAATCCACTCAGGTACAACTTCGTTCTGTCCCCAAATTTGATAGCTGTTGATTTGATGCCTAAGAGTACATCATCCACCTTATCCTTATGAAAGAATCTATGATTAATCTTTAGTTGTCCTACATTCTTACAATAATAATTAATGTTCTACTTGCCTGGTGGGCATATATCGTGTCATATATTAACGTCCAACAAACACCCGCTATATAGAGGGGCAAACAGACCGACCAGTCACAGGAACCTCGAATCGCTGACCATCCCAGCAGCGCGCCCCAGTTAAACGTCATGCCCAATATCAACTGTGGCCAATATGTGACTCTTTTCATAAGAGGATAAATGATCACTAAACCTATTCGTATACGTAGAAATGAAGTATTTAATGCAATGCTCCGTTTCAGCTTTGTCATCGACAATTTGCACTCTTACCTAGTGAACTGGCACCTAGAAACACGCTGTACCAGTTGAGCTGTAGTAAAACAAGTAGTCCCAGGCTCAACTGACCCCCGAGGAAAACCAGAGCTTTGAATGGTGTTACTCCACCAGTTACTAACGGTCGATCTTTTGTTCTGGCCACCTGACATTAACTTAATACTCTAGTAACATGTATACGAGCTAACGATAAATATCTTAGAAAATTAGAAAGAGGCTTCACCTTTTTGTCGATATCCTGATCCCACATATCGTTTATAGTACAGCCTGCTCCCCGCATGATAAATGCCCCAGTTCCGAAGAGTGCAAGCATACCAAGATCAGGCAACGCACCTTCATGTGCAGCCATGGCTATACTCCATCCGCAAGGCCAGAATAATAGCCATGATCCTACCGATAAAACTACCTTAACCAAGATTCAAAAACGTTTATACTTTCAAGCCTTACCAATTGGTTTATTTATCCTCATGAGCTTCATATAAGGCTGAATGGTCGGAGGAGATGAATCCACAAGAGAGGCGGCATAACTCTTGCATCTTCTTGGATTCAAGTTCCTCGACACTTTAGAAGGAATAACTATACCCTTCGTCCTTAACAAATTGTTTTCCCCCTGTTCATCCTTACACCGTTGACAATCCACACTTGTATTTACAAACAAAGAGGTGTCTATCCTGGCATACGCACAGAGGTCTAACGTCCATAATTTTGACTGCTTATGACTAGAGCGTTCGACGGTTCGGAGCAATCGGGTCAAGCCATTTAACTGTTGACATCTGCCCAGGACAGGCATTGTTTAATCGTGAACCTAGAACGAACAAGCTGTATCAGTGCATCGTAGGCAGTAATTTCATGAAATATTGTGCAACAAGTCATAATGTCCTTGGAATCTTGAGAGAACAATAGCCAAGGACGTTTACCTATTATCTACGAGGCAGGATTCTGCCGGTGCAAGTGTTTTAATTATTACATAACGTATTCCGATATCCGAGTGACTGTCTCAAAGTAACTGCGCGATCGTGCAGCATAATGATTAAACGCGACAATTCGGGTTCACTCTCAACTCATGAAATCCAACCGCAGGCAGACCCCGCGGTTCACCGAGTATTTCCTACGAATATCGGAAACTTAGCGCTCCGAGTTTTTTCCTCTCGGCAAAACATAGTGCAGGTTTAACTCGGACACGAGAAGGTTAGGATTCGTCATGTCAAAATTAATACATTCCCGCGCCTGTGCAACGTCCACGCACGATGCAAAAAATAACCTAGAATATCGACTCCACGATTGTACATTCGCGCGCCAGTGCCATCTAGCGGCTACCGGTTAAAATCGTTTCAATTCACAAATATTCAACTTGTATTTAAAATACCCACAAAGATAATTCCAAGATGTCGACGGCGTTCAAAACCAGTCTGCACATCAAAGTTCAGCAGCGTCTCAGAGATGGCGCCACTAGAGATAAAAAGAGAGGGAAATTAAAATCGTATACTCACCCCACATAAGCGCGTCCTCGTCTTACGATTAACATACGAAAAATCCCAACTAGACAATTAAAATCACAAGACACTTATGTTCAAAGAAAAAAAACCTAGATCAATCCTAGATCTCTCCCCTGCCTCTCTAACTACCAATTTTGATTTTATTCGTCTTAACAGCCGAATCTATAAACAGCAACGCGAGTCAAGTCCTCACAGCCAAGGGCCGTGCCAGGAAATTCGAGATCGTAGAAACAAACGTTCCCGTTTAAAAAGAGACGGAGGAGGAGAGAAAGAGCGATTCCAAAAGCGGTGGAGAGGAGTCTTTGGGGCGAAGCCAAGCCAGGGGGCCAAGCTCCGAAATAAAACGACCACAGAGGCACGGGGGTGCGCTTTTCGTTTTTTAGTTTTATAAAGAAAGGGGAAGAAGAGAAGAGAAAAAAAACAGAGTCTCGCTAATAGGTAATATCTCGCGTTCTATATAAAATGCTGGACGCGTGTATGTGTGCCTGGGTCCGGTTAAATTGCAATCGTATGTTCATATTTTACAAATCGTGCGCGCGTACGTCCCTCTTCGATTTCCTTTTTTCCCCCGAAAAGAAAAGAAAAGAAAAAAAAATGGTCACCGCGACGGCGAGAAAATATCGCGAGTTCCGTATATATATATATATCGATGTATTATCGTACGCTCATCGCCTGTGTATATATATATCTATATATATATATATATGCAATTTTTTTATACATTTTTCTGTCGTTACCCCCACCCGTGTACAGCGTAAGCCCTGTGATTACGATTACGAGAGTTAATAATTAATATCAATAATATATATATATCTATATCAGCGGTATAAGTAACGATAGCGTATATAAGTGTGTGTTCTGTGTATATTTATATTTTTACACGCAATCGCTTCGACCCCATGGCGCGCCTCCTGGAAAGCTCTCCCCATAGGGAAAGCTTTCCACGTCGTCCGAGCACGAACAAACCACGAAGGAACAGAACCTCCACGTTTCCCGAGGTCGAGAGACTCGAGTCTGTACTTGGGGCGGGACTCTACAACTCGTCACCACACATCAGGGAAGGTAACTCGAGACGATATTAATTGCAAAAAAAATATATATATAAGAAGAAATTATCAGGCAGCAAAGTACTCTTCTTCAAACGGCTTGAAATTTTTCAGGAACATCAAGGATCGCGATTAAGGGATTTATCGTCGAGGATCACCATCCCCGAGGTGCGGTTACACATAATCAAGGAGTTTCCGTTTCACGTTGGAGCTTCCCAGAGGCGAGGCCGAGTTTGTTCGGAAAGTGAGGAAGTTGAAGTAGAATTTGGAGAAACGAAGAGGACGAAGAGGCGCGCCGTGAGGGAAGTCCGCAGCAATCTTCTTATCATCTACCTCCTATTCTTAAGCCGGCCAGGGGGGTCGGCGTAAACTACCTCTAATCAGATAATATAAATCATACCGCACGATTACGATTCACGGTGCTCCTTGCTAGTCGGCTAATCAACATGATACTTAGGAAGGTAGTCACTCGCTTAAAAAAAAAAAAAAAAAAACTAGATAAACCTAAGCCGCTCCAAGGTCGGCGACCTCTCCTTGCTTAAATATACTCGCGATGTCCGGGCGTGTGGGTTTCCATTTTCCTCCTTATCTCTCTTTCTCTCTTATGTACAGGACTGATTTTTTTCTCCTCTGACCACGTGGGTCCCCCTTCCGACGTTACAGGTCTTCTCTCTAATCTTCCCCGTTCGTGCTGACATTCGCCCCGGCTCGTCCTATCTCCTTATCAAAGACACTTTCGGGCTCCTATCGCGCCTTCTCTCTTTCGCACCTCCCTAACAATGCCTGTATTCCGTGGTAAAACACCCCTCCACGATATTTGTACAATTATCCTCGCAAAAAGTAGGATCGAAAAGTCCGTCAATTGTCAATTAATTGTCACAAATAATTCCCGTATAAATTAATTCCCCACGAGTTCTAGCGAGAACGAGCTTTTCGAAAAATCCTGCGCAATGTTTCCTCCACGATGCGTACCTCTGTAATAATTAATTAAAAAGAAATTACAGCGATAGTACATTTTTCAATCGATCATCCAAGGTAGACAGAAACATAGAAATTAATTCCACATGACTTCTCGACCGGAGGATTGCGAGGTAAAAATACCCTGGCGAGGAGCTCCACCACCCTCGTTAGATTGCGCCGTGTTAATAATAATTAATCATTACTCGTAACGATAGCGAGTTGCGATAGCGTACTATATCGGTAGCGGTAATAAGAGTAATAGTAGCAGTACTAGCAGTACCATAGTGGCAGTGTATCGGACAAAGTTATATGCCAAGGGAGGACGAGCTGCGGAATACAATCGGAATCTGCGGAATCGGGGCGGATATCTGCGGAAATCGCACGTCGTCTCCGTCGGCTCTCCCCTCAGGAATCCCGATTCCCTACCTCGGTGAAATTTGTGCAAGGCCTCTCCCCCACGGGAGAGTAATTACATAATATATGTATAGATATATATATATAGATATATATAAACCGGGATGAGGAAAAAAAGAAGCGTTAAACGTCGCCAGGCGAGTCGAAATGACGTCGACGGGATGGCCAGAGTGTCTGGTCGCCTCCGTCCCTAGGTTATACACGGTCTTAAAAAATGTACAAAATTACCTAACGACAACTGTGTATTCGCATTATGCGTAGACGAGACTTATCCCTATCGATAGAGCGACGGTTCGCGAACGTCACCTACGGTGGCCCTGTCGGACAGATTTAAATACCCACTCCCGTGGTCAAGTAACTTGGCATAGCGACCCTCCCCCTCCTCCCGGTGCCTCCTTAGATTATCAATATTAATAATAAAATATAAAAGATCCTCGAAAGCGAGCCCATAACGGAGAAGAAAACCGCGGAGTCGCGTTTCTCGGGGTCGCCTCGGAAGTGCCGACGAACGAGGGGATCGAAGATAATATCGGAGGGTCCTTTCCTTTCTTTCGCATATCTTTCCTTCTTTTCCCATTTAACGTGGAGCTTTCGAGGTTTAGCTTCTCGTCCTCTCGCTTATCTACGGACGAGGACGGATGACTCGTGCGTGACTAGTGCGTTAAAATTAACGGGGGGGTGTCCGAATCTCGACGGATCGTGTCAGGTAGCGTCACTAAAAACGCATACACAGCGAATTGCGTTCTCTTTTTTTTTTTTTTTTTTAACAATACTCTATAAACATAAAAAGCCGCAGTTGGTAATTTTAAGCTCGACAAGGGACGCACAAATCGAGAATTTTAAGAGTGTCGAGGTACTCCGAAATGTTTTCGTTTACTTGCGTCGTATGTAACGAGGCTATTGCAATTATCGGGAATTTTCCTTCCGGAAGGAATTCCAAATGGTACTTCATATTTTTATGTATAATAGCGAGCGTTATGTAGGAAGTTAATCTGTACAATTTACTGGCTTGCTTTTTTTTTCTGCATCTTTAGTGCACGACCCGACTTGAAAGGGTACATAGGTTTAACGTGATTAATTTATACTCTCGGGTTGAATTATGATTGAACGGGAAAATTAATTCTACCGGTACGTCGCCCTTGCTGAGAGTATAAAAAAAAATGAAAGTCCCTCAGTAATTACTTTGAATTTATATAGGACCATTGGAGAAGCGCAGCGCATCTCAAGATTTGATTAACTCCGTATATCCAGCGACCAGACAATTAAAAAAATAATGCCTACCATTGATCCCTTAATTTCGATGGTACCAAAAGTCGAGACAATTCGCTGGTTTAATTTCTGTACAACCCCACCGGAAAGATCACATTTACATAATCGCGTTAAACCTGCACTTTAACAAAAACGCCCGCGACAAAGGAGCCGAGTCGTGCGGTCCTCGTCAATTCGGGTAAAACTCGGAAAAAGTTCATTAGTTCGTGTTCCTCGGAGGTCAGGATAGAATTGAAACGAGATAAGTTGCCTCTCGGTACATCCAGGGTGACAAAATATGGGCACAATTATCCCAAACGGTCACAATCGCGTATAAAGTGCCCGACATCCGACATTACCCTGCGTACCTGCGAGTACAAGTATGTACTTGGCGCGAGACTCTGCTTCAGAAGGCGCGAATACAATCGTCTCTCCACCGTTCCTCGGCTCAAACAAGACGTACGTGTGAAAAACAAAAACGGTCACCCAACTTCCCACTCGACTCTTCTCTCACCGGTAATTACTATATTACAATTACTTGAAAACGAGAGGGGAAAAAAAAAAGAAAAAAAAGGAAAAAAAAAAGAAAAACGGGGGAGAAGATCGCCGAAAAGAAAAATAAAATAAACAACCAAGACTATTAAACCAGACAATTAGTTCTATCCCATTTCTCTAAGCACTTAGAAATATCGAGTAGGACCATCGCCGCCAGTAATTCCACTCTCTCTCTCTCTCGTTACTGGATATATCTCATTAAACCCTTAACTTTGTACAACGGAGCGCGAAAGAGCGTGTGTTATATCGAACTTATCCCGTGGCTCCGTGTCGGAAGCGAGTACGCAAAGGTTCTAAAATTACCGTCTATGTATAAACGTGCACCGGTCAATGACTGAGAATCGGTATCCGATGATCCCGGCCTTTAGTCGGCACAGACCTCCCTCGTTGAGTCGAGCCGATCGCGGCCCAACAATTATTTTTTGTATTTTCTCTATATATAATAATTACGGCGATGGAGTTAGCGCCCCCCCCACCGTAATTCCTCGTGATCGTCCCCGAGGAAACCTGCGACACCCGGCTGACCCTAACAAACCGGCCGAAGGAAGCCTTCCTACCGTGATCCGCAGGTGCGAGTAACAGCGACGACGCGTTATCACTAGAGATAACCAGAGGACAAGCCAACAAGCGATATTCGTAGGAAGACTAAAAAAATAAACGGGCCCAGTACCCCGCGTAACATTTCCCGGACGATCCCCGAAAACGAGCCGGACTCGATCAGGCTCGATCACCTCTCCTGGGCTTCTAGTATATTAAAACCGTGAAATGTACACATCGCGACGTCCGGACAACCGTAGAATATAATCGAATATCTTTAACATATCCATGGAGATCCACTCCGGCGCTCCGCAAGAGATCACTTCGGCATGATCCGCTCGACCGAAGGAGGTTCAGGATACAAAGATAGCCAACCTCCGTCGAGGACCTCCATCGAGTAAAGGCGCGTCTTTTCCTGCTTGTTGTCTGATAACGCGAAGTTTGAAATCGCAAGGGTACCCGAAGACCCCTAATTCGGAGTTTACCCAGACCTGGTGAGCTCGTTAAGTTCTACCCTTTCTCTGGTCTCTACCTAATATCATGTACCTCTAGCACGACGACCGGAGTCAAGTAAAGACGCGCCATTTCCAGCATCTCTTGTCCTCCACCTCGAAGACTGAGATCGGAAGAGTACCCGAAGACCCCTAATTCAGGGTCTACCTAGACCCGGTGAGCTTACATCTTAAGTTCTACCTCTTCTCTTGTCTCTACTTCTAATATCATGTACCGCGTGGCACGACGACCGGAGTCGAGGAAAGACGCGTCCTTTCCTGCATGTTCGCCTTATAAAACGAAGACTGAAGTCGCAGGAGTACTCGAAGACCCCTTCGGGGACCGGCAAGGCCTGGTGAGCATGTACCCCGAGTTCTACTCTCGTCTCCGTTCCATGTACCACTCGACGCGATTCCCAGATCGAGATCGTAGACGTTCTTCGGGGTTCCCAGGACCTCGCCTGCATTCGTCGGTAGGATCTACGCTTCGACGGCCCTCCTAGGAGTCCTCAATTCCGGATGTCGTTCTCCTCCAGGTCCAGAATTAGCTTGCGACTTGGGTGCGACAGGAGCAGGAGAGACCCGGAAGCGTTAGAGTCGTCACTTCTGGATCGTCGAGGAGCTCTCGGTCTTGGGTACCTCGGGTTTGCCGGAGTCGGGCTTCGCCTGGACCACCCGTTCCCTGGAGATGGGGTTCCTGACCACCTCTTGGCTCCTGCCGTAGGAGCCAGAGTTCTGTCTGCTCCTCGGCTGCTGCTTCGTCAGGTCCCGCTGGCTGCTCGACGACGGCCCCTCGTTTCTTCTCTTGAAGTGGCACAATCTACCCGATCCAAAGGAACCGGCTCGGTTTCTATACTGCGACAGATTTATCGACTCGGTTCGAGGCTTCGGTTGCGATGTCCCCGTCGACCCGGTCGGCAGAGTCACGGTGCTGGACCCCCCGGAGAGCCGGCGAACCCGATTCGACGTCGTCGCCTCGGCGCCACCCGCGCTCTCGGAAACGCTGCGGTTCCGCCGCTTCGCCGCCAGCAACTTCTGGTTCGCGGCGAAACCCTGCAGCATCTCATTGATCTGGGGCTACGGAGATAAACGAAAACGCGTGAAAAAAAAAAAAAAACTGCCTAATCGTATCCAGCAGTACCTGACCAAATATCAAAACTCGGGCTTACCTCGACGACCCTGAAGTCTTCGATGCTCTTGAACTTCGAGAGGTACTCTTCGAGTTTCGGGTCCACGTGAAGTTTGTCGGCGTGCTTGTAGTACTTCAAGAACGCCCAGAACTTCTCCAGGCCGTACAATTGTCCTGAAATGTCATTATGAAATAAAGATGAAATAAATATCATATGACATTAGAATTTTAAGACGGGACGAAACCGGCGCCTGGTCAATCGTTAGAATTTTTCTCCCACGCGACCACGGGAGCCCCGACAGCGATTTAATTTTTTCTACAAAATTTAATAGAGCCACAATCGCGTGAAAAAATTTTCAAGCTATTCGGTGCACCCAGCTCATAGGAAGGTGTGATAAATGAGACCTTGGATCCGAATTTCCCGGCACCTTCAGATTTGTCGGAAGGCAGAACCACCGAGGAAACTGATCTTGATCTCCTCGATTAAACTGTCGTTACTTTATTCTAGCACGACGATACCGCCCGGCGTAGATGATACCACCAACCGAGCATCCTAATTCGTGCAGGAGTCGAAGTTAAATTGGAACCTACCGCTCTCGTAGTCGCATATCGTCTCCACCTGGAAGTCCTTATAAAGCTGAGGCCTGAATTTCTTCTCGAGGCCGTAGCTGTAGAATCGGAAGAGGCATTCCAAGCCATATCGATAGCCCTCTGCAGCGTCGGTCTTGGCGATGCTTCTGAACTCTTCGTACATGGTGCGGTTGAAGTTCTCCCTGAGGAAGAAGGACCAAAAGCGGAAGAGCGTGTTCATCTCCTGGGACTGTCCGATGCCGAGCCTCTTGCGTTCTAAAAAAGGAACGATTAATCAGCCCCAAAGTATAAGCCACTCCCACGATATCGAGTCTCCCTAACCGGGAGTATCAGAGCCATTTATTTCAACAAGTCTATTCAGTCGGGAAAAGAAGACAATATTGGTAAATCATCATAACGAGACGATATCAGTAAATCATCGAACTACCAAGATGTAACCTCGATTACCCTGAAAATCATCAATCAGCACTTGCCTTTCATACACCGAGAGTGGTACTTGTGGTACACCTGTTGAGTGAACCCGTTTTCCTGGAGCAGAGCATGGCTAGGATGCTGGAACGTGGGTAAGGACTGAGGAGCGCTTCCGTAGCTGCTGGCCAGGAATCCCTCGTTAGGACTGGTCCCTGCGCTGCTTCTGCAAGAACGAAGAGACCCCGGTGACATCCCGATCCTAGGAAAGGAGATTTAGTGTCTTTCGCGACGGAAGAAGGAACCCTCACCCCGTGGAGTAGGTCCGGGGACGGTGCTCCCTGACGTCCATGATCCACCCGACGTGGTGCTCCACCGGAGGATTATTACTGTGTCGAGTTTTGCGCTTCCTCGGAGTCCTAGGGTCCACCGAGGGTTCATCCTTCACGACGGCGAAGAAACGGGGAACGGCTCCTCGTCTTCCTCGGGTATCACTTCTGGGTCTCTCGTTCCGTCGACTTCTCTCGGGTCTGCGCTCTCGTCTTTCGGGGCCCTCCACGGCGATTGGTACCTGAAGACGTGGAAACTAATGTCACGCCACGCAAATATATCATAGCGAAAGGGTTAAGCCTTAAAATTGGACATTTCAGTCACCTGGGCCGGTAGCGACTGTGCCACCTCGAAGTCTTCCGCCAGACACGGAGGTGGAGGAGGAACTTCAGGGTTGGCCTTGCGAGGAGGAGCCTTCGGGGCCAGCTTCTCGAAGGTCTCCTGACTGACGACGTTTATGGTCTTGTAGCTTTCGTACGAGGACGCGGAGCCGTACTGCGAGGGAAGGTGTCGCCTCGTTAGCCTCCTCGCATCTCACGGTCGTCTCTCTTCCTCTACGTTAAAACTCACCCGCTGCCCGTCCGTGGTCCAGAGGTCCTCCTCGTAGAAGTAGAGACCGTCGTTGATAGCCTGCTCGAGGTCTTGGGTCATCTTGACCCTGGTGGTCCAGACGCCGGTCCGGTCGTGGCCCTCGTGTTTCGGGGCCCTCGAGGAGACCGTGGAGCTCGTCTGGGTGACGATCAGCAGCTTATCGATATCTCTATCGGACAGCTCGTAATCGTCGTCGTCCTCCGACCTGCAGTCCATATAGTCGGCGCTGAAAATCAAACGAAATGTCCAGGGTTGATAAAAACCACGATTTCCCTTGAAAAACCATAACCCGCGGATTTCTAAAAATCACGATTATAGTCACAGGGTTCATTTCTAAATATCTTAATTATTTAAATAAACTCGTTCAATTTCTAGCATTCTAGCACCAAGTCTTAGTGCACCAACAACGATAAAAACACCCACCACTCGGAGAACGCGTTATGGCGACCGGTCGGCAGGGGAGCGTCGAGTTCCTCGTCGAACTGGAAATCGAGCTCCTCCCTTTCCTCCCTCTTGACGATGCCGGTCTTCTCCTTCTCCTCGTGGCGTTCCTTCGGCGGTTTCGACCTCCTCTTCACCTGGAACAGTCATTGCCGTGAGACCTCCCCCCCTCTCTTGAACCTCTCCTTCGGGTAAATTCGCAAACAGAGCTCGAGGTTCGGTCCCAAGGCCGATCCCCCTGATAACCACCTCTCTCCAGTCGTCCTCGGGCGAGGTCTGCGTCTTTCCGTTGACCTGGACCTCCGGTGTCCGGACGGTCGTTCGAGGAACGACGTTCTCGACCGGGGCCGGGGTATCTTCGCTCGCGGGGGGCCCCAAAGTCTTTGGCATTCCCGACTCGTCTTCATCCTTTGGTCGATCATTATTCTCTTTGTCATTAATAGCGGACTCATCATCGGCTGGCCTTGCCGCCGACACGACCGGCACAAACTCTGGCACATCGGGGTTTAGGCTCTCACCTATTGACGAGGAGACGCTCTCGCACTCGCTGAGTCGTCCCGTGGATGAGGTAACACCTCCTGTACGAAGGACTCGGGGCACAGGGGGGGCAGGAACTGTCGGTAGGGGTCGCGCGGCAGGACTGAACTCGGGCTGGGGTGCGGGAGGGATTATTACCTCGTTTTGGCCGGAATGGGAGATTTCGGAAAAGCTGGAGAAGACTGGGTTTCCAGCCGCGTCCAGAATCGGCCATTTCAGGGGATCGACTTTCGTCCTGACCTGGGGAACAGAAAGTCCTGCGTCATCCACTGGAGCAAAGGTACGGCATAATCCAATACGATACGCAACATACGAAATTAATTGCGAATCGTCCATTTTTCTCGGGAACGAATGGATGAAAATAATTTCTTTTTTTAATTAAAATTGTATATTATCTTAATTCTGGACTGTATTGTTAGGAGGTCTACTATCAAACTCCATTTCTGGGACCTGAGGTCTTAAATGGTGTCAGCGAATCCTCCTATTTCTTCTAGCACGACTCGACAGTTCGGCCGTTATATAAGCGACCGCCTCGTTAGATCGTGCCGGGTCTCGGGTACTCTTCATGGTAATTCACCTGAAATCCGTCGACCATCTCCAGCTTGTTGGACTCCAGGATGGCCTCGATGACCAGAGACACGTCCGTCGTCAAAGCCTGAACGCGGTGGAAGGAGGCGATCAACGTGATCGGCAGGAAACCCTGGGCGTCCATCTTGCGTCGGAGGAAGAAGTCCCTGAGGAGGTTCTCCTCGCTGAAGTAGTACTCTCTGGAAATTCGATACCGAAAAGTCAAACGTGGCATCAGATCGGTCTCACTGTCCGCGCTCCATTCCGACGTACATCTGTTTCCTGATGTACTCCTTGACCGTCGTCTTGTCCAGGTTGACGTAATTCGTGTTGTTGAAGTAAAACGTCCCCATGTACGGCAACATGTAGGAGGGATCGGCGGTCCCGTACTTGTTCATCTGGGGGGAATTAAAATAGCCGATGAATTCGACCTCTTCGAGGTTCTACGTGGATTCTAGAGTATCCCGGCGGTTCAGATCTACTATCAATTGTATATGGAGCCTCCATGGAATGGTCAGGTCCCTCGAAGAGTCGCATCATGCTTCGCATGCGTGACCCTGGTCCTATGCTATCGCATCTACTAGACAAAGTCGACCCACCTGAGCATAGGCCACGTGGTAGTCATGATAATCCGCGTCGTGCCTGGGCCTGAAGCCTCCTCGAGAAAGGCCACGAATTCCTCTTCCTCTTCCCCTGTAACTTCTTCCACCTCTTCCACCTCTGTAGCCGTATCTCGCTCTCTCGTGATCTCTCTCCCTCGCATTTTCGTCTGCATAAAAAAATAAAAACGATCATGCTCATTCTGCCGACTGCACTCTCAGAGCCCGTTCGCAAGGTCCAAAAAAAAGACAAAAATATATTTTCACGCAATACTACACACATCATCGAGTGAACATAAATTTTCTCGTGAACCCGACACGAGATGCAACAAAAAAGGTCGCGTAGAATTTCTTTCTACGGGTCATAGTTTGCCCGAAATAATTAATCAAAGAACATCCACCCGGGTTCGTTATCATTCGTGAAAATAATATATGAATTAATTAAACGGCGAACGAGCTGGTAATCTAGAAGGAACCTCGACCCCTCACCTTCCCCGTTCTTGTCAACCTGGTTGTGGTACTTGGGCGATCGTTCCCTCTTCCCTCTGTTCTTGGCCAGGTCTATTTCCAGCGGCACCCACTTCTGCTTGTTAGCTGCAACGAATTCGAGTTAGCGAAACGCCTCGTAGAAAGGCGAAAATCGGGACCGAACGTGATAACGGAGTCCTCACCTCTCTTCTTCTTATCGCTGCCGTCCGTGTGCTCGTCGCTGTCGTCTTGGCAGTGGTTCTGCTCCTTGTTCTCCTTTCCCTTGTTCTCGGCACTGACAGGAGGGCTCTCCTTCGAGTGACTTTCCTCCACCACGCCGTTCTGCTTATGCGTGGCCACGGGAGTCCTCTTCTGCACCGAAAAGGTCCTTACTGTACTTTACCTCCAATTTACCAATAACCCTTTGTAACGTGACTTCGATAACGTTAAAACGTCGATTCCGAAGTTTCTTGCTAAATTACCCCGGCAAAACTCAACCCAACACCTTATCACCGCTCCTTCCTAACCAAAGAAAATTGTAAACTCATAAAAAAAATGATAACAACGCTCAAAGATTAATATCCTCAAATTTCACGTTAAATCACTTTTTTTCCCGGCTTGAACAGATGCGATTTAATAATGAAAAAGACAAGAAATTCCTGTGGGAGCCATCCGGGACTTCGACGAGGGTCCAGAACGCCGACCCACCGGAAGTCGCTCCAAGATACATTTCCTCTGGCAAGACTTCTACACCCACGGGGCCAGAAAAAAATACCCCGCAGGCTCTAGGACTTGCTACACCTCTGGGGTCGACCCGAGAGCCTCGAATTAAAAGGCGCTATTTAAGACAAAATTTAAATTACAAAAAGGAGAAGAAAAAAAAAGAGGAAGGATAAGATACAGACCTCGCCTTGGGCTCCGAGAGTGGGCCAATCGCCGATGTCCGTGAAGTCGCTCGCCTGGAAAGTAACCATTCGCATTAATCTCCCTTTTTCTCCAAATGTTACCTGACCTCTCTATATTTAATCTCTCTAACTCCTCTCCCGATATCGGTCCCCGGGGATACTGACGCACCTTCTGATTGAATTTTCTCCTGTCCTTCGGCGCCTTGACGATGGTTGGCAGGACGCCAGTCGACGCCCCGTTTTCTGAAAGCGAAAACAACTTATGATGTATGCGACCGCCGGAGAACTAATCATCTCGCAACACCCGAAGAGCATTGCGAGACGACCAGTACAAGCATTTCATATAAACATAATAATTAATATCAATCGATATTAAATAATCGCAATCATAATTATTCCAGGGTGTCCTTAGAGATTCTCGTTTCATCACCAGGATATGATTTTTCATATGCACGGTTTTATCGGCATAAATAAAAATAAAAATCCACCCCCACCCGAACGCTCTTTGTAAGATCGAGGGAGAGGAAATAAACGGTACGAACATTTTGCAGATATATAACGTTATGGAAATAAGCAACGAATATTAAATATTCGCAATGATTACTCCCGCGAAATTCGTGTTTTAACGACCAAGGTGATTTTTTTTTCGAGTACCAGTGCGCGGTTTTATCGGCCTGATTACGACCATTCCGACGAGCGTGACCTCGTCGGCCCCCCTCTCTCTCTCTTTCTCTCTCCATCTCGGCCGGTTACCGATAAAAATAATTCGTCAAATCGAACTACCGAGCCGGCGATATAAAGTCGCCCACGAGGGTATAAATTCGGCCGAGACCTTCGGATTTTCTCGAATCAAGTCAAAGGAGAACTTTGTCCGACCCGTCACGCACCGTCCAAATCGCGGATAATTGAATCGCGTAACGAGACCCCGAAAAAAAAAAGAAAAAAAAAAAGAGGACAATCCGTGGTAAAGAATCAGGTTGAACGGACTTCGGCGAGAGGAGAGAGACATTAAGACATCAGATATTTCCCGGCGTCGAGCCAAAATCGAGATCTAAATTAATATCTCGGGGCATTATACTCCGCGTTTTTTTCCTCCCCTTTCATCCATACCGATTCTTATCACTGCCAATCAGCTCGACTGAATACTGCATTAAACTCCCAGGATCGATATCATAACCAATTAACCCAATCGAATATTAAATTTAATTCACCGGATTGACATCATTATCGATCAGACCGGTTAAGCGTCAAATTAATATCATTACTAATCAGGCTTATTAAATAATGCACCAAATTGAATTAATAAGTGAGTATGAATCGTGATTTCCCTTTCACAAAAAAAAAGGAAAAAAAAAGTTGAGATGAAACACGTGGCAGCGTCCAAAGTCACTTCTACCCATTTCACGATTAATCGATTGCGCAATCGAAGTCGGGAGAGGGAGTGCGCCAATCGAATCCCGCAGGCCCCTCGAATCGATACCACAGTCCGAGCGATAATCGATACCCGATCGATCCATTTCCCGCGACTGCAATTAAGGCGCCTTTCGCGGAATGTCAAATCGCCGTCGATTCGTCGATTAACCTTATCAGGGCGAGACACATTCGCGGTAGGAGATATCAAAGTTAAAAAAAGGAAAGGCCGATAAATAAGAATTCTGCTAAAAGCCCGCGAGTTTCCCCGTTATCCTTGGGGCTATATCCTTGAAGCTCCGCGATCCTCATTAAACTGCAATTACCTTTAACTCGCCGACCATTGGCAGTTAATTTAACGATCGATTCGGGCGAGGGATCGTTTTTCTCGATAATGGCAAAAAGGAGTTGACCTATCAATCATAGGAATCGATTGGAAATAATTCCAAGTCCCCTCGCCCTATAGAGAGAGATATTGAACAGGTCGAACAGCTAGGTGTCATATCACGAGTACCAGCTAAATCCTTGACCAGGACAAATACCCTACCGCCTTATCAGTTAAATCCTCGACCAGGAAAAATACCATATCACCCTATCAAGTAAGTCGAAACGACCATTCCGGTCTTATCACGATCCCTATCAAGACAACCCTCGGCTACCGAGTACCCTATCGCCCTACCGCCATCCTTATCAGCCAACTCCTCGCCCAGGACTCGCGCATTCGTCTTATCAACGCTTTCTACGCACTTCTCGCGAAGGATCGATACGAGGCGGTTCGAGTTCCCTGAAAACGCAATAGGTTTCCCGATGCCATTAGATTCGCCCGGCCTTAGCCAAGGCCGTGAGTCATCGGACATATCACTTGCGTCACTGATAAACAATACCCCGGTAATAACAAGGTGTACGGATGCATAATGCAGCCAGGCGCCACGCGACAACGCCCCCTCTCTCCAAATTTCATTAATTGCACAGATAGTCACCGACAAAAAAAAAAAGAAAACAATGCAATCGCCGAATTTAAGTGCCCAGCAATAAATTTAAACGTAACACGTAGAGCATAACCTAGAAACTCGACCATTAACTCCGCCAAGAGAGAAAGGGAAAGAGAGGCGATATCCTTCGCGACGGCGTTCAAGGCACGTTTCCACCGAAAAGGAGCGATATCAAGCCGGAGTCACGATTTTTGTTATTTTAAAAAAATCTCTCCTCCCTCGTGAACATTTATGCATTTAACGACGTCCGCACGAAAATCCGCCGGCCACGTCGGGCCACGTGGCGAGATAACAGCTGACGAGCTGACTGTTTTTTCACAGTATAGGTATAATTCCCATTGAATGGATAATTTCCATGGAATAAGCTCCTTCCAGTAAATAATTTCCCATTAGCCGGGATACCAAGGAGCCCAGGGAAAAGAAATAAAAAATCAAAGTGTCCCAAAATCCCAACTCACGCTGCGGCTCGGTCCGTTCGCCCCCGTTGATCCTCATGGCGTAGTCCGGAGGTGCACTATTCCTCGACTTCATGCAACATATTTCGCTAAAGAGACCCACTGCGCCACACCGCACTGCGTTTCTTTCCACTGCGGCTGGTTTCAGGGCAGCCCGGTGCCCATTTATTTATCCCAACTCTCGCCAGAGTCGTACTCTACTCGTGGCTCGAAATTTCGCCGAGAGAAAGAAATAAAAAAAAAATATATAGAGAAGAGTACCAAGAGGCTCTTTCGATTTTTCCGAGGATCCCGAGGTTCGGACGTTCGTCCACCTCGAGGGTCCACGGCCGACTGAGGCGGTTCGAGGCGCGCCGCCCCACTAGCTCTCGCCCTGAGGGGCGCCGACAAGTGATGAGCAAAATAGGGCTTGTTGTACCTGTATCGCGGTTTTAGCGTCAAAAGACGCTTTTTATCGCTGGAAGTGAGGTTTGAGGGTAGACAAAAAAATGTGTGAAACGTGAATAGGGGGCGAAAAGTACAAGGTCGACGACAAAACTTATACCTGGCCATATTTGCGAGACCAAGACTATATAAGACCAGGAGCGATTTTGCTCATCACTCCCAACAGGTAGGACGTAAACGAGGAGGCCCAACAAATTGTCTCCCTCACCTGTCGGGATGCAATTTCGATATAGGAAACCGATAATTCCGAGCTTCTCCGAGGAAACTCCTCGAGCCGAGTTTCACGAGGGGACTCGCATCTGCCGCAAGAGCTTCAACGGCCATTCCGCGGCAGCTGAGAGGACCCGAAAAGTACAAAGGCGTGCTCGAGCTCGGGAACGAGGGGACCCATCCCGAAACTAACCGTCGACCGTCCCAAAGATGCATTTCCGAAAATATATAGGGCCAAGGTACAAGTTCACGTGGTTTTTCCCCCCGTATTACGCGGAGTCTATTGAGTTTCTCTTTTTCTTTAAGATTCGTCAAAATCATTGCGAACTCTCGAGTTTCCTCACATTCAAAAATTAATTCCCGCTGTATTAGAATTTTTCGATCTAGTAAATTCGACAATTTTCTCGCTTTCCATCCCAATTTAAATTAGCGTCATCGGTCCCCATGGCAACGGAATCGCGTCCTCTGTCGCCATGGCAACAGAGACGCGTCCCGCGCCACGTGGCTACACGTTGCTTTCCTGCAGGATACGGAGCCAGGAACGAGTCGACACGAGAATATTGCGTGCCACGTGTTAATCGTGTCACCTCCTTATCACCAGAATGACTTATCGCCCGTCGCCTTTAGGCGAGTCAAGGAAAAAGTAAAGAGAAAAGGAACAAAAGGGAATAATAATAATAATAAAAATCCATAAAATCGTCCGTGCACGTCGCGTCACGCATATCGCTGTACAAAGTATCGAAACGAGAAAACGCATAATCGGGCCCGACCGGAAAGCGTGCGGCCAAATGTCAAGTCGAACAAGTAATTAGCAACGATAATCGATAAAGTACGTATTAATAGCTCGCCGACTTTCGAAAGTCGGGGCGCATTTCGGCAACGGCGATTTCTCGTTTTTCTCTCCCCGGTTTGAACCGATCGGACTGGTCCTTGACAGTCAAAAGAAATTCAAGACTTCAAAAACGTTAAAATCGTCATTCACAAGATTTCGAAAATTTTTTTCTACGACTTGACAGAATTTTCTCTTGTGGAATAAATTAGCAACAAAAAAGCACTAATTTCTCCCACGTATCTTATTCGATTTTTGCTAAAGTGGTCGTGCCAGCTCAACAGACATGGAATTGTCTCCGTTTTACGGGCGTACCGTCGTTGCCTCCTTCACAAACGCATGCATGTACATATACGAACACAGCTCGCGATTTTCCCTTTCACCGGTCGGGCCGCGCGGAATAATCGCGTGCGGTAAATAGAGGGATATACCCGGGGGGCTCGCGAGAATGTGGAGTAACAAATAAAAAGGAGAAAGAGTAAAAACAGAAAAGAAGCCGAGACATTGGTAGCGCAAAGAGGAAAGACCTGTTCGCAGCAAATCCCTGATTATAACGTGACAGCACTTTCGAACATACCATATGGTACTCAGACCCTTAAAAAAAAAATCGTGATGTTTAAAAATCGCCGATTATAACAATGACTTTAAACAAACGGTTTAAATCGCCTCTAGGGACATAGAATATAATGAGCGACAGAAATCAGGGAACGATCTTTCCCTCTTTTTTTTTCTTGTAATTTTCCAAAAAGACTGCGCAACGCTCTCGGCCTTTTTTCATCTCCCCATGGTCACAAAAATATCCAAGGGGGGATTATCTCGGCTATAGTTGGTCCATATATCGTATCCACGGTGTATACGTATACGCAAGCCCGCGGTTCTCGCTTTTACCTCGGTCCCTCGCCTTAGGGCGGCGCATATATTTCACTCGCCGAGAGTTAACCTTCGCGCGTGCGCGACCGCTTACGAAATTCCCGTCGTCGAAATAGAAGCGCGCCTTGAGGCGGTCCCGGGGGAAAGAAGCGCGGGGGTCCCCGCACGCGGCTCCCATTTGTCAAGTTACGATGATCCCGAGGGAGGGCGACGCTAATGATCCCGGAATGCCGAGCCAGCGGGATAAACTCTTCATACCCAAGATGTAACAGAATCCACGGCATCTCCCAAGAGCCATCCCCGTTGAAAACGGAGTCGAAAACTCCGATACAATCTTCCCCCACCTTGCACCCTCCCGCCGTAATAATTCATCAGAAAAATCAGCCTAATCACTCGATTACCTTAATTTTTAACAAAACAGCGTTTACGCTATCCCGAAACTGGAGTCAAAAGTTCCCATACATTTTCCTACGATTAACCCGTAATGAATCTTACCAGAGGGGCAAAACTAATTTTTCAACGATTACAGACAAATTACGCCCTGCATAAATAAATTGTACAAGACTTCATTACCACGGGCATGAATTCCCTTACACCCCGATACATGTCTACATACTTAGATACTATGCATAAATGTACACCTACACTTGTAATCGCAAATTTCCCCTATTGACCCAGTCCCCTCTGGAATCGTAAAAGACGCAAGGGAGAAAGAAAAATAATGAGGGGAAAAAAAAAATTAAAAAAAAAATCGTTCGAAAAACCGCAAAGCAGGCCGCGGCATTCGCGGCCGGCCCGGGCGATAACGCGTTCGGGTTTTATCTCTCGGTAACCGCGGCGGAGCCATTTGTCCACGTGTCCGAAAAAAAGTCTCCACGTCGGCGCGTCTCTCGGTGGGACGTGTGCTAAAGCGATGACGCGGGCGTTATACGGCCAATTTATTCGTGTCTCCGCGGGCCGCGCTGGAAGCGAGCGAGAGGGGCCCCCACGTGACATTGACACTCGCCGCCCCCGGGCACCCCGCTAGGTTAGGTCGCGCACGCACGTGTTAAAACGCAATCCATTTTGCGTAATCGCCCTCGGTGGAAATCCACCGTGAAAAAGGCGGATCACTGACCGATTACGGGATCGATAATGAGCGATAAATCGAGGGACGAGTGGCCTTTCTCTCTGATGAAGGAATCATCGGTGGCAAACCAGTTACATACATGAGTCGTTACATGTCTCCAAAGAGAAAGAGAGAGGGATATGGAGAAATAGAGAAATAAAGAGAGAGAAAGAGAGAGAGGGCTACGTTGCACAGGCAAGATATCCTCTTAACAGATACGAGCAAAGTAAGACCGAATAGGAATCGAGGCCATCCGACGCAGAGGTGGAATAATTAATATCTTTAATGGTCGAGCGACTTTGCGGTCACACCGCCTCGGAATTGCGAGATCTGACATTTTGATCGAGCTTGACGGGGACAGAGGATACGTGGATACCTCTCTCTCCCTCCCACCACGTGTATATATGTCTACATACATTATACCGGGAACGGCGTCGAAGCCGCGTCGAGAAATCGACGGTCGTTCTGTTCGCGAGCTTGCCACCGAGGTGGAAACCCAGTGGAAGCGTATCGACTTATCTAACAGACATTCGATACACGAGGTACGTCGTCGAGAGTGAGAGTCGAGTCTGAAACCTGTTCTCAAAACGGCCGACTCAAGATCGGGTAGGGACGTAAAGGCCGCTTAAATGTGCTCCAATAATACGCCGGGGCTCGGCCGGGTTTAATTATTCACTCCCCGTGACGACTGGATCCGGCCGGGGACGATTAAACGCGTTCGCCGTGTCCAGGGGGAAAAATTAATGAAAATATGTATAACGACTATTTGAGGCCCCGCAATGAGTTTCTACGACTCGTTCGATAATAAAAATATGTGTACACGATGGAGGTTGCGAAACGCAGGGATGATCGAGTGTCGTGTTTGGGGGACAGTTTTATAGGTCATGTCGGTTGGTCAGACGTCGCTCGGTTTTCAAAGCATCGTTTTTCAGGGATTTCAAGGTATCTTTGCGACGCTTGCGTCATATATTTCGCAGCTTCGTGGACGTACTTATAGGTTATGAGACGACTAACCGCTAAGGATGACCACGAGGTGCGCGGCCAGTGGCGCCGCATCGCGGAGTCGCTCCGAACTTCCTCCCACCTATATACCCACGAAACACAAGTAGACGGGTCTTTGGATCTCCGTAACATGCCGATAAGACGATCTTACGTCACACGCGCAAAGTGCGAGAGCATCCTGGTAAGAGATCGCGCGATATACGACATAAAAACGACCCAGAGGCGCCCTCTGTAGCGATTCGACTCACCGACTCGTCCCCACTGTTGCTGTGGCTGCAAGACCCTCTTCTCCCGTTCGGCCTGTACCTCGTTAACAGGCTCCGGAGGAGGTGCAGGTGCCACCGGCGCAACTGGGGGAGCCTGCACCGGAGGAGGTGGAATCTTGGCCTTGGTCCAAGGGTTAACTGCCGGTATGGGTGCCTCGACGTACTTCACGGGTTGCGGTTCGAACTCCGAGTCCAGTCCTGGACTCTGCTCCTCCTTGTCTCTGACTCCATCCCTGACGGGTCTGTGTTCCGAGGCATTCCGATCCCGATCCCGATCCCTATCCCTGTGAGTTCGTTCGTTGCTCCCCCCGCTAGGTCCTCTCGGCAGTTGCCGCTCTCTGTGTCGATGGCGGTCTCTGTGATCTCGGAAGTCCCTGTGCTTCTCCTTCCTCCTGGCGCTTTTCGGAGCCACGGTTTGAAACTCTCCATCGCTGCTCCGATCCACGTTGACGGTCTCCTCCGCGTCCTGAAGATTATCCTTCGCGTTGGCGTCTATCGTCTCGACGTCGGTGCCCTCGTTGTACCTGGACGAGGCGGAGAGGTTACCTCGGAAGTGCCGCTCCACGTTGCTCCTCTGATAGTACGGAGCGTCGAAGCGCCTTCCGCTGGTCTTCTGGTAGGACTTCCCTCTGGATACCTGTCCGATATTCTCTTTATCGCACTCGGTCGACTGACTCCTGGCCGCCTCGCCGCTTTTGGGGTTAAGCACGCTCGCGTAAGACACGCCGGGGCCCTCCTCTCTCTCGCTGCTCCCGGCCGCCATCTTGTCCGCCATCTTGGCTGCCACCTTGGCCGCCATCTTGGACCGCTCGGCTCGAGACAAAAACACGAGGCCCGGGCACCTTCCGGCTGTTAACCTCTCAGCCGATCCTCGGGGACGCGAGACCAAGTCTCAGGCTCTCCACAAGCCTCATCAATGTCCTTTAACGGCGAGACACTCCCCGGGGTCGAGACAGTCGAGCGTTAATGTGCCATCCGGTCCGCCGAGGTGAACATGCCGAGCACGCCGCGGCTCGAGCGCATGGCCGCCACCGGATATTCTCTCTCCTCCCGACGTTACGACCCACTCGCCGGGCCCGAATGCGGACACATCAATCCTAATCGACTCCCACGGGCCCGATTCGACCGAGTCCACCCGAGCCAGGCTAGATCGAGCACTTTACCGAGCCCTGCACGCGGTCGGGGCCGAGCGCATGGCCGTCGCCACTTGCTCTCGAATCTCCGGCTCGCCGCGAAAGTTCGACCACACCATCGACTTGACGCGGTTTCGAGAGATCGAGGAGACGTTCCCGGTCCGCCGTGTCCTCCTCTTTCTCCCGCGATCTCCCGCCGCCGACTGCTTAATATGGGAGATGGGAGAGCTCGCCTCCCGCTGCGGGTCGCGGTTCTTTTTTCCCCCTTTTCTTCCCTCACCTCTTTCTATTCCTAATATTTCCTCGCGAATCTTTCGGCGCGAAACTCGCGAGCTTTCCTTTTTACACCCGGCACACGCGGCCGTTGGCACGGGCGCACTGACTCGGCGAAAATCCGCGACGGCGACTCCGAGGTGGACCGACTCCCGGGGCGACCGCTCGCGGCAGGATCGGCCGCTTCTGATTGGCTAACGAGCGCCGCGTGCGGCCTCCGGTCGGCACGCTCGCGGTTCCGGCTAGCAGACGGCACCACCTCTCGCCCTCGGCACACGGCACGATGTGTGCTGATGTGTGCTACGGACGGGAAGGAACTCTCACGCGGCACTGCTCTGGACCTTGCCGTCGTCCATCGATCCCTACGCCGACCGGCGACTCTACCGCACCCGACACCGACTCAAGAGCCCGCGGATTACGTAAAGCCGGAACATTTTCAAGGATTTTTTTTCTCACGGGAACGGAGGAGCCCGCTAACCGCGTGTCACCACCGCTGGTTTCTGGCCTCTCCGCGCGAGAGGACGGACCGTCTCGGCTTCCGGCGGCCTACCGACCCACGCTGCCCGAAACCGCCGCGCGGCAGAGCCACTGCCGCTTCCGCGATTTTCGCGACCCAACCGCCATTTTTGAATATTCTATACAATAATTTGAATTGTGCGATGATTTTCAGGGATTTTCAAATTCTTAAGGAATCTTTAGCCTCAAATGGGCAGATACTAGTTTCTTTTTTTGGGTTTTGAATTAATAAGTGGTAAGTAAATCGCGGTCTCCAGAAATTGTTTGTAAGGTTTGGAGAGAATGGTTCAACGGAAAAATATTCATTTAATTGAGCGAATATAAATGGGGTACAATTTCTTACGAATCCGCGCTCGTATAAAGCGGGAATTATGCCCCATTTTAGGGTAAATGTACACGTAAATATATTACATATAGAAACAACATGGTGTAAACGGTAGAGCGGAGCTGTTCACAGACCCTGCGATTGTCAGATTATTCAAACGCATTTGCTGCTGTAAGTTTAACAATATATATATGTATCACGGTTGAGGAATATCTTCAAGGTCGAGGGTTTTTAACGATCACCCTGCTCGATCTTGGATCGAACTGGCTAATCGGTAATATTTGCACATACTTGATTCTTTGAACACATTACAAGTCTAATCGAGAAGAATCAATTCATCACTGCTGATTTTTGCTATATCGATTAAATCTTAGGCTTAAGAACATTGGGTGTCAACTGTCGTCGATAGGATATTTTTTCAAGGATCGTTCGAATGCTTCGGCTATGGTTGATCTGAAAAGAGCCAGTTTTCAAACTGGGTAACAGGAAAGTTAGAGAATAACTAATAACAGGGTCTTACCTGAAGGCTTTTTGGTGGAGTAAATAAGCTGTCACGTGGCCAGCATTAATAAATCGAATCTCAGCTCCGGGCCAAATTTGTTCGAGACTCATACAACCCTCTCGTGGGATGTAGGCATCGTCTCTTGCACACACTGCAATGATGAGTTCGGTATCGACAGGAACTTCAAAGTTTTGGAGATGAGTACATTCGTCCATAATGCCTCGCATGAATTGCAGTGCTTCCCTTTCTCGCCATTTACTATCTGAAAATAATGGGTGCTTCGATACGGGCAATAGGCACACCCCTATTAAAAAAATTCAGTTTAGTAATAAATAAAAAACGTGCACATTAGTGTCAGAATGGAGTAGGGAACTAGAATGACAGGGGCAACACCTAACTACATTCCATAATCATTAAGTGCAAAACGTCATTCATATGCAATGATGAAATATGCAATGCTCGAAAATAAAAATTATAATATGCTTCATTTACCCTTCACAATTTCAGCTTCGCTTCCTTTAAATCTTGGAGAAATAAGATTTAGGGGAAACATTCTAGCCGCTGCTTTCTCTTCGGCAATATGACATTTATGTACCTTATCACCATTACTTGAGTTATTGTTTTTATCAGTATTGCTTATGTTACGAGCATTGTCTCCGCCAGAACCAATACCGTTGCTATCAATGCCTTGCTTTGTGATTTTACTCTTCTCTTTGCTGTCAAGGCTTTTTGATTCTTTTCTTATTTGATTCATTCTTTGCAAACTGGCTGGGTAATGTTTCGCAAAATGTTGGCCAGCTAAAAAAGCATCCTGTAATTAGATCATTGCATGAATAAATCATTAAGTTGGTATGTGTCAAGGGAAGGGTGATTTTACTCACGTCTTGATCTATTATTTTTACCATCTTGGCAAGATCGTTCTGGTAAACTTCATTTTCAAAATACTGAGTCTCCAGTAACTCCCAGTTAATCGATGCGCTCATAACTCCTTCTGTAAATACTGGCGATGCTGTCGACCATGACAGACATGGCACGAGAGGAATAGGTTTAGGCCAGTTTGTTGCAGCAAGCGAAGCCATCTGCAAATGTCAATACAGATGATAAAAATGAATGATGCGAGGAAACATAAATCTCTGGGACTACGTACATGTCCTCCCATTGATAAACCTGTTAATCCCAAGGGTCCAAATCCCTGTTGTTCGCACCAATTTAACAAAACAATTGATTCCAAGATTAGGCAACCACCCATGATGAAGATATCGGATACATTATGTAAGCTCGAGCGTCTATCAAGAAAAACTTCTTTTTGATAAATAAAAGTATAAATTACCAAATGTAAATGAAAAAACTCTTATCTAGTACAAACCTGGCTGTAAAATTTATTCTTACATTTGATCTTTTGGCTTTCTCAGCCCATAAAATGGATTTTCCAGTAATACAGCAGCGATTCCGAATTCTTTAAGTAGTGGCTTAGCTATTAAATTACGTCTTCTCCAAAAAAACTATAAAGGTTATGAAACGTCCGATTTAGAAGTGTTTAATTAATTGCTAATTATTAATTAATCGTAAGAGAAAAAAAATTTCCTACATGATCTCCCGTGCCTGCGAGGTGTAAGCATATAGGTTTGACTTTGTGCGACTGCCATTTGCGTGGTAAAATTATTTGAAAATAAGCCGTCTTTGCCTCTTCTGGCATAATCATTGGTAAATACATATCGAAAGGGGACTGAAAGTATCCTTCGATAACGTGACAGTCGGACCATTCTTCGTCCTGCCACATGAAAGATGGTTAGCACAATGCTCCAATAAATGTTCATTTATATCGTGCAAGCTTTACCTTTGTAATCGTTATAGGATAATTTGGAGAAATAAGATTGTAACAAGCTTCACGATTAGAGACGATTTTCCTGAATTCGAATATTCTGAAATGAAAACGTCTCGTCACGGTATATATTTAAATATCAACCAACGTGGCCCAGGGCAAATAAAAATTCCTGAAGGAAATTAAAAATCCACAGGAGCATTTTTATAGGTTAAGTTACCTTTTCAAATTCTCAGGCTTGCCCCAGCCTTTGGTAAAGAATTTCGTGAGCAAAATACTTCTGTAGACGGCATCCAGGCGACTAGGGGGCATGATAAAAGTAAAATCCTTCTTAACTAAAAATACGTCGAAGTCGGAGAAAGCCTCGCGTATAAATTCATAGAAAAATACTACATAAGCAGATACGAAACCGTACGTCGCTCACATTATCCCCGACTAAGATAACCTCCAATTTCGCCCGTCGCATTGATAACGAATTCTAGATGCGACATCTCGCAACGGTTCCTTTTTTCCCTCCGAAATATTCACCAAGGGCAGATTATTTATACCACTAATAATTTCTTTACGCGCGGCGCCCTTACCACGTATCGATACCGCATTAACTGGTGCGTTGAGAAGCGGTCGTTCGATATATCGACCTAATCGATATCCCTGATACTCCGGCATGGCTCCAATTTTGAGGTGAAATATTCATCACCGTTTAAATAAAATATCGCTACCAAACCGCGATCGATGGTTAGATTCAAGGTAAGAATAACAATCCGGAACGTCCATATATTTTTAATAATTCGCTCATAAATCTTATCCTTGCGCAAGGAATTAAGTACCATTTATTTTATCACAGTTCTCGTTATTCGTCCCGTATTAGGTTGAAAAATTTCGTGAACGTTCCTTTCGCAGGATTTTTCTTAAACTACGGCGTCCTGTTCCTGCAGTTAGTTATTCGAGGACACCAAAGGCACGCCAAGGGACGAAGAAGAGGCCGAAGAGATGAAATTCTCGTAAAAACACTCGTCACCAGCCTTTTCGGACGAGCTATAAAAGGACTTCTCCAAAACCGAATTAGCCGATCGCTCTCGTCGCTCCTCCAGCTCTTCATTGGTAAAATTCATAGCTCGATCAATAGCATCGTTCAGCCACCGGTTTAAAAAATTCTGAACACGCCTAAACCTGCTGGCGAAACTGAACATGACCCTGGAATTAAAAGCGCATCAGTTATTTATACATTTCAATTTAATAACGCCAGCGAACACGCCGGAATGTAAATCGGCTCGAATATAAATCAGAATTAATATCAATTGGCTATTGACCAGGTCGCAATTGTTAATTTACGTGAACCGGGAATTAATCGAGCAATTTTAGTCGAAGTAGCGAATGCTACACTGTTAAACAAAAATTTGTCCAAATGTTATAAAATGATATATTTTTTAACGGTGTAGCAATCGCTCGTCGAGTCTTTTTGGGATTAACGATAATTTCTTTGTAACTCATGTAATTAATTTTTTATAGGGATTTACGTACTTCAGGATGAATAGCCTGATGCATGACCGATAAGACATGGAGGCGTACAATCTGGGCATGTGCAGTTCAAGTACGTCCGTGAGGTAGTACAATGCAATCTCGAAGCTGGATCCGGGGAAATAATATCGCACCCCTTCGACAACGCACCTCATCAGGTGCTCCCATTCGGGTATGACGTTTCTCAAATTCGGTTTCACCCAAAACTCGATGAGATCCCGCGAACGCTGCTGCACATCTTGAAGATTACCTCTGCAGAAGTTGTACCTGAAGAGGAAAACGATAGTCACACTTCCTCTCAAAGGATAACGATAAAACTTGGCCCATAAGTTCTTGCCCTAAAATATCGAAAATGTCACTCATTTCAAGCAAGGCATAAAAACACCCGTAGAGCTCTAGGAAGAGGTGAACGACGAAGAAGATCTTGATTAAAATTCTAAAATTGAACTGTTTAATTTTTCTTTAAGGTATGTAAGGACGGCATGAGCTCAAGGGACCGTTTAATGCGAAGAAGTTAATTTCCAGGTCGCCTGGTGCACGTACTCGTCCTCGATCCCTAGGAGGTACCCGAGTCCTCTCCAGAGGTGGCAGAAAGCCTCCAGGTCCTCGTCGGAGGCGTAGTGTATACCGAATCGCTGTGGATGCAGTATTACCAGTCCCAGGAAGCCGAACTGGGTGATCGCCATGTCCGTCTGGTTAATCCCCGTCAACCTGGCACTGTTGGTCATGTACCAGCACTGTCCTGGAGCAGGTGCAGGACAGGTGTATCGAAAGTCTTCTAACAAGGACTCCCTGGCAGGGCACCAGGCATTGGGTATCCTGGTGGCCTGGTCGACCTCTTCATAGCTCGACTTGTTTATCCTCTCCCTGACCGTTCTATGCATTTGTCGGACAACCCTGATGTCCTTGTACGCCGAGGTTCCCTCGGTCCAAGGGTCCTCCGTGTACCAGTTCCTCACCCGGATGCCCGTCGACAAGTACCTTCAAGGTAGTTACCCTTTTAATTAAAACTCTATCTTTAGAAATGAAAATAACGACGACTTAATGTGCTAAAAGTTCGTTAATACAAGTTTTACTGAATTCTTCCAGATGATGAAGGAGGTACCTCTTGAACGCCGCGAAAGGCGTGCTGGACTTGCCGGTGATGATCATGGGTTTCAGCCCCTCGGCGAAAGAGAAGAGGACGAAGAGGGAGAGCAGCTGCGAGTAGAAGACCCCGAAGAAGTGATCCCTGGCGAATTTTTGACCCCTGTGGAATTTATCCAGGTCTAGCCAGGGTGGTCTTTCGGCTTGCGACCTGCCGCAGTCCCCGGTCCTTAGGGCCCCTTTCGTCGCGTTCTTCAGGAACTCTGGGAGGATTCCGAAGGCCTCGTGAGCGTCTTTGCGAGCTTGTTCCGCGTTTTCGGGGGGGACGAGGGATAAAATGTGCTGGACTAATTCCTCTTCTTTCAGAAAGCCGTTCTCCGACGAGGTCTCGTCTTCCACGGCGCTTCTGCTGTCCAGGTCCGTCAGGTCGTCGAGGCCGCTCGGCTCGAAGCCGCTGTCCTCGTCGCTCTCGCGTTTCAAACTGTCGTCCTCGTCCTTTGACATGTAAGTATTGTGAAACTCCGAAGTCTTTCGAAAGACCCGTTGCTTCGGAGACTGCATGTCGGCAGCCCTCTTCATGGTCTCCGGATTGACATTAAATAATCTTTGGTGGAGGTTCCACCTGGAGAGTGCTGGTGACCCCTGCAAAAAAAAAAGGGAAATGCTACCGTTAGAAGAGACTTACACGAGGATGCAACGAGGAGACACGAACTCTCAAATGGAAGCTGTCGATGAAGCTGCTCTCTCGAATCAGCGAGAATCGATGCACTAAAAGGAAATACGACTCTTAGAAGAGGATGCAACGAATAGAAGCTGGACTCAGATCAGCGAGAGTGTTGATGCACCTCCGACCGCGTTACGGTTCACTTTGAGCCGCGCTATCGTACCCTACTCCGACTAGCAACGCGGACGAAAGAGGGAGAAAAAAGGACAAATTGCGAACATAAACAGGGTTAAAGACTGAAGATGGCTAGTCGTGACGCAACGAGCTCGTAGTCACGTTAATCTTCCATTCGTCAGATTTCCAAGGCCGCAATTCCGACCCGGTCGGAAAACTAACCCCGACCTTGGCCACGAACATGAGGTCTGCCCATGGACTCAGTGAGTTTCCTCGGAGCTTCAACTCCTCCACCGTCTCCATTTAATCATTCCGGACCTGCCAAAATGGTAAACAAGAGTGACGCAGAGCCAAAGTCGTCCCTGAGGCTTCCCTCTTTTATTTTTCCCGGCGGACAGGATGATCGGCATCTTTCGAATCGTATATAATGCTGCTTGGATAGTCGAAACGTCGAAAGTAGCATTTAGAAAATCTTGCAACACGAGTTGCGGTATGTTAACGTCTTTTTCCAGTGACACTCGGGAGTGACGTCTACGGTCGTGGTTAGATCACTGCTGCTCGCCTTGAGGCTCGTGCAAGCTGCAGAATGTATCCGGAAAGAGACTGCAACTTGCACCTCGGGACTCCGCGGGGCATCCTGCAATGCGAGAGCGAGATAAATGTATGTACTCCGAGAAACGTATTATAAATGCGTTAGAAGGAGTACTGCTCCTCTCTCCAAATCCGCCGAGTCGACTTCTCTCCCACGCTTCGTGCCGGCCCTCGCAGTGTCATTCGTTTTATTACCGATGCAAACTACGGAGAAACCGCCTCGAGGGCGTGCAAAAAATACGGAGTTGCATCCCTTCGGGATAAAAAAAAACGAAAAAAACCGGTCAGCCGTGGTAATTGCGGCCATCGCGCATGCAGCGCCGCACAGGCCTCATGGCGTTGCTTGGCTTGTAGTGACATAGGTCAGTGCCACGGTCAAGGTCGACATAGAGAAACCGGAAGGAGTCTCTAATCGTCGATTTTTAACTGAAAGTCACACGTTTCTCCCGAAGAATAAATTATATCGAGATCCAAGGCACGCGTGACAATTAATTAGAATTATAATAAGGCACTCGTAATCACCTGTTCCGCGCATATAACCTGATTCGCTTTTCCATGAATCGGGGACCGATAAAAAGGCCAAGAAAACCCGCCTTATTTCCGCCTTACTTCTAAAACGAGTAAAACGACTATTTCGACCTTGACCATCCAGCAGATCTCGTGGCTCCGTGTTCTTGGTTAAATAATCCTCTGATTGCAACTGCGGCTCGACTTACGCGTGCTCATGGTGCGGCGACGACTCGACCGAGGTTTCGACTAATCGGGGCGAACTTTCGCGGTGTCAAGGGAGAAGGTCGTGTCAAAAGGTGTCGGATCTGTTATAAGAGCTCGCAGTTCATTCTGACAGTGTTACCTGGTCGGAAAACGACGCGGCACGGCGTCTTTTGGCATCGATCGCGTCCCTTGCACGCCTAGATATAGCACAACCCGGTCAGGCATGCGCATTTCGTTTCGCTCAAAATTAGACTTAAGAAAGACCGCGTGACAATTTTCAAGAAATCGCCATTTAAAAGATACACGTGACAACCGATATGATGTCTTTATGTAGAACGACTGGCTTCAGGATTACATCTAAAAAAAAAGGAGAAAAAAAATGCGCGTTCTCTTTGTTGCCATTTTACATTGTACTCCGCCAAATTGCAGAGAGAAAAAGCGAGAGGTTCGGCCGCACCGAAAATTGGCATAAGCGGATATGCACCTGTACAGGGCCGACCCTCTTTTCGGCAATGCACTCACGGTCTCGTGAACACTCGCATGAATTAGCATTACGATCCCGTGAGTCGAGCATAAAACTTAATCCGCAATTGCAGGCCTAATTACACCACTCCCGGCCGGGAAGTCCGTCCACACCGCGGTAAAAAAAGGGCATTAACGTCCATTCCTACACGCATTGTAATCAATGAATCGGGTACCACCTCGAAAGGAAAGTACCCACGCGCGTTCGATGCACCTGCACCTGCACCTCGACACCGCGGAACGATCGCATAGTTCTAATCGTAAAAATTCCCTGGCACCTCTGTAAGGTGAGCTCGGTGGTGCAGTCTTGCACCGCATGCACATTCAGCCGCACAAAAGCGTCCCCTTGCATCGGGAGTCGTATCTTGGGCAGTAAAGGCGCCGTCAAAAACGTCAAAGTCGGGAGGACTACTCGACAAAGTCTCCTGGCGCGACGACGCAGGTGCATCCGGGACTGCACTTGCTCTAGAGTTCCCTGAAATTTTGAGGAAGTGTCATTTCGCGAATTTTTTATCCCCCCACCTCGGAATTATTCACCGGTCCGCGGCCTTTGGTCTCTTCATTCGGATTTCTCGTCTCCTTTTTACAAGGGCGTTTCGACGCAACTCTGTTGAATATTTCCGCAGGCTCGGGGACCGACCTGGGGCGGTTCCTCGGTGGTTAGCGATGACGGTACTTGGAGTATAATGACCGCTTCTCGCGAACCGCGGTGCAGCGTGATATAATGGCTCGATATAACACGCCGCTCGTGGGCGGAGTATTATTTATGTATGGGAAACTCGGCATCCTGCGAGATGCCCGGCTCTTCCCTTGAGCCATACCGTCCTGCGTTATTTAATGCACCCCCGACTCTTCCTTACACATCCTGGCTTGTTAAGCCACCTCGTAGGTCGTAACAGAATCGCGTAATAACGTCGTCCCTTATCAACTCCAGATTGACCCTTCCGAATAAATCGGGTTTCCTGTACGAACGGTCGTCGGCAGAGAGAACTTGCTTAAGTGAAAATTACTCGGCAGGGTATGACGCGGGACTTTTGTTAGGGGACTTTCCTCGAAAAATGAGAGGCACACCCGCTCTGCGGTAAGAAGGCCGGCTGTCACGTGGCGGCCGTGCACCTGTCCATGCACCGCCAGTGCACTCGCGCGCACCGCTGCACCGTCGAGTCCTGTAACCGCGTGACAGCCCTACCTTCGAAACGTCCACCAGCTAAAATAGAAACAAACCGATAATATATGTCAAAACATGTATATTGTCGTATCTAGTAATTATTAGTACCAATTATCAAGTACACTGGATGTGACAGAATTCCTGGACACGGCTTACACGTAACAATTCCCGTTGAAAAGGGGAGTCGATAAATCCTGAACTATTTTTTTTTTCTATGATGCATGCGGTGATAATTATTCGAAAAACAATCACGAGTCGATTAATTACTGTACTTGGTAAACTGTGCGCCGTGGAAAGAAATATTGGACCAAAGGTACCTCCCGATTTTTAATTAAAAATCGGTACAGAAATTAATAATCTATGGGAGAAATATCCGTGGCATTATTTTTTAAGGTATTAATATTTTTACCATTGTGTACTATATGAATATTTGCGTAAAAAAGAGTAAGAAGGAAAGAGAGGGATCTTCCGGTAGACCAGGTGAGAGGAGAGGGTTGAAGGTGTCAAGAACGTGGGGGTAGGTCCAGGTGGAGGGGAGTCACGTGAGCGTGAGGCCGCGTGCTTCAGCATCCTCATCAGGAAGCGCTCATTCCGCGCGCAGCGCGCAACCGTGCACCATCGTCGCGTTCCTCGTTCCCATAGAACCACCATCAAACTCCCGAAATAAACATCAAATCAGAGACCATCGATAAAAAAAAAGAAATCTTAAAAAAGAATCCGTGAAATCGGCCCAGAAGAAGTGCACCGAAAAATCGAAACTCCTCTCGCCATTCACCGCGGCTCCATCGACCTGCAGTGATCGATACCGAATTTCGGATTTCCGATAAATCCAGGAGTTCCCGAAGAGGGTACTTGCCGGCGTGGAAGTCTTCGGAAGAGAACCCACGTGGGAAGTGATCGATACCGAATTTCGGAGTTCCTGAAGAAGGTACTTGACGGCTTCGAAGTCTTCGGAAGAGGACCCACGTGGGGGGAGATCGGAGCAGCGAAGATGAAGACGTGGACGATCCTGACGACCCTGTGCCTCCTCCTGGTTCTTGCAGAGGTAAAGATCAAGAAAGATCATTTTTTATTCCAAGTTTGATAAGAGAGATGACGTTACCTTATCGCACCTCGGCTCCCTCGTCGCCTCTTTGTCCCCCAAGAAATGGTTCTCGAAGAGAAGTCGTTTCGTCCCCGGTTATGCTCGGCTAAGTCCTCGATCGGGCGAGACGATTGAGGTCTCGACTGAACGAATCCCGAACTCGAACTCGAACTCGAAGTCCTGCCTCCTCCGGAGCCGACGTCTGGGGACAAAAGTAAAGTGCATTGACACGCTCCACGGGTTGATTTCTATTTTTTTTCTCCCCGGCATTATATCGCCATTGCGATTGCAGAGGCGCCGATAACGACTATCATAGCCTCTCTTCAGGCAGGATGAGTTGCGTAAGGTCGGGAGGGAGGAAGCAATAATTCTTTACCATTACCAGTCGCGTCCTCGATTTCCGCGCCGGATGCGAACGTACATTGGTACAAAGTTTTCCGATATTTCGACCACTTTCGGATGCAATTGTGTAATGAGACTCGTGGCTCGCTTTTACTATCAGAGCATGCATTTTAAATTAATTAAAGCAACAAGACAGCGGCACCTAATAGGTCGATCGTTCAGGAGTTATTTTTTTTATACTGGATGTAAATCGGTATTTCATCCCCACAATTCCACACAGTGGAATTTCAATTTTTTAATTAAATCTAGAAAATGCGCAGAAAATTTAGCAAAATTTTGGAGTCGCGACCCTAAGGAGCACCTTGAAGAGCGCGTGGGAATCGGCCAGGATGAATCGAGGAGGATTGTTCCTCCTTTTGTACCCTGAGGAGGTGGTGTCCATTCCCAAGGGACCCGGGAATGGCATTGTGATAGTTTCGCGCGTTCCTTGGCCACGCGTGTGCGTGAATGATAAGATCGGTTCGCACGCATCTCTAGAACGAGGGAAGGTGCGCGAAGAAAACCGCTTTAGAAGGGTGCAGCCGGAAACGAAAGAAAGAAAAAAAAAAGTAATCCCGAGGTCGTGGGAAGTCTCCCCAAGCCCGAAGAGTAGCACGAGTGAGTTTGAAAATGGGACTCAGAGCCGAGTTCTCGGATTTCCGAATTTTCCTGGGAATTTACCGCGAGTCGCCGGAGGCGAGACACCCCCCGGAAGTAGCGACTCTCTTCAGGGAAACAATGGGAGGAAAAGACGGAGGGCTAAGACCCGTAAGAGAAGCTGGAGAAAGAAAACCCGGAATCAAAAGTGGGAGGGTGCCTCCTCGCCTCGGGATAGGACTAGGGAAACACCCTGAAGAATTCATTCTCTTCGATGCAGCTAATTTAGCGCCGCCCTCGAAGCCTCCCTCTTCGGGTACCTCTTCCAGGCTCGTATAAAATTCCATATGCTTTTAAAAATTGAAATAAAGAAACATACAATGGGAAAGTAGAGTACAGGTGAAAAGCACCCCTTCGCTGCGAGCAAGAATTGAAAAAACGCCCTGAAGAATTCATCCTCCTCTTCCACGAGGCTAATTTAGCGTAACCCTCGAAACACGTCTTCAGGTACCTCTTCCAGGCTCGTATAAAATTCCACGTGGTCCTGAAAATTGAAAGATAATGTATATATAAAAAAAAAAGGGGGATAGTAGAACGCGGACGGAAAAGTCAATCGAGCCCTGGAGAACGCACCTGAGCCACGTGGGTGCGTTGCGTTGCGCGATAAAAAAAAAATAAATAAATAAATAAAAAAACTAGGTGGGCGTGGGTGTGTGAAAACTCGCCGGGAAGAATGCAGTGCCAGAGCTATTCAGTTCAGTGGGGTATTTCGCGGTTTACGAGTCTCATTAGCATGCCATGGGAACAGAGCGGAGAGTCGCTTCCTCGCTTCCTTGCGGCCGATTCGCGGCGGAAAACGAGACGTCCCCTCGCTAACGAGCGCCGGCTAAACGGAATCTTCGAGGGCCCTTCGTTCCCCTTAATTTCCCCGCCATCCGGAATTGTCAGGGTAGTCTCGTGGGTGAAAGCGCGGCGAAAACGCGGCGAAAGGCCCTCATTACCGGGTTGCCGTCTCGTTAAACGACTCGCGAGTTGATTGGACGATCGGCGGCTCCAGCGGAAAGTCACCCCCACTGGTGGCCCAGTTTCCGGTGGGTCCCTTCGAGTTCCTCTTCAGGGGTCTCTTCGGGTTCCTCTTCAGAGGGCAGAAAACCCTGGACCATTTGTTGAGAAAGGCTCGATACTCCCTGAAAAAAATATTTGCATGAACCATTAATTACTTCCGTATGTCTTGGTCCCAATGTTAGAGAGAGAATTTCAAAAATGTCTATAAACAATTAAAAAAAAAAAAAAGAGATTTCATGGATGTCAGGGTCTTGCTCGCGTTGTAACATGAGGACGCCCCGATCGATCAAGAGGCTGGAAAGAAGGCTTATGAATATTATTCCTGGACCGAATTATCGGTCGACCCGGAATCGAGACAATGTCGGGGGAACAAAAAAGCCGTCCCAGGGTTCGTTAAAGCGGTATTCCCTCCCGATTTTTCACCCAGGAAGGCGGACGAGAGGGCGGTAAATTCCCGGGAAATTGGAGTAAATTAAGCCGGGTCAAATGAAACCGGGGTATGTCTCGCGTTAATCGTGTAACCGACTATGGTAATGTTCGCATTCGGGCAGAAAGGCGGGGAAAAAGTCGGAGCCAGCTGCCTCGAGCCCACTTCCGATAGGAAGTGGAAGCACGTGGTGCGTGACCTGCGGAAATGGCCTCTCCGGTGGAGTTTGTACATTCGTGGGTATACAGAAGAATTCGTCCTATCGGTTCAGTCCGGACACCGGAATTAACCCTTCGACGGCCAACCCCTTTATACGTGTAAAATTTCAATTTATATAAACCCTATCTATATATTTTAATTTTTTTTTTTATATACGAGAAATGTATATTGTATGTCTTGACACGCAACGAAGCGCTCGAAAAGGAACGATGGTGAACAGGAGGGTCTGGTGATTTCGCAGGTTCGTTAAATAAATTATTAGTCCAATTGTCGTTATTTGGACAGTCCCAGAAGAGGCCTCAGGCCCTGAAGACGCGCGCCCCGGCGCGTGACCGCACTTTACGACTACGAAAAGGCGATGCTCCTTTCCGCGAATGTCCGGGTCGGCAAAAAGAGGATGCGGCGGGAGGTCCTTTCGGTTTTCGTGTCCTGGAGCGGAACGAACGGTAATGGCACCTCGCCCAAGGCACGTGTCCACTTCCCGAAGAAGTCCCAGAAGAAGCGGTCCTCGAAAGTCGAAAGGGGAGCCACGTTAATCGGGGACCTCGCTCGGGGCCAGGATTTCGAGAAACCAAATCGGCAGATCGGCATCTCGTGTCCTGGGACTCGAAAATTCCGGCGGAAAAGAAATTATCCACCGTCCCCCTCGAGCGAACGGCCAACTGGCGCGAGATTACTTCTCCATTATTTGGAACTCCAAAATGGCATCGAAAAGTCCCTGCAAAAGAGAAAAATAAATAATAATTATCCTCGCTCCTCCGGAAGATAACTTCTTCTCAACCAGGAATTCGAAAATGGCGTTGAGAGCTCACCGCAAAAAATAAAAATGATCCTTCGTCCCCTTAGTCGCAAACCCGCCAACTGGCGCGAGATCCTCGCGATTACTTCTCCATTACTTGTTGAAACATATGCCCCCTCGCAGGTGAGCTCGCCAGGGTTCCTGATCGTTATTTTCAACCCGGTGCCCCGTGCTCGTCCTGCCAAGAAATTGGCAGGATGCACCCCTTTTACCACCGTTCTCGCCCCAGCTCGACCTGCGGTCCCCTTTCCCTCTTCAGGGTCCTCTTCGAGTTCTCCTTCCGTTGCGGCTTCGCGGTACCCGCTTCCTAAAAGGGAACAGGAATTAATAACAACTCGAGGTGGTTCCACCTCGCTGGAAGGAGGAAACGGGCTTGTAAAAATTCATGAGAGGAGAAAAGAAATTCATTTCGCCAGGCCGGGAGCAGATCGAGGGAAATCGATCGGGCCCGGTGCGATCGCCACCTGACTCGACGCGTGCCCGACGCGGTGCACACGCGTAATGCGTGCACTCGGGACAGGAGAGAGAGGAAGATTACCTTTTGGGTGGCTTTTACTTCAAGGATAAACGCGAGGAACGGACACCGGGTGTTCGATTCACCTGACGTCGAGCTGGCGCGTGCCGAGCGCAGCTGCCGACTTTTCTCCTCGAGTTAATGAAGATGACCATGACGGAAATTCTACACCGACCAATTCTGAAACAGAAGACGAGGTCGTGGTATATAATTCCAAGGAACGTCGTAAAAATTAATTATACATGTATATAATATGATGATGCGGATAACGAAAGAAATGGTGCACCGAGTTCCGATAGACACCATTCCTTTAGGACGGCTTAAAGATGAATCTCTCTAAGATTAATGTATTGATTAAAAATGAAAAATATAATACATGCCCTTAAGGATCATATGAATTTGGAGGAGGCAGAGAGGGCCACATTAGTCATCTATCCTGCCGTCCAGGGAATCCTATTGGTCGGCTCGTTTTCCCCGACAACAAGGGGGTACCAAATTGTAGGGCAGGACCTATTCGAAAGGATGCACCGGGCCCGTGGCAGCTTCGCCGTCAGCTGCGGACCCTTGTCGCCGAGGGGCCCGATCGGGGGGCGGATAATTTTGAAGGGCGGAGTAGCAGATGGAAATCGAAAGGCCGGATCGAGGACAAGCATGCCCGGCGGGGGCGAGGTCCCAGGACGCGTCGAAATAGGAATATCGTCGTTCAGTATCCACGGATCTCGAGTCTCTCTTCAGGGTCCTCTTCTAAATAACATATCTCTAAGACCGTCCTTTCGCGTCGTTGCCTCGTTCTGTGACTTAGCAACGCGATCAGCAAGGTGTTCTCCAAGTCAGCTGGTCCTCGCGCCCGTTGCACCTGTTCTCCATAGGGACCACCTTTCGTCGCGCTTGAAAGGTGTACCTGCAATTGCGACGTTACGGTTGAAGTGCCGATGAGGTTCGGGAGGACTTCTAATTGATATTTCGTTTTTACCTGGGTATAAGTCTCGTCTGAACCTCTCCGATGCCGCAGACTCCCCCGGAGACGTGCCTGAATTTGCATAGCAGGATATAAATACAATTTAGATAGTACAAGTATAAATATGAATTTACATTAAGTAAACAGAGTAGCAAGGATATCGACTGACCAAAGAGCTTTCTTCCAGGTGTCGGAGGGCAAGCCGCACACGAGGCACCACCACGGGGGCACCCACTGCAGCAGATGCGGTCCAGGTTGGGGAGTGACGAGCAGATGCTCCCGAGGGAAGGACACGGAATGTGGGAAGTGTCCTCGAGGGACGTACAGTCCTCACCACAGCACTCAGCCCTGCTGGATCTGCTCGAGGTGCGGTCCGGGTCTGTACGAGGCGCACCCCTGCACGCCCAGGGCGGACACGGTCTGCGACTCCTGCCACAGGCGAGTCCTGGACAACGAGGACTTCCTGAGGAAGTGCAAGACCCGCGCCAACTTCTTCCTGGCCCCCGAAGACGCCCAGAGCACCGGCGAGCAGAGCGTCCTGGTGAACGAGCCGGTCGACGGCTACGAGGGGAACGACCGCCAGGAGATCCTGAAGGAGGACGTGGAAGCGGCACTAGGAGGCGTCATTGACGAAGAGTCCAACAGGATGCAGAGGCTGTGAGGTCCTGTCCTCTTGCGCCGATCTTAATCCTCTTCTGACACGATCTTCGCGTCCAGAATCGTCCCAAGGTGTCCAAGGACCTTACCTCGATGCCGAAGACGTCCCCGAAGACCCTGCACTTCGTCGCTCCTCCTCCAGGAAAAAAACTCCCGTTTCCCCTCCATACCCTGGAAGGTGGATAAAAATTAGACAAAAACTCGGTCTACCCCGAAGAACCCTCGAGTCGCAATCCTGACCTCTTCCATCGCTCTCGACCCGTTCCCAGGGAGTCGTTCCAAGATCCCCTTACCTCACCTTCCGAAATCTCGAAGAGGACCCCGAAGACCTCCCTGAAGATTCTCAAATCCATGCGAGACGCTTCCCTCGACCAGGAGTCGCCTCTTTCCCAGGCTTCCCATACATGTATGAAAATTCCGTAGCCAGGGTCCTGGTCCCCAGGAGTCTCGCCGAGCCCGCCGAGTCCCCTGAAATCTCACGGATTGTTGTAAACTAGTCAATCAACGGTGCGGCCCGTCGTACAAAAATAGTCCTTTTGAACAGCGGCGTGTACACGTGGCTTTATTGTAATGTGCCGTTTACAGATGGTCTCGTTAAGTCGGCCGCTCGTCGAGTTAATGCGTAAACGCAGGGCTCGGCGTTAACCGGCGAGCGCCGACGACCGTCTCGTTGTCGAACGAGAAGAGAAAGAGGGAGATAGAGAGAGAGAGAGAGAAAACGAAACAATGTCGGAAACGAGTACTGCGAGCGTAATGAGCTAAGCTATACATCTCTCTACGATGATCCCACGCTGGATGATCCTTCGACCCATGTACAGAAACAGCGTCGCGTGTCGTAATATTAATCTCTCTATATAATATGTATATGTATACTTTATATATATATATATATATACTCTATATATATAATATCCAAAGACTCGTAGGGTACAATTCGTACGAATCGCGCATGTACGCCCACGTGGATGAGAGGGTTTCGCGAGACCCTCGCGCGTGTCAATCGTTCCTTCGCATCTTCACTTGTCCTCGGATTAATTCACTCTCCACATGTCCTCGGTTAATTAAGGGCTTGGAAATTTGCGTAGGCATTAACGAGTGCGAACGTCCTGGGGAGGCGCTCCTCCGACTCCGTACCCGACCCGGCGAGTTTACCTCATAAACAAAGAAATAAGAAAAACCGATGATAAGCCTGATAATGGCCCTAAAGTGACGTCCGAAAACGCGAAGAGACCCCCCCGGCAGGTCCGGAAGTGGATTTCGAGTTCCTCCCCGGAGGATATGCCATTAACTATTAATTTAGGGGTCGAACTTAAGATCCACTTAGCCGGCTATCGCCGTGAGGCGTTTATTAAATAACTAGGTTAATTAAAGCCGCAGAAACTCGGAGATTCAGAGGCTAGGTTCGACCCCGATTGGAGAGTCCCCCTGATAGGGCTGATAAGAGGCAGTCATTCGGTCCTCGTAATCGTTATCAGGAGCCGGGAACGAAGAACGGAGAGGAGGTTCGCCTTATCCGGAGGAATGTCTCCAGCTATGATAACAAAGGGATTCTCGAGTAAACCGCGAGTCCATTCACGAACGTCGATGTGTGTGTGTCTGTGTGAGCGTGATGCGTAATAATTATCATACATACATTATAAGTCGCGTCATATGTCTATATATATATAATATATGTAATATATATATTATACATATATCATTGGTTCGGCCCAGAGGTTCGAAAGAGACGAGACGACGATAACTCGTCCCCTCCGAGACCTCGCGATCGCAGAGAAAGAGAGAGAACGAAGAACAGGTGACAAGCCGACACTTTCGCGAGCTTAAGTCTTACTTAATGATAAGAACGCGCCCTCGATAATATCTCATAAGTAGAATAAAGAGATACACGATTGACCCCGTCGTCTGGGTAAATGTGCCGTATCAATGATCCCGTAAATGTCTCGCTTTTCTCGAGTCCTCGAGTTCTCCTTCATTCCTCGTCTTTCCCGGATTTCGCTCTCGGCGAGTTTCCTCTCTACGGCTATACTAAGCGAGGCGATTAACGGATTGAACCACGCGAGCCGACATGTCAAACGAAATACATTTGTACAATCGCAGGGGTTACTACACGACACTCGTACACGGTTCTACGGCCACGTGGAGGTCGCCATAAGAGCTGAAGAGAGGGGTCGCCATGACACGAAGGAAGCCAGTTTTACATAGTACATACTATACGCAACGATTATATTTATTATATATCGACATAATAAATATATACGTGTTCTATATGTATATATAGTATGCAGCACTCGCTCACATATAGTACACACCAGATAAAACCCGAGGTCGCAACGGAGAGAAATGAAGCACTCGACATGGAACCTTTGTACGGGATGTTACACATATATATGCATATACATATATACCGTGCGATGGTATAAATCAATTCCTAACATACATGTACATATAAAGCTAAACGATACAAAATGGCGCGACGAGTCGGGGAGAGCGCTGGTCCGCAATTCTCATGGGAAAGTCCAGGAAAAAGTCGACTTGTGATCATCCGGGAAGGACGAGCCGATCCCAGGGGATGCCCAGGGCATCCTCAGGGGATCGCTCCCAAACTCAGAAGAGCAAAATAAAAAAGAATCCGCAGAAGTGGCAACGTTCGCCATTAGAGCTAACAACAAATCGTGGAGGCGCACTTTCGTGGATCCTTACACATAATTCAAATATATATATATGTCTATACATATACGTGCATATTAACACATGGAATATAACTTAATCCTTGGCTCCGCACTCTCTTCAAGTCTGTACAGAGTATAAGTGTACGAGCACTACGCACGGTGTCCATTAACGGGATCTAACAATTAATCGTTAATCAGGTGTTAAACCGACGCACGACATTTATTTCCGATTTCACGGGGCCGAAATCTCGCCCCCCAAATCCATGACTGGCCACTCGGCGAAGCTCGCTAATTAAATCGACTCGTTGATCGTTAAGATTAATTATTATCTGAGATTCGGGCGCGTGTCTCCTTGGCCTCGCCTTTATTCGTGGTCCTCTTCGTGTGGCTCTTCGAGTAACTCTTCGAGACGACTGTCAATCTGGACCGTGAGGAAAGAGGCTTGCCGGGGTTTCTCTACGCCATGGTGAACGGGTGCGCACAGCTGGTCGTTGCGAAAACCAGGAAATCAGTAGCCCGCAATTAATCGGAGCACCTATTTACAATTGAAACGTTAAAATGTACAATTTAGCCATCGGCAAGGGGCCGGGCACCCTGAAGAACGCGTCTGGTCCTTCGTTACAGGATCAACGCCCTAGGTAAATATACAACTCCCTGAAGAGACCGGCGAGGACGATCCGGGAGATCGCGGGTGATCGTTGCACGACGAGAAGGGAATAAAAAAAAAAATAGTATACGAACCATCGACCCCTGAATCAATAAATCACCGAGGCTGCAGTTAAAAAGTCGCACCCACGCAGCCTCTCGCGGTACCAGCCATGGATTTCCTGCCACATCCCTCGGATTCTTCGGGTTCTCTCGTTGAGATACGCGAAATCCTTCCAATTAGTTCCAAATCGCGGCGACGAGGTCGCTGCGTGCGGCGAAACCGGCGCAGCGACGAGAGAGGCGATCCCTTTGAGCTTCGTTATACGTGTGTACGAGTACAGTGGGAATTAATATTCCATACATTTCATACGTTTTATACTTTCGCCGTGGCCTCGCATGGAAGCGAACGGAAGTGGAGGTCCCGCAGAAAATGGCCGACGAGAAAATACGACCCCCAAGGGGCGACGTCCGACCCTGAAGAGTTTACCTCCACTAGGTCATCCCGTTCCCCTGAGATCGCACTTCCCGTCGACGTAGGAAAACCATTTAGCAGTCTATCCTCCGTCCCCTGACATGGAGAAACGAAGAACGAGGGGGTAAAAAAGGAAGAGAAGAAAAAAGAACGCGAAAGCGGCCCCATGCGCCGAAACATAAATTAATAAAAAATATCATCTGACCTTCACACGGACTAATACTGCCCACCGTGGCTCGATCTAGGTCTCTCTCTCGGTTTCCTTAAGCTTCGTTATACCTAAACTCCCCTCGTCCTGCCCGACCAAGTGGCGATACGCTCGTATGGGCTGTCGCTTACGCAGACATCGCTACTCGTCCTTAATGGAGATCGTTACCGCGGGGTATAAGGGCGCAATCTTGGGTACAACGCGTTCCTCGTTAACGGGTGATCGATCGTTACCATCGTCCGATTGTCCGACTCGCTGGTCGTTAATCAATGGCCGAAGACGAGCGATCGAGTATCCTGGGACGCGCGGATGATCGAAGAGGGTGGGAATCGCTGCGAGCCTCTTGGCCCGATTAGAACTGGTCCACCAGCAGGTCACAGATCTCCACCGACATCGACTCTTTACTCGAGCGCACCGTCAGGCGGAACATCTGCAGAAGGGTGGAGGAATAAATAAATACCGATCATCCCTAGGATTAAGGGGATGTCAAAGTGACTCACCTGCGCTTGTTTGTTAGGCTCAAGACGCAGCAAACAGCCGACCTGCTGCGCTCTCATGTGCACGATTCCGGCGCAGACGAAATTGTCAGGATTCGGGTCGATGCCGTCCAGCAACTGCATCCCGAAGCCCTGAAGCTTGGTGCGCACTTGGTCCAGGTCCATCGGCTGCTGGGCCTTGAAGATCTTCTGCGAACGCTGCTGGTTCGCCCTGAAACGGAGACTCGATAAAGACACGAATTCGATAACCAGCTACATGTCTACGATTGAATCCGTTCATTTACCCTCCGAGGTTCTTCCATCTGGCGAAGAACGACTCCCCGTTCATCTCGGTGGGCTCGAAGAACTTGTTGATCGTCAGGGGTAGTTTCATCATGATCTCCTGGGGTATGTTGTTGTAGATGAAGGAGATCATCATGCTGGGCGCGTCTGTAAGTTACGAGTTATGGGGTGATGCTCAGGTTAATTCCCTGGTAATCAGTTGACAATAGTCGACCAACCGCTGTAATCGTCGATGCACTCCGCGTTGATAGTCTGCTGGATCTGGGCACCAGCTTCCAGGGCCGGGTCGACGGGCTTCACCTGGACGGCTAGCCTCGCCTGGTTCTCCTTCGACCACGAGAGTTGAGGCTGGAAGCTGTGCAAGGCGTACTGCGTTTTATTTCCGTAGAACAGCCCAATGCGGCCCAAATTCTGCCGGAACTCGGACTTGACGCCGATCTGGATCAGGTCGTTCTCGAAGAGTACGCCGTTGTTCTTGCAGACGAACCTGGGAGCGCGAGGGTTTGATTATAAACCTGGTCCCGTATTAAAGTACCGATGTAAAGATATCGAACGGGTCTCACTTCTTAGGGTTGTAGGTATTCTGGGCACCGTTGGTCGCTCCGACCTTGTTCGGCATGCTGTAGATGTCCCCGAGGACGTCCAACAGGACTCCCGTGTTGCTGGAGGGCTGGGAAGAGGGAGGCGTCGAAAGACCTAGCAGATCGGCCGAGGAATTATTTACGGTAGCCGTGGTCGCCGTAGAAGCAGACTCGGCGTGATGATTCGTATTGGGAGCCGGGCTCTTGCTTTCCCTGATCTCGTTTTCAGGCACCCGGCCGGGTTTCTTCTTCTTCAGCACCGCCAGAATCGAGGACTCCCTCTCAGGGAAGGCCGGCATCTCCTCCAGGACCGTGGCCTGCGGCGAAAGGATCCCGATTATTCCTCAGATCTATTTACGGAACGAAGAATCCTCTTATATATAAATTATAAAACTATATAAAACCACTTGCCAGGACATCCGTCGAGGCGATGATGCTGAGTTGCAGGTACTCCGAAGCTCGTTGCTGCAGCTCGGCGTCGGCGCTGCGCAGGTTGCTATGCTGCTTGAAGACTTCCTGGATCTGGCCTCTGATCTCCGGGAAGAGGTTGACGAACTTGATGTACGTGGAGAGCAGTAACGCTCGTGTCATAGGCGAGCATAAATGGTACTGAAAAAAGAGAATTTATAACACATATTATACATGTGTTATATGCATTATATATGGATTCTCTTCTCCGGCACTTTTAAGACCTCCCACCTTGGAATGTAAGAGCTGGAATTGCACCGACGGTGAAGAGCGCTGGTCGCCGGCGATTAAGTTCCCGAATTCGCCGAGGATGTAGCCGCCAACCTTGACCATGTTTTCGTGGCAAGCCGGGGCTTGTAGAGCCTAAAAAGGAGCCCGAAGGTAAGTAAGGGAGTTGGATTAGCTTTACTTAACGGCGCCTCCTGGTGGACTCACCTCAAAGACCGTTTTCGCGGCGTAGCCCTGGACGTCGTCCCTGTTGATGACTATTTGGATGACCCTGTACCAGACCTCCTCGGAGACGTAGTCACCCGCTATCCTAATGAGATTCAATATCACGTCGACGTACCACGTGTAATCCGTGGCGTACTTCTCGGCTAAGATCGCGACCTTCAGCACCATTTCTTCCCTAATGGAATAGTCGGCCGTCTCTAAATAATTTAACATCTCCTGTACTATCTCTTCGGCGTTGCTCTTGTCGCACATGGCGTACAAGAGATCCACCGCCTGTTGCCTGACGGACACGTCCTTCTCCATCTTCATGGACAGTATCACGACCTCCTGGTGCTTCTTCACAGCCTCATGGGAGAACTCCGACGTGGCGAGATGGCACATGGACTCGAGGGCTAAGTAACGAAGATTCGTCTCTCGGTTAGATAAGAACTGGCCGAGCTGGTTGCACGCGCGCACCAGGAGATTTGGCTCGCTGTCGTTGTGGATTATGAGGCTGATGGCCTCGAAAAGAACGGCGTTTTTCGCGTTCGAGTGCTGGACCTTCTTCGATTTTGGCGGCTCCTGGGCCTTGTTGAGTATTGTCTCCAGGCACTCGTTCAATCTTCCCCGGACTCCCGGATCCTCTGCTGTTGGGGATTAATTAGGATATTTCAATTAACGCTCGACCAATTAGATTAAAAAAAATATACACCGTTTCCTGAATAATATATAAGTGCAAGAAACTGAAGGCATGCCTTCTTCGGTCCCAGATTTACCTGGCGGAGTGTAATTCTGCAGTAGTCGAAGCAGCTTTACGGAGAGCCATGGGGCAGGCACGAAGTAGTACGTGTAGTCCTGCAGATCGGTGTAGCTTGAAGTCACGATCTGTTGTAAAGAATATCTAGAGTTATTAGGGACTCTTTTAGAAAATTTAATGAGATTTATGAACATCGGGTCATCTCATTTAATGAGATACAAGATCACGTACTCGACTCAGCCTGGAGACTGCAAGACTGACGCAGCCCTTATACTCATCCGGGTTCCGCTTGACAAGAGCATCGATCAGCGAAGCAGCAGCAGTGACCACTCCCAAGTGTTGGTCATTCAGCAGGTGGACGATCCGCGATGTCCACTCTCCCCCTGGGACGACATCAGGTGCAGTCCTCAGCAATCGGAGGAGACAAAGTGCAGCACTCTGTTTTACAACGTCCATGGTGTCCCTGCGATATATAAATTAATTCCCTAATTATTTATATTAATTTCTCCCTAACTTCAGGCCAAATTAGAATAACTCGCATGAACTTAACGAGAAATAATTCGTGAGGTGCGTGTACTCAGGTTCGAAGCTTGTCGGAGGCAAAAACTAAAATGCTCTGCTGCGAGATAAAATCCATAGTTTACCTAAGGTACAGGCGGCTAGATCCAATTAAGCAATAGTGAGAGAGAAATGTGTAGTTTGTTTGAGTGGTTCCTCGTGTGCATGTGGAAGTTTACTGGGATCGACCTCTCCGATACTCACCCAGACACCAGGAGTTTTGGGATCTCGTTGCCAAAGGCCTCTGCCATTTCTTTGCTGCCGATGTTGGCGATGCATTGCAGGGCCAGGTTCACGTGGATCGGGTTCCGGGATGCAAGATCGTTCTTTATGCTCTGGATGATTAGCTTAATGAGATCGCTGTTCGTGTTGACCAGCACCGATATGAACAGGTAGCCCTGGGGGGAACGGAGACATTGTGTCATTGGAAACAAACGAGGGAGCGATGACTGTTTTCTGTTAGCCAGCCATGTTATTTAACCCTAGACACTGACACTACAAAATCGCTTGTGCTCCTTTAATAAATAAAAAATATATTATCTAAGTAAGTCAAAATGCCAGATTCGTCATCGGTGAAAAGACAGTCTCCCATAAGCAGTTAAATTTGTGCTTACTATAAATCGACATGGAAAACATTCTCAAGTCACAATCTGAGCATGAAGTAAAAATTAATGGCACGAATGGTGCGTCCAAATGTGAGAGGAAAAAGTATGAAATGAAACACATGATGTCCTTTTGGAAGAGACTCCTGTTGGCATGCTTAACGCAGGATGATTTTTCAGACTACTTTCAAACCTTAAGTGAAAGGTACAACTGATTTATATTTTTATTAATTTTTCTCTGCGAATTGTGCAAATGTAACCCCAGGAATTTGTATTTGTATCGTAGCACCAAGTGCGCAGGATGCTCGGATATTACGATACATGGTGATGGTGGGCCAGAGAATTAATGAAAGAGAACGGAGAAAATTCTTTTTCAAGAGGAAGGTGGTGCAGGTAAAATGTAAACGTATTTTAAATATTTCACTTGATAGATGATTAAAGGAAAGTGCTTTCTAGCGAGTCAATTTTACAGATTACGACTCGATACCTACTATTTGCTTCTCCGAGTACTTGTTGGATGAGAGAAGGTTGACCGCCTCCATGTGGCCGAAGTCAATATCATGGCCCAGTAGAAATATGAAAAGTAACTTGCAAACATATTTCTTCTTTTGATAGCCATCGATAGTCTTGTCGCCTTTGAATTTACTTCGAATATTCGCCAGTTCCTTATTTATCCTCTTGATCTCCGCCTCTTTGCTCTTACCTGCATTCAAGAAAACCCCCGATGTCTTTAATTATTGTTAAAGGATTAACGTGAAAAGATCTCAGAAATTTTCTGGCATAAGAGATACGTTACTCTAAAATTTCAACTATTATCTCTCTCCTGCTAAGATGTTATTGATTTCCTGTCAGACTAGATAAATTCCCAGTGTCTGAAAATAATTTCTAAATGCGCAAAGCGATATGAAATTTATAATTGATAGGATGCCAGATGGATAAATAAAAGTCTATTTTTAAACAATTCTTCAGTATTTAATAGTATAGCTATGTCACCGGAGTAAATAACTCATCGAAACTCGACATACAAAGCCATAATGGCAGTCTGCCACTTGGCTCGGCAGTGACAATTGCATGTATTGATTACTACGACACATTTTCCATTCACGAATCATCGGAACAATCCGAATAATCATGAAATACCGCCATGACATTTTGGACATCCAATTTTCTTTTCGTTAACACATTAGAGATAACTCATTAGACAGATATCAAAGTGTTACATATTGCCAGTTGAAAGTCAACTGCTATCAAAAAGATAGGCCTATATCGGAGCTCCGCCCCCATGTCTCACACTCCCTGCATTTAAAATGTATGAATTAGTCTCAATGTGTATCTTCGTCATTGAATGGCCAGCAATACCGAGAGAAAAAAAGCTTCTACAAGCTCAAAAAAAAATAGGTTATCACTCTATCGATCTCGAGACTGGATCTAAACCCACTCTGCGTAAATTCCCCACCCTCTGCCGCGTCAAATTATTAATGAAAACTATGTATTCCAACTCACAGTTCCTGATGTCTGAAATAAAGACGGCAAGTCCTCGCATGCCATCCCCTCGCACAGCCGGCATCTTGCCTCCCTTTGCTACGAATCACCTACGACATTAAAAAAGAAATACTAGGATTAATTTCATCAGCGATACATAACCTCTCTCTCCTCCTCTGTGAAATACACCTAAAATCTAAGCACGCACTCCGGGCTCCAAAGCCAGCGGAGCACTATGAGAGAACGGAGAGAACTTTAAGCCCCATCGCACGAGTACGATCTCTGAACGAGCTCGATTACAATTCTGTGCAAACGCAGCGAAGATCATTGGTCCCTCGATTCCTTCCCTGGCAAGCAAATCTGCAAACGTTCAAATTCCCGAGTCAGCGTACACAGATAAGAATTCACTTTGACACAAGCTACCGTCGCAGGTTGTGCAATGTCAAAACTGGGACCGCAACCACCTGAGGCCAGGATGTAATAGTGTACCCCTGGGTCTTAAAACTCTTAGAACGGTATCATTAAGTAGCATGGTCTCGCCAGTGGTAGGCATAGATAAGAATGCAGATTTTGACAGCGTGCCGACTCCCACATTGGCAGCGAAAGATTTGACGAGCGGCCGATCTTATCGGGCCGGCCGCGTCGGCAGCTCTCGGCCATCGATCGTCGGGTTCGCAACAATCGGCTCGCCTTTCGCGAATCGATCTCGCTCGGAATCGCGCGCCGCGAATGTGGAGTTCAGGCCGGGTCAGGCCGCGACCGCCTCCGCCGAGGCGGCGAGAACTGCCGAGAGGACGCCTTCCCCCGGGAATTCGCTCGCATAACCTCCACGGCCGCGAATACGTACCGATCTGGCAGAGGGACGTGTTCGCGTGCAACTTGGTTACGGATTACGCACGGCGGGCGTCGACTAGGCGCGAGTCGGTCCCTGTGATCTCGTAGCTGTCGCCATTTGCAACCGCTGACTAGCTGACGGCTCTTCGAGGTGTCATGGCCGCGCCTTGGCCAAGCGCAGACGACGCGCTACCGGTCTGCGCATGCGCGCCACTTTTCAATCCGACGACCACCCGGCACGTCGATGTCCCCTCGTGATCCACTTTCGCGACTTTATTTCGTGGTATCACACACCGCGAGAATTGATGATCCCCAATAGATCGTTCAGAAAGTCGTTGCACTGTTCATTGATCTGCACAATCTGCAGACATTGATGCAATAAAAAAATGTATGTTTACGATATAGTTGTTATTAAAATGTGCTGGACTCGGCGCTTTAAAATAGGATGTAACATCGACATGAAAGAACAATTTTATTTGACAATAATGTGTTAAGTCTTAAACAGGTGAAACTGTAAGCATTTTGGGTAAAAATTTAATAAGTATAGTGGGATCTGGTGATGTTAAACCGTGCGTGCAGATTCTTAGATTGATGTCTATTTCGGGTATAGACTAGAAGGAACTTAGGATAATGTGGAAAACCTTTTATTTTCCATTCACAAACTGGCCACGTAAATTGCTCTAAATGTCAGGTATTAAGCATCTGCTCGACGAGTGAAAGTTGTCTGTCAACTGACAGTCTGCTGGATTTTTTCAAGCAGCATTTCCAACCTGTCCTTCATGACTGGCTGGCCTTTTTTCGTCTTCTTGGACAGCTTCCTATAGGTCTGAAGTTTCTTCTCCCTGTATTTTTTCAATGCCTCTTCCTTCTCCTCTTTGGCCCGGAGTATCTCTTCTTTCCTCCTCTTCTTTTCCTCCTGCTTCTTTAAATATTCTTGCTTCGCAGCGAAAAACGCGCTGGGTTTCTTCTTCGACTGACTGAAAGATTACCTAAGTAAGACTACCGCATTCCATACATTTTTATGTGACGAAAGGTGATCGTTATTCCAGGATACCTTTGCCCTTTCGCCTCGGAATCACCTTCAAGACCGAGCGAAGGCTTCTTCTGAGCATCTGGACATTCTCTTTGAAGTTCCTTATAGTAATTACGTAAAACAGCCTTTTTCCTCCGCTCCTCCCATTGATTAACTGGAAAACATTGGAACAAGTAAATCCAACCTCTCCTAACCTAAACCAACCACATGCTCCAATCCTCTAATACTAACCTTTGAACTTGTTGCTGTATTTCTTCAACCTGTAAGTCTTCTTATCAAAAGGTTTCTTCCCTCCATCCTGTTTACCACCAACATTGCTCGCACTTTTATTATTACCATAATTATCCTTTCCCCGAGGCTTCATTGTTATTGACAGGAGGCGGCCATGACAGTTCCCCGGCTACCGGTTTCGACCATCCGCGTACAGATGGCGGTGACGCACGATTCGCGCGCGAACCGGCGTCATTTTGAAATTACGATTTCCCCGACGCTTCGCACCTTATACATACATTACAATTTTTCTTCGTGACATTCTCTTCTTACAACCGTTTCCTTCAACGTAGCCAATCTCAAGCGCCCTTACCACGTTTATATTGAATTAGATTCGATAAAGATTGCAGTCATACGGGATATATATACTCGTTTTCAGAGAACCCCTTACACGACAGCCTTTCTGTTCTCAGAGACCGTCTCTTAATTCCATTAGTAACGCAGCTCCGCCTACGCGCGGGGATAATAAAAGGAAGCCAAATAAAAGCATAGCTTATAAACGCGCGAGTGTGTTGCGTGCGCGTGAATGCGGCGCACTTGCACATCGAAAACTCCGTGCATGTGCGTCCGCAGCCGAGCGCCGATGTACAAATAGGTAACGACGACGGACCAATGTCACTGCCACGAATAACACACACGTAATACAACGACGAGACAGTCATTTCGCGCTGAATCAATTACGTAAGCGGCAACGAGCGCTCCTCTCGAGGCTGGCAACCTGCGGATTCCGCGGGATTAGCCGAGAGCCCTGGCGTGAAAAATTCGCCGAGGAACGGCTCATCTTCGGGGCAGGGTATTTCGATAAAAATACCCCCGTGGAAGAAGGCGTTGGATTCCCGCCACGGCCGGAAAAGAACCAAACCGAAAGTCCGCGAGGAGATAGCACCTTCGGCCTGCGTTCCTGGACTATTAATAGCCGAGGAAATCGCGAAACGTCTTCGCACCCGAGGCCGCATCCGATCCGCCGAAACGGGGAGCTCCTCTCGACATTTTCTCACGTCTTAATCTTCGACCTGAAAATGACACGACATTTCTTAGACTCAAAATAAAATTCACCGCATCTTTATAACGAATTAGACTAAATAATTAACAGGGTGAAAGCAGAATTCAGAAGTATTACAGTTAGAATAAATATAGTACGCATGTTCTGGGTGTAAGGAGCTATTTTCAACACACGTGGCGTGCGGCACGCCAAAAGAGCAGTTATCGGCCTATGAGGAACGAGCACCTAGTTAAGGGCTAACAGCGAGCAGGCTATTAGGAGAGATTCGTTTCAAAGTGGAGGACGTGCGAAACGAGTTCGCAACTCCCTTGGAAGAGCTCCCTCGAGATTCGCACGTACTCGTACGTGTATTACATGCACGGGGTCTACGTACACAAGGGTCCCGATTCCAAACTCGAGCGAGACCGCTTATGGTGCTCGGATACGCGCATAAGCGATACGTGCGTGAACTCCGTCGAGTGAATTCGAACCCACGCATGTGCTCACGCATAATAATGCCGAGGTTTCGCCTCACGTGAGGTGTTCCTTTCAGCGGGATAAGAGCGATCGAAACTTCCTACTTAGGATGGGATAAAAAGCGGAACGAAGATTTTCGGAATTTATTCCATTTTAATTCTCTCTCTAAAAAAAAAAAAAAAATGGCAGGAACGTTCGATGCAAATAGTAATGCCGTGCAATTGTACTTTGTCGCTCTTAACCCTTTCCCCGATGCGTCATGGGCCGAGGTCAGGTGAAGCTCTGCACCGAGCTCTTCTGACCCCGAGCAGGGTCAGAAGAAGTATCACGGGATGGATAAGCGGTCCAAAAGATACTCACGATCGAAATAACTCCGCGATACCTCGGTCCACCTCCGTGTCAACTCTCAGAACATCGGCTATGACATGTAGAAAGCATCTCTTGCAAGATAAGATTTTTTTCCTTAATTATTATTTCTGTTAATCACTCCTTAGCGAGTCTCTCGACTCCGTTACATGATATCCGACTTCCGCGTCTTCTAGAATTTTCGCGACATTTTTTGCTAGCTCAAGGCGCAGTCCGCCCACGTGGGCATTTTTTCGCGACATGCACGATCGTTGTCTTCGGCTCTTTTAGAGATGTTTAGAGAGCAGTGACAATTTTATGCGTAGTTCATGCGGACTTGGTCGTCCATCTAGGGACTGTTGTGACGCGTTTATCGATCAGCCGCCCTCCACGACGGTGACGTCATGAGATATTCGAGTTCTCCCACGCAGAGCCGGCAATACGGTAGCGCGAGGTTCTGCTCGTCGAAAAAGAAACAGGAAACCCGATGGACACGTCCCAGGCGGATTTGTCCCGGTCAGTACTTAGCTTGAGCATGCCTCTTGACGAGTTGCCGCACAGACGTGATGACTCTGTCAACGAGACCTGCAATGTTGATACAATATGGTTAAGAAATAATTTATACTTTACGCAATTAGGATCGATTGAGTTTGGTACCTCCATATAGGGGCAACCACGTGGTCGCTGACCACGTGGTTTTGACAGATGGCCGGGTAGATGCCATTAATATCGACGCAGCGTCTTTTGATTACAATCCACGGATGACAAGGACTCATTTATAGAGTAACCCGAGTTGACTCCGATAGACATTTTGGACGCCCAGATTCATCTCTCGGGGGCGATCCTAGGACCTATCTACAAACGACATAAGAGGCATCGCGACGCCACGTCACCCATTAAGTTCGCTCGCGAATGACGTCGCGAGTGTCCGAAATAGCGGCGGCATCATGCAGCGCAAGTTGGCCGCGTTATAGCGGGAAATCGCGATGTAAACACGCGGCTAATGCGAGTCCGAAACGTCAGTCGTGGCTTCGCCCCCGCGGATTCCATCGGGCCGACACGTAATCCCGGCTCTATTGGAAACGAAGTCAGATTTCCCGAAGGCCTTCGGACTGTCCTTCGACTCGATTTGGTATCCCAGAAGTATCCGCGACCTCTTCGCCGCGGAAGTCGCCGGTCTATCAATGCATTCCGGAGTGCACGCCTGGGATGTCTTCGCTCCTTGGCAGCGCGTCGATCAGTCTCTCGATAGAGCGGTCTGAAACGCAAAAAAGCGCAAATTGTACCAGGGAAAATCAATGAAGGGGTAATTAAAATCGTGGCGATGAGTCAACACCGAATTCGTCGAGCCTCGTTGACTCGTCGCGCTACTGATCTCTATTAACGAGCCACCCTCGAATCGAAATTGGGACTCGCTGATTCTCTGAAGCGCCTTGGGGCTTCGACTTCTAGGTCGGATCGAAGTCTCATCGAGGGTGGCTCGGGGGTAGCGTTCCGATTTACAATGTTACTTAAAGCGATCACAGGAGGCGGACGCCCTGGGTGGATATCTAGGGTACGTCCTTGCTGGCCATTTCTCGAATGCTCGCTAATCTTACGTACGAGGCGTACGTATGCATCCGCACGTACAGACAGAACAGACGAGAAGCGAGATATACGCTGGCAGCCGTTCAACTCGGATAAGCGAGCCGTGAATTTGATAGAATTTCTTTTGCAACCCCTCTTCACCTATTTGCGGCTATTTCGAAAGGTGGAGGTCCTTGAAAAAAAAAATGCATGCCATTAGTTTGGTGCATAATTAATGTTACACTGTGAGGTAAATACGAGAGAGCAAAGTGTGATATTAATTACACGTTAAGTTGAGCTTCGAAAAGGCGAGTTCATTCTGCGTCTTCATCTCGGCTGGACCGCGATGCTGCGCCGGGATAATATTTCTGGAATCTAAATTAAACTCCTCGCGTCAAGAGACGGCCGGCTGGAGGGTACTCCTCTTCCTTTCGTTTCGTTTTATTCGATCGACGGCGCCATCCCAGATACGTTCCACCAAATAGTCTCGTCGTTTGCCGGGACCTGATAAATAGGAAAAAAAAACAATAAGTGTTGCGGATCGCTGCTCGTTGCGATCGGGTGTCGCTCGGCTGATCGGCGCCTCCACGATGCACCCGATTGCATTCGTCAATAGACAAGAATGGCGGCTCTGTTTCGCTTCCGTCGCTGACCGCGCCGAGCAGTCGTTTTACTCCGACCAATATTCTCTAATTTCGCGTTTTTCCCTTGCCAATTCCGTCCTTGCTCGAAATTATCCTCAATAAATCGCTCCCAGAAAGAACGCGATCGCGCCGCCATCTTGGATCGCTAGTTGCGTCATTTTTCATTTTTTTCTCACCTCATACAAGTTTTCGGGGGGATTAAAGATTCCTATCAGACCGTATCAAGAAGGTAGATGATAAATCAAGTATCATGCGTCCAGGAGAAACCGTAGGATTAGCGCGAAAATTAAATGCCGGCGCCATGTAGCTCTTCTCGATGCTGCGCCGGCCGCCATCTTGGATGCCGGGGCACCCCGCGTTCCGCGTTCGTCCAGTGTTTTTCATCGTCAAGGTAATCAGGGAACACAATCACTCCCCGGAAATACTCTTGTAATTGAGGATTAGTAATCCAAACTCCCAGGAACAACGCGAATTCATGATGCAGAATTTGTCAAGGCTCGAATTTGAACCAGCCGCCCTCGCGCTCGCTCGGTTTCGTGAACGTTCCACGTTGCCGCGTCCGAGGGTAGCCGAGCGGAGCCGAAGTTGCGCGAACGCCCACGAGAGGCGCGCAGCTATTTAAAGGCGCGGCCGGCGAGCCGCGCTCATTCCCACCCGAGAGTTTGCGCAGTCAAGTCGCTCCAGTCAGGACCTCCGGCGAGCAGCAACCCACAGTGCTTAGACCCTGAAGGAACTTCTTAGTGCGCGAAGTGTCCCGAACCAGAGCAAGATGGCCGACAGTGGTATCAAGCGCAACATCCCGATCAAGCTCGGCGACTTCAGCGTCATCGACACCGAGTTCTCCAGCATCCGCGAGCGCTTCGACGCGGAGATGAGGAAGATGGAGGATGAGATGTCGCGTTTCCGCAGCGAGCTGATGAACCGCGAGAGCAACAACATCTTCAAGAGCACCACTAGGTACGACCCTGCTCTTTCCTCTCCCGGTAGAGTGCGTGTACTTGACGCTAGACTCTACACCCGGCGCCAGCCGGCGTTTCTTTTTGGCCTTCCGCCACTTTTCGCTGTACATTCGGCGACGCGTCCCCGAGCAACAAGTCTTCTGTGAATTATTTCTAACCTAGCAGCTCAATTATTCAGGAATGAATAAATAAGTTCTGACGCGAGTCGAGGCTGTAAAATTGAAGATGCGAGGTTCTTCCATAAATCAGGAAACGCGGTAGAGTTTTGCGCCAAATATATTAAATTTTACATACTCAGGGTCGATTGGCGCGTCGTCGAATTTTTTTTTTTCTCCCTCGAATTAATTTCTATCTGGCACTACAAAGCGGCACGATAGGAAGAACGAGTTGCCCGACTATATTGCGGATAAACTGGTTCAGGGATGACTGAGGGGAAGACGCAAAAATTGCAGGACAAAGGGCGACCGCTTGTGTCTATACAAATACCTGAAGGTTCTATTATCGGAGAGATTCTATAGTCGGTGCTCGGACCGGTCTAGAGAGGAGCGTGCATTAAGAAAAAATGCCATTTAAGCGAAGAAACGTTTTGTTACTTCAAAGAATAATTATTTCACCCCAATAAATTGGAATAAATTTAACACAATGGTTTTTCGAAATGGTGGCAATTTAAGTTTGACTGAAATAATTATTTTTTTAATTAACAACGTATTTCTTCGGCTCGATGGTAATTTTTCCTTTCAACGTGGAAAACGGACGGGGCAAGATATTAATTATTTACCATGAATTATTTTTAGGCAGTTGGAATTATTTTAGCTTTCTAGATCGCAGGATGTCTCGATTCGGTTCAGAGGTTATAGACGAGGAAGAGATTACTTAATTTCGAGAGATCTGGACTCAAAGTAACAGTCCTCCTAGAAACGCTATTACACGTGTGCGTGTAATAGCGTTTTGCGTATTGTAATTGGTCACCGAATCGACGTACTTCGAGGCGTGACTCAGAGGCTGAAATGAAATTCCAGCTAAAATCGTCCTTGGGGGGGATCGTATAAACGCGCGGAGGTATTGCGTAGCGGCTATGAATATCGAGAAACTCATTGAGACAACACGCATCTCGAAGATCTGGAAAAAAGGATTTCCATCCGGGAAGATCCAACGACTGCAGGGTTTTTCTCGACACCCTCCACCTCGAAAGTAGGCGCGCTCGTCTCGGGGTTTATTCTCGGAGCCGTATTTTTGGAGATTCCGTCAGTGCCGAGAGCACGCCAGGCTCGAAATTTCGAAAACCGAGGAGATTGCCCGAGGCTTTTGAACGGCTGTTCCGATTAAAAATGTACTTGCTTGGCTAAATCCCGCGGTGTAAACGGAAAAGGACCGAGGTCGGACTCGAAGAGTCGAGAAAGGTTCCCCCTTGGACTTGAGGCTCTCCTTTTCTTTTTCTTTTCTTCTTTTTCTTCCTCGCCAAGGCCAAGGCCAAACCGTGGGCCGCGGCGAGGAAGGGGAGTCCTCATTCACTTGGCGCCAGACGATGCGTATATACCCTAGGTTTACGTACATTATACCTAATTTCTACATTCTAGTACGTAGATGACGCGAAATCCAGGGCTTGAGAGCGTGGTCTCCGTGAGGGCTCTTTTTTTAACCCTCTGAAAGAGTTTCCGGAGGAAGCTGAGGCTCGTTTGCCTTCGACCAGGGGTTGGGGATCTCATCTCAACGGCTCGTGGTATCTTTTAGGGATTCTGTGTGGGGTTCATCTCGCCCTTGCGAGCCCCGGATCCGCTCTCCCTCCGCTACGTGACTCGCCTTTGTAGAACCGTTTTCTGCGGCCTCGCAAAACCCGCGGATTCATCCCGGCAGATGCGAGTCCCTGTCGGCGTGGAAAAGATTTACGAGCTAAGCGGCTAACCGACGCTTTCCTGTCCCGCGTCTCATTGGAGAGGCAAAAACGAGCGAGCGGAATTTTTTCTTCTTTTTTTTTTTCCTCACGAGCCGCGGTCGCGTTATGGCGCGAGTTCCACTTTCGACGGCGAACGACGTCTTCAAATCGCTTCCCGTTTCATCTAGGACTCTGAATGTCTCGAGAAACTTTTCAGGCCTCAAATTTGCATTTCAGGTCCGTACTGTCCCCTTCGTTTCGCCGGCGATATTCGCGTGACCCAGGGGACGCTCTTATTTCAGGAAAGCGGGCCAGCAGGGTGGCTCGTAAAGTCGATTCCATCTCGCTGGAACACCCGGCCCTCTGATTCGCAACCCCCTCGAGTCATAAATTAAAGCGAGAATATTGGGGCGGGACCCCTACCTTCCTTCCCTCGGGAGAATATCCCTGGATCGATGAATCGACGAACTTTTCCAAAATTGTATTATATTACGTCGAGGAGTAAATTAACGCAACTTTGCCATTTCACACTCTGACGTAACTTTGCCATTTAATTCTCGTTAATAATTCCTCACGCGTATACCTTGTCGGGTTATTAAGTCGTTATATTCTTGATTACGGTTAATACGGTCGATAAGGTCGAAGGTATTTATTTGTTTCGAGTTCCAATCGATTCCTCGATCTTACCCGCCGAGGTTTTGCTGACGTTTGACAGCTGCGGACCACGTGGCCGCGACCACGTGGTTTTGACAGATCGCTAGAAGGCTCCGCACCTAGTCAGCTGATCGAGTCCGCGGGTCGCATCCGTGCGAGCACGGAAAATCACCTCCGTCGGATGATCGCATATATGTACGTACATACCGTGTGCACGTAATGCATACATATGTATGTACCTTCCAGTTGAGCTTAGGTTCCTCCGATTTGCCAACGGCGCTCAGTTATTTTTCCGTCGTCGAAGCGTAAGGACGTACCTCGATTCCGGTCGTATTTTTAATAACATTATACTTGAAATAATTTAATATCGCTAACATCGGAGTCATGATCCTGGACGAGGACCTCTATCCACCGACGCACAAGACGGTGATTCGTTATTGGTAAGGGGGAATTACAAAAAGGGATTAATTACAAAAATCATTAACATTGCTTCATGCACCGCTTTTAAAGGCCTCCTGATTTTCCTGCCCAATTTTCCCCTTGTACAGGAAAAAAATCGATCTATCGATAGGTCGGATCGCATCAATCGGGAGGAAGGTCGAGCCTGGATCGACAGGAAATTGCGGAACCACTTGGGTGTAAACGAGTCACGGCCTAGACTTGAAATCTGCACAGAGGGAAGAGAAGTGTTGGACCGATAATGCAAATCGGGGGATTTTTAATTTTCTTTTTTTATCCGGCGAATCGGTGTCCGTTGGATAGACAAATTCCAGGGACAAGTGGGCCGGGACAAAAGACTCGGCCAATGGCACCGATTAGTCACTCTCTTAGCATTTCGAGGCCTGAAGAGAGACCGGCAATTGACTCGACGACCTCCTACGATCGGTCCCACGTATGCTTTCCTGTTGTACCTACGCTCACCGAGTCTCGTTTCCTTTTCCCGGGCCTACGCAACTTCGGTCGACTCTTCGGGGTATCCTTCTAGGTACTCTTCATGGCGCTCTTCATGGTTGCGGTCCCATCTAAAATTAGACCCAACCTCGGAATCCGTCTCCGGGTCTGCAAACTGACCAAATCGTCGGGAGAATATTTTTTCCCCTCTTTTTTTAACACGTCACGTAATTTCGTATTTCGTTAATTCAACGGGTAATCATTTGATTCATAATTATTCTTCGAATTACCCAAAACGTTTCTCTGCCACTATTCCAAGAAGTATTTCTCTAATTTCGATGACATTCTTTTTTTTTTTTCGTCGGGGTAGTTTTGTCGTGTCGTTTCTTCGTTTTTTTTTTTTCCTTTCGTCATTTCGTTTTCGTCGCTCTTCTCTCCTTTTCTTCATTTTAATCCGTATATGGGGCCAATCGCGAGTCGCATCTGTAGGATAGTGATTCATGCCGGGTCCCGAAATGTCGGAATCTGGATCGACCTTCCATTACGTATCTCTCGATGATCGAGTTTCGGTGTCAGTGTCGCCGACCATGCCAAATATGTCCACGGCTGGCTTATCCTTGCGAGCGCGATTACTCCGGACGACCTCGACGCGACTCCCGTCCCTGGCGAAACTCTGAGAACCCAAAGAGAGATCGTTAATTGCTCGTTTCGGCATTCCTTGTCCGCTCGATGGCTCGATATTTCCTAATTGCATAAGATGACACGAAAGCGTGGCACCCGAAGGGCCGACCGTTCCCGAAATTCCGACTTGGGTCCCTGGAGACATTTTCACGATTTTCATGATTTTCATAATTTTCTTAAAAAATTCGTACGCGTACCCTGGGGATAGTCCTTGTGCTCAGAATTTTTTGGAACCGATAGGAGTGGTCCTCGATCAAAAAGTTCAAGACCTCAAAACCGTAAAAATGACAATTTTCTAAATTATCCCATCGGTACCCCTCTAAGGGATATTTCTCCAATTAAAATAAAATAGTTTTAATACATTTCAGTACAAATCCGATAACGTCACTTTTCCGGCCCTCGTCCAGGGAAAGTCGCAGGGGCGCCGCGACGTCCGTCATCTCCGGCTACGGAATTCCGCAACGCGTCCTCGACACGCGAGTTGGCCGCGATTCGTCATTGATAACAGGCCAAGAGTAATCTCTTCCTCGTGGCTCCGAGAGGCCTCACGTGTCGTTGGCTCTTCTGGGCGAATTATCGATACCGGAAGTCCCGGTACCGCGGAATCAATTTCTCGAGGCTGTACGAGAAAAACCGCCGACGCCGACGCCGGAGGTCGCCGGACGGAAATAGGTCGGCGATTCGCTAGTTTTACCGCCCTTTGACGGGGGTCGAAGACCTCCCCGAAGAAGGTCCCGACTTCCGCTTATTTCGAGATGCATATAGAGGCCCCCCAATCCCCCCCCTCCTGCACGGTGTTAGCTTATTTATCGAGCGCTATAAATAAAATCGCAGAGCCCGCTTCGTCGCGGCTCGTTAGCGATCGACGCTAATTCGAGCTCCGAGAGAGAGGCGCTAACGAGACGCGCATCGAGCTTCTTTATTCCCCCAAGAGCATATATATATATTTACATGTTTATATATTCGGGTGTATCTCTCCGCCTCACTAATACCCTGCCTCAGGGTCGAGCTCGGGAGATTTTCAAGTTTTCCTTTAATTTTTTTCCTCTCTATCTAACCCTCCGTAACGCCACGTGACTCCGGCCACGTGGTCAAGTATCGATAATTTATCCGGGATGATTCGATGTATGTTTTTTCTTTTTTTTTTTTTATTATCCGGCCATATTCAACGCAACGATTAGTTTTCACGGCGACTCGTGAATTGCATACGGATTCCTGATTTATTTAATAGGTACGATTGTGCAAAGGGCTTTTGCATATGAAAATTCGTATAAATAGTAAATATCTTATTTCTTCTCCTGGCTCGATTGAAAATGGAGAAAAATGGATTATGGAGGGTTAATTAATCTTTTTTTTTTTTTTTCGTTTCTTCGCGGGTTTCGAACTAACCGACCGACTGATAACCGTCCGATATATCTATCTCTCTCTCTCTCTCCTTCCCTCCCGCTGCGTCCGCGTCTCTTGGCTGCATTCTGGCACCTCGGCGACACTAACCTCCCCAGCCGGCATCACACGAGCAGCAGCGAACACCGCACGACGACGTCTACGACGGGGGGTTGGGACCTGGGGGACTCCGCAGCACCCCCGAAAAGGTCCGCCTTCGACAGCTTCAAAAGGTGACACAGAGAATCTCCCTTCGCACCCTCTTCGTCACTTCTTTCTCCATCGCATCCGCCTCGCCTCTCCTCGTCCATCGGCAGACCACGTGGGGCCAGGGTGTTCCTGTATACATATTTGTTAACCATTATTTATTTTCACCGTACTTATTATTATTTTTAATAACTTCCAATCACGAATACGCGTGACTCTAGTCTCCTTTGAAAAGGTGCGTATTGTATTTTTTTGCCGTACTTCTGTATATATATATATTTTTTCCTTTATCAGGTTTATTAAATTAAAATCATGAATTCTACTCCGCGTACGTTGTTTAATTTTAAAAAAGAGCATACCGTTAGCGTGTCTCCGTACGTCTTTGACGTGGCCGTCCACGTGGGTCGTCCATTTAAATCGCCTACCCCTGCCCACGTGGCCTCCCTCGGTGTCGCCATTCGTTCCTTTGATCAGTCGCTCGAGTCTCATAGACGCATCGACGCATCGCCGGTGCATCGCCAGTGCATATATCTCGTCGCCATGCCTGTCTGTATGCAGCCCAGTAGTGAAGCATCCCCATAGAAGTCTCCCAGACGCACTCATTAGGCTCGGCGCACCTGGCACACCCATCTAGAGGCACATGTATAGACGTACATAGATATATTTACACATGTCTAGCGAGTAGTACCTAGGTAGTCCGTAGTCGCGTTAGAGTACACGTCGGTATATATACGTATATACCCACGTACCAATATATACGTATACACATACACAGGGTATACATACGTAGCTCGTCACGTAGCTCCCGGATAAGCATTTCGCGTTTATCAAAGGCTCGCCCTGAAAGGTCTCTTCTGGTTCCCTTTTCAGCACCACCACGCACCAGAAGTCCTCTCAGAACTCCTCCCTCAGCCCTCAGGACTCCCACACGTGGCTCGATGGACTCAACAGTCCTCTCATCCAGGACGAGGGGAACAGCAAGACGCTGAAGCTGCGGTTCGACGTCTCCCAGTACACGCCTGAGGAGATCGTCGTCAAGACTGTGGACAACAAACTCTTGGTGAGATTTTTTTTTTTTTTTAATATAACAATTTCTAATTTTAGAGCGAATTTAAGGAATGGCAGAAATGGGAAGGAGGCCCAGACAGACGGATGAAGAGTAATTTACCTCATATAGACTTCATATTCACGTTATATCGACTTTATGTTTACTTCATATCGACTTCGCGGTGCAGTCGGTCGATCGCATCGTCCCGGCTAATTTGACTTTCATTCGGTATCAATTTGAATGAATATCGTTAGCGGTCGATACGAGTCTAATGTACTCTCCACGTGGACATAAGTTAAACTGTCATATGCAAGATGTCATACATGCGGATGACACGGCGGGTATCGCATGCATAATGCGAAGACCGTCATCGTCTGTCTGGGGAGCTTTCTCTTTACTTATCTTTTTTTTCCCCCTTCTTTTTAACAATTTCTGCGCCTCCATATACGCGACGCGGGGGCGGATTCCGCGGCGTAATCGCGCGACCGGCCGTTACGCAACTTTGGCGAGATGCGTATCTGGGCCCGGGTTGCGAAACCGGAGACGTTTCCGCCGATGTTCCCCCCAAATTGCGGGGAATTGGGGCCGATTACGCGGCACCGGACGCGCTCCGCCGCGGAGGAAAGGGAGCGGAAACGGTGCGTCTTTAATTTTTCGATCCGACCTCACCCGGGAGGTCGGTTCTTTGCCGGGCGACGACGCGGCCGAGACTTCTTTCGCCCTGGCGATATCTCGAGGACTTTCGAGAAATCTAACCCCAGAAGTGGCGGCGCCTCGGGGAAGGTGCGGGGCCCCCGAAATAGACCACGACGAAAATACAATTCGTTCGCCCTCGCGTCGCGACCGGAATATAAGCGGCCGCATTGCGAGGCCGGCTAGACCAGCCGGAAAGACCGGCCCAATTGGAGAAGGCCTCGGCCACCGTGAAAATTGTCGTATTAACCCTTTCGCTACGACGGGTGACTATAGTCGCCGTACGTTTGGTCCAATATTGCCTGCACGGTCAGACGAATTTCGACCATATGTCGAAAAGGGTCCGTGTTCAAAGGGTTAAGCGGAAGAAGGAAAGCAGAAAAAAAAAGCGAATCTTCAGCTCTTCCAACGCGTACAAAGAACGTATGCAGTGTAAGAAATATAAGAAATGCAAGGACTAATCGATATTATGAAATTTCTCGAATGCGAGGGAGAATAGGAACGTCAGAGGAGCCGATTGGGAGATTTTGGCCGTTTTGAAAATTTGCATAACGAAGGAAAAAATTAATCAGCTCGAATGCAAGGTATGCCAGTGATGTCGTTATCAAAGCGAATTTAACGAGTACAACGAATACAAGAAATAATAGGAACGTCGTATTTGTCATGGTGCTCCCTTTTCCATCCTCTCCAGGGCAGCCCTGAAGAGAGAGAGGTGAATGGTACGTATCTCCCGGAAATGGAGCGATACCATCGCGTGGGTGCCAGGGTAAAGAAAGGACCCGATGTTCACCGTTATGCAAAGGAGAGCGAAGAGCCCCGGGTTATTGCACCTTAACCATCGGATAGGAGACCCGCGAGAGGCCTTTTTCTCGGGAGAGAGACAGGAAGAGAGAGGAAAGGAGAGAGAGAGCGAGAGGCCGTCTCTATCGACCGCAGGGCTCTCGGTTCTGCCAGGTCGGACAAAAAGGAAGCCCGAGACGCGGAGGGAAGGTTAACGACTTCCCCGAGGACTCTACCTGGCGATGGGATCGGAGTACTTGGCGCGGAGCCTCTACATCATCCTCCAGGGAGTGAACCGAGGGTAGCGACTCGTTAGAAACTTTACCGCGTGAATTTACAAGCCCCGAGGAAGGACGTTTAATTTTTCTTTTCTCTCATTTATTTATAGGAATTTTATTAAAATTGAGTTTTCATGGGTGGCGGATCTTCCTTGGGGCCTCCACGTGGACGTGGTGAAATTTCAAGCGATTCGGTGCGACCAGCTCGGAGGAGAGCTTCGCGAACGATCGCCTTAAGGGGGATGATCGGAGTCGGGGCGAGGTAGAGTCTCGCGCCAAGTGCATGGGATTACCGGACTGGATCGAATTATCGGCGGAATTATTGAGCCGAATGCGGCGCCTCGCAGCAGCCTTGAAGAAGGCCTCGAAGAGATTCCCTTCCTAGAGGGACTTTTATCTCGCCTCTTAAGGTCGCTTTGCGACACCGCGGAGCGAATCGTGGTCAAGGTCGACGAGGTTTAAATCGAGCTCCGCGCGGCCTTAATCCTCGAGTCGTCGAGACTCGATGCGACTCTGGCGGATCCCTCGACTCGTTTGCGTCCGAGATCCCATCCGATCGGTTCGACTCTTGAACCTCCCAGCGAAATGGAAGAGACCTGCCGATCGAACGAATCGAGGAAGAATAAAAAGAGGAAAGTCCGGGGAATAATTCCACGAGCCCGAAGAAACGAGTTCCCTGAGGAAGACCCGAGAACTTGGTTCCAGTTGGAGCCTTATCAAGACCCTCGGCGTGAGTCACGCTCGGCGTATCGATCCCCAGCTAGCCTGCGAAACGACCCCCCGCGAAGTCGGGCAAGAAGTGCCGAATTCCCCGACCTGGGGTCGGGATCAACTCCCAGGGGAAGATGGGACGATCTAGAGTTTCGGAGGGAAGAGCTCCTCGGGGAGGCGTTTATTCCTCCTGGGATAGGTTTACGGGCCTCGACGGACCGAGAGACCGCCAGTTGACGAGGAAAACGGGGCCATAGAGCAACTACGTTAAAACTAGGTTTATATTTAGTCCCTGAGTCAGGCTCTTCTCGACGAGCTTATTTCGGCGATATCGGGAGGAGGGATCATCTCGGGATTTCGAGGTCCGGTGGCCAGAGGGGTCCCGACGACTGCCAGGTGGGATGGATTACGGATCCCGTGGGGACCTCTTGAATTTCATTATTTTTCCCGAATTTCCCTCTCCGTACTTATATTATTTTTTTTTTCCAGCATACCTATGTGCAAAGAGAGGCGAGGTAAAGCGACACCTCTTCCCCTCGAGATATCCAGGTCGCCTTGAGTTACCTGGGGATGCCCTCGTCATCTAGGGTTACCCCTCATCTGGAATCCCTCGCGGTCTGGACTTTTGCGAGGGATCGATCTCGCGGATTTCCGCCTCCTATCTATCCGGGGACTGCGGCCGGTACTTTTATCCGTCGTCGATTTTTCATTACAAATCCGTATGACGTGGCGTACAGTCGGCGGTGTACCCTTTGCTCGGTACACACCATGGGTCGGGAAATTAGCTCACGGCCTTCCCCGGCGCGGAATTAGCCGGATTTGTTTAACCCACATGCGGATACTCGGCGGCTGATGTATTATATCAACATCTAGAGACTATCAATGCCCCGGAGAGGGGCGCGGCCGCGCGAAAAACGCACCGAGGGAGACGGGAGAGAGAGAGGGGACTAGTTAGCGGTTTACGTAACGCAATTAGCGTATCGCAAACCGCCACAAAGAAGTCCGACTAAACGGTGGACTGTGTTTGCCACTGGGCGCGGCCGAATATCCCGCACCTGCGTTTTCCTAGGAAACGCGTTAAGACGGTCCCGTCGACGGGAGCCACCCTGGTGGTGCGGAGTACAGAGGACACGAAATAGAAATATGTCGATAAAAGCGGCCGCAGTAATTTTTTATCGGAGCTAAATTCGTATTGTACTTCAAATTGATATGTGCGATGAATTTCGGGGATATGTTACTATCGGGGGTCCTGATAAGGGGTGGCCCACTCGGTCGGCTGGAAGGCGCCGATATCGATTTCGGAAGACCCCGAGCTGGCGCCACCGGGACGCGGTTTGCTTCCTCGACCTCGAGACATCTCGGCGAGCTCGCCACCCTTGCTCTTCCTCCTCGGCACCCTGGCCCGGTTTACCACCCCGAAGTGTCCCATTAGTCACCCACCAACGTAAACGACATGGCCGCGGCACCGTGACTCCGTAACCCAGTTTCGAAGGCCATCGTCTGGGTTTCTTTACGACATTGCCTCTGTACAATATGGGGATCGAATCGAATCGCTCTCCGATAATTCCCATGATAGCCAGAAATCGCGAGATATCGATATTACAATTTTTTTTTTTTTTTTTTTTTTTTAATAGTACCGACATGCAAAATCGCCGCCTGGGTTTCTTTACGACATTGCATCCGTACACGCGAATTGGATCGAATTACTCCGTGAACATTTCCACGAGAGCCAGAAATCGCGAGATATTGATATCAAATATTTTTTTTTGTTGTATTGTAAGCGATGATGAAAATCGGTCTTGCGAAAAAGGCAACTTCAAGAAGAGAACGGCGATTTATGAAGTCTCAATGTCGATGCCGACCTTTCAGTCGGCGGCTGCGCAAACATCGCTTCCGATACGTGGGCGTACCGGTCGGAATGGCCCCGATGATTCCCAAAGAGACCTGAAGAACCGAGAGAGAATACCTGAGCTATTCTCGGAAGAGACGATACCTCGATAAAAAAAATTTTTTTAATTGAATTTCGGAGTAAACCTGGAGGAGGTGCCTTTTTCGACTGGCGGGATGCGTCACCCTGAAGAAGACACCTGTTGCCTGTGGGGATTTATTTCATCCCCATCTTGGATCGGTTTCACGTGCCTCGAAGACTCCAAAACTAAAGAAGTGAAAAAAAAAAATCCTTAAGTAAAAAAAAAAAAATCGTTCGTACGAAAATTTGATATTTTAGTGGAGGCGCCTTTTTCGGCACGCCGGGGCCATCTCGGATCGGTTTTACAGGTCTCCCGATTCTCTCGGCCGATGTTTATAAGGCTATTTATAGTGATTTCGTAAGACACCTGGTTGCACCGCTGGCTCGAGTTATGCCAGTCTCGAAACCCTCTCTCGGGCCTTCCACGCACTTTTCCGCGCCGACTTCCCGGCGACCGCATTTGGGTCGCCGCCGATTCGATCATGCTCGCATTAATAATGCAAACTGCGACCCGATTGTAGGGACCACGCCAGCGGAATGTGCACGCAAAGGGTCGGCCACTCATCGATCCCGACTCGGCTTTATCAAAAGGTTCCCCTAGATTTCTCTAACTTGACCCCTTGCGTGGGAACGCATTAAATCGCCCCATAACTTAAAAAAGAAAAAAATAAGTTCCCGTCTTGTGGATTATTTACTTTATGTAAATAAAAAAAATAGTGTCTTATCTACGTTTCAATTCCGGACGTTTGGGCGAATATCGCCTGGCCGCCCTGGGGAATTTCGCCCATACGTCGGGTTGGCTCGGTACACTTGACTAGCTTATAAGGCTTATATGAAATTATATTAATTATTAATGGAGTTGATGAATCTAATTAGTAGCGACGCGTCTAACGAGAGATTTAAATTTTTCCAGGTCCATGCCAAGCACGAGGAGAAGACGGAGACCAAGTCGGTGTACAGAGAGTACAACCGGGAGTTCTTGCTGCCGAAGGGGACGAATCCTGAGAGCATCAAGTCCTCTCTGAGCAAAGATGGGGTCCTGACGGTGGAGGCTCCCCTGCCGGCCATCGGCTCCGGGGAGAAGCTCATCCCGATCGCGCACACATAAGGACCCTAGGTCCTGTCGAAATTCTCCTTTCCCCATCCTTCCTCCAGAATGCCGCACTCGAGGAAAAGAAAAAAGTCAACCCGGTTAAATTAACGATGAGCAAGACCTAACGCTAGAAAAACCCTTAAGTTCCAAAACTACCGAACAAATAGGAAATTCGATTTCCTCGGAAATTCTCTTCGTAATCGACGGAAGAAAAGTTATTAAAAATTATTAACGCAGTCGGGCCAATTTAACGGAGATATCGTGATATCTTGGCTTAATCCGAAATATGGAGAGCGTTTAATTATCCGGGATTCTGACTTTTTTTTTTTTCCCCCGAGCGGGGATAATCGATCGCGTGGATCGCCGTCTTCGAGGACCTTCGTCAGGAGCTTCGCAGCGCTTCGACCAGAATTCGGCATAATTTCGGGCGACCATGGGCCAGACTCCTGGTTGCACTCTTCCTCGAGGAGGATGTTCCCGAAGAGACCGGAGAGGATCCCTCGACGGTCAGGGGTGCGACCCAGGATGCGGCCGGGCGATGATATTTTTGTACGCTGCAATAGAGAAAATGGATTTATTTGCCGTTAAGGAGAGAGAAAAAAAAAATAATAAGAAGAAACAAAATACATTTTCGTTTTCCTTGCCGGAGTTCTTGGCTCGCACTTTTCGCGGCCTGAGCGCACAATCGAAAGTACTTTGTAACTCGGCGACATCAGTCCTTCGAGATTTACTCCAGCGAGAGGAGTTAATTTGTATCGTACTTTGTATTGTACTTTGTACCCGCGCATGTTGAAAGTCATCAATTAATTCGTTAATCAACGGAGAACGTGAGACGCCTAACGGACGGTCGAATGGGAAAGGATTATTTGTAAAACGGTAACTTATGTACGTGTTAGATTAGGTGTACACGTTAAAAGACTAAACAAAAACACGATGCCTAGCATATGTAAGCATTATATTATTAATATTATTTATGAATATTTTAATATTCTCGAGGAGAGAAAGAGCGCGCGCATATGTTTAAAAAGGATACGCAGGAGAGCTGGACGATATTAAATAAAAAGTCTACTTGTATATCAAGGGTTCCTGGATTTATCACTGGGCTTTTCGCGCGACTAGTTAACGAACCCCGACACGTTATCACAGTTTATTTAATCGTTAACAAAATAGTTTGTCATCTTATGTACAATTCGATAGGCTTTGTTACGTCCTTATAAAATCCATACGGCAGATTATGGTACAGCTTTAAAAGGTAACTCCTTCTAGTCGCTAATTCACATCGATGAAAGCCCTTCCAGCATAAACTATATCGATAGATTATGGTTTGTTTCATACTGCTAGGACATCTTCAGGTTACCAAGCGGCAGAGAAGCGCCGATTTATATTGCAATAAATATTACTAGTGTTCCTTTCTCTGCCGATTACCTTTCTTTGTTTAAATAAATATGACGAGACTTTATAGAAAAGAAATTACCATCGGAGGTAAATGGTACCAATTCGAATCCATCGATCGATGGAAAAGAGTCTTATAGAAGTAACTGAGAATATTATGTTTTAATAATGAGACTCTGAGTATGGAAAGTTCGTGTGTCTAAATACTTGGTATCTCGGCAGAAAACAAAGGTGCATCGGTGGTACTGAAAGATGGCGATTTGCCTTCCCTGGCGATCCTCAAAGCTTGAAGAACGGACACTGTATCGAGTTCCTTCTGATTTGGTTTTTCGTTATCCAGACAGATGTCTGCGGCACGTTTGCCAAAAGGCTCTAACACTTTGACTCTATAATCGACTATCGTAGAAACCGGATTGCCAGTCAGTATCAGATTCTCGAGGCAAGGCAAATGGCCAATGTTCTTCACTTCTTCGATGCTCTCGATTCGATTGCAGCTGACGTCAAGGCCCTCCAACGCGTACAACTTTGAGAAGCCAGCGAGGGAAGTCAGATTATTCTGCGACAAGTCCATGAAGACGATGTTTCCTAATTTGGTGTGCAGATTGTCAGGTAGCGTGGTGAAATTATTCGAAGCCAAATACAGATGCGACAGTCTAGGAAGCAGAGTAACGTTCAGGATTTCCGAGAGCCCGTTATTATTCAACGTCAGCGACTCGATGTGTGGCAGAAGTCTGATGGCTTCGTCTATTGTCTCTATTTTGTTGTTACTGACGTCTAAAGTGGTTACTTTCCACCATACATGCGAGTCGTTTGCACTGGACAGGTGCTTGTGAACCTCTTCGCACATAGCCAGCTCTACGATGCTCCTCAAATTAGCGTTGTAAACCTTGAGGACCCTTACGGTGTCCCTTAGGTTTCCCATCCCGTAGATCTTGTCCATCGGGTAACTGTCGATGGTCAGCTCCTCTATATTCTTGAAACTGGACAATTCGATCGGCAAATTAGATGGGCAGATATTACTAGTACCACAGCATTCCGTACTCCCTTGAACGACGAGACTATCGAGATGAGAACTGAAGTCTAGAACGTGGCTGAAGTCATACTTCTTATCTATCACCTCCATTGTCGGACAAGGTTGTTTCAGCCTTTCGCTGATGGAGTAAAGCTGAAAGAAGAAGCACGGATTATCGATTTATTATTTACCCGTTTGTAAACGATGGATACCTGTATGGGCGTGAAGGTGTAACTTTTAGATGCTCGAAGAAGCGCATCTCCTTCGGTGACGAACTGCAGAGCCATATTTTGGAGTACGAAGAATGTATCATAGATGTGCATGTCGAGGAACAGTGCGAGCTCCCTTGGCATCATTTTCTTCAGATAAACATAGACGGCATTCAGATATTCCTCCAAGCCAAGGCGCCGCTTCTCCACGAAGGCTTCGCTCTTGTTACCAATCAGTTTCTTTGGAGGAAGGATATCCTTCGCTACGCAGTGTTCGTTCACCAGGCTCTCGTGAAGCTCAGCAAAGTCGCTGTACCTATGCTTGACCATCCATTCAACGGAAGCAACTTTAACCTGAATAATGTAATACGTTACATTATCCAACGTCTCGACAGACGGGATTTTTATGTGGACGTCCTTCTGATTCAACAGGAGGCACGACATCTCGGCACCCTTTCGAGAGTCTGGATCGAAACAACTATTTTAAGCCACCGATTCACGTCCAGACTGACCGAGCGAATTTCACGAGCGAAGAGAGGTTATCGCGTATCGCGCGCTAGCTTGCCGAGACCTTTTTATACCCTTCCAATCGTCTGCGCCATCGTATCGCTCCTCGCTTTCCGAGTAATCGGAGACAATTGTTATCTCGACGTGCAAAATGCCCTCTCGTCGTGCATTTTGACAGTAGAAACCCCACCACTTGCTCCAGTCAAATTCCAACCCACGCACCCGAACATTCCCGGTCCGCCATTTTGTATTTTTCGTATCAACTACCCGAAGCACTTTAAATAGTTTCCCCGTAGCGGCGCTGCCGTCCGAGCGGGATCGGCACGCTAAAGAGGGAAGTGAGGTAACAGGTTAGAAAGGCAGTTGAGAGGGGAGGAGGCGATGATTCAGAAAAACGAAATGCAATAATCATAAAGCGAGGCTCCCCATGCGCCGAGTCGAGGCTCACCTCGTGCCGCCGAGACTCTTCAACCTCTTCGAATATTCCATCCATCTCTCCGTTACATCATTTGTACCAATCATACCTCGCATTTAATACGTTTAAGTTCATAGACATATTTTCGCAGTCTCCTACCTCATTTCCAAGCTTTCATTCGAGGCGTTCTCGTTCCACCTGGCGGCCCCTGCGACAACCTGTTGCTGCGTACGCAAGATGGCGGCGCCTAGGCGGAGACGCGAGCCGAGGTTGCCCGAGGCCTCGCGGAAACGGTCGAGCTACCTGGCCGAGCCGGCTGGCCGCCCCCACCCCGCGCGGCCGCCGGGCGAACCTGTTGCCGCTCTCGGCTTCAGTCTCGCGCCGGTCACGGGAGGGTCGACAGCCGATTGCCTGTCCGGGGAACGCCCGCGCACCTCGGTGACGGGGACCGCGCCTCGACGCGCGTCCGACGCCGCGAGATCGCCCCTCGTTCCGCGCCAGGGACGACGTCGCCGAGGAAGCCAATAGTCCCGCACCTGAAATCCGGTCCCAAGGAGGTTAGAACTCGGAAAATACGGATTACAGGAAATTCCTCGTCCGCGGCGGGTCGATTATCGACTAGTTGCTCGAATCCGGCGTCGATAGTGGTATTTCCGCCCACCGGTCATCGCAAGGTGGAAGTCTTCTTTATCCGGGGAAGTGCGTCGACCGGGACCATTTCGACTCTCCTTTTGAGACCCTGTTATGGAATTTCGCCGAAGGATGTCCAGTGCGGTGCGTCCGCAGGTGTGACGGAGCTCAAGTGGAACGGGCGTCCTCTCCGAGAAAGTGAGTACCGAGTTCTTCTCTCTCCCTCTAGCCCGTGGGGGTCGACGGAGAGGCCCTTCCTTCTCGAATTTTCGTCCCTCCTCCCTTAACCCGTTTTTCACGAGTATGCCCGTGATAATACGCTTCGAATAAGTCGCACCATGTAATTGGTTAAGCTGCGTAAACACGATGTTACGATATTATGCGATCTGTGTAGTTTAATCGGCTCCTTCCAGTGAACAAGGAAATCATTATTTCATCGGGAAACTCGGTAGAGTTTACCTGGTCTAAAATGCTGATTGCAGGCAGTAAAATGTGTACACGATATCAATTGTTTATCATTTATTTATACGTATATTATACGCATTATTTTATATGACCGGTAAAACGGTAATTAACTTTAGTTCGTAATGCTTAAATTTCGGTAATCCCCGATATCGTTCCAAGGCTTAAAAATATTCATGATAATAGGTGTAAGATATTAAACTCAGTTTTGCGATGTACCGAGAGAATTCCAAGTTTTTTTTTTTTATAAGAACTGGCGATTAATTGAGAGTATTTTATTTAATAACGGGTTCGGTAGAAATAGGTATGTATAAATTATCGGTAATTTGGCGTCAAGGACGAGGTTCTCATTTCATATCTTTTTCCCTTGTTTTTGTAAACCTTTTTTTTCCTTCTCTTTGTCCCTGATATATCGAGTCGAGGATCCGGTACACTCTTTCGGCGTGGGTGAAGTTAAACGGCGCATTTAACGATCGCAATTAGGCCGAGAAATCGGTCGAGTATGTGCATGGCTCGAGCAGGTGTGAATGGAGCGAGCGCGAGAGAGACGGCGCGATGCCGCGCGCGGCGGAGCGAGAGAGAGGGCAGGCGTGCGGGAAAGTGCCCGGCCGAGGCGTTATCATTTATCCTCCTCCCCTTCGAAAGGGGATTTTATATACCGTCGGTGATGATTCCATATTCTCTTTTAACGGCCGGGAAGTCGCGTACACTTCCGCGGCTTGACTTTTGTCCGACTTGGGGTATGTAAACACGTGATTACGCATTCCGCCCAGTTATCACGCGGCCTCGCCTTCGGGACGCTGTTTACAAATATTCCCCTCTTCTGTTCGGATTTTCATTTTAATCATTGTACATTGAAATGTACACGGGAGACGAAATGAAGGTTTTAAACGAGTATCGATACGCGAGAGAGATATATCAGGGACATGCGCAGAATAATTCCTGAACGAGTCGGTGAAATTTGTCATCGGTCCAATTGTACAATGAAATTCATTGATTTGCGATTTTTTATCGATGTAACGAAAAATCGGGGCAAACCAGACGAGGTGGATTTAAAGGAAAGGTATCGATTTAATCCGGAAATGTTAATGATAACGTGTAAAAAAAAAATGGATTCGCTGACGAGAGATCCGAGAGGAGTGATCGAGGGAGCGGTAAACGGGAGGCCGAGACGAAACCCTGGGACAAGGAGCAATTGGATATCCCGTGGGAAGGAGTCGGGACGAGAGGACGTCGAGGAGAGTCCCGGGGTCCCTAGGGACGCCAGGAGGGGGGGAGGCGAGGTTTCGGAGCGAGGAATGCGGCGTGGGCGCCGTCGCCGCATTCCTTACCGAGCCCTCCTCGTTATCCTTCGGGACTCCCGCGGGAAAATCGGGAATCAAGGGGGAAACGGGGTAGCCCTGATTATCGGCAATTTTTTCTGGAGGGGGGCAACGGGGGGAAACGAGGAAGAGAAACGGAGAATGTCGCGCCGAGGGAGGGGAGCGCTCGTCTTCGGACGGCCTCGAGGATCTCGAAGGGGAGAGAGAGAGATGGACGCATGCCACGATCTTCGGGTCAGAGAGAGACGGCGATATCAGGTGAGCGGAGAGGAGAGAGACTCGGTGCGTGCTTCGGCAGAGGTGAGTGCCCGCCGGCATCCTCGCGAGTTAACTCCGGAGGTTCCGTTGCTCCGGAGGTCGTTTCGGAGGAGATCTCGGGAGGTCCCGAAATCCCGACCTCCCAGCATCCAGGATGGACCCAGATCACATCGGCTCGGTCTTTATCTACGTTTCCTGTTTTCATCCTTGAATTCACGACCGTTTACACGGGGTGATATGGAATATGGGATTTGTAAGGGGGGGAAAAAAAAAATGACACTCGCTCGGTCCCCTCTCGTCCCTTTTTTTTTTCCCGGTCCCATTTACGGGATCCAATTTGCGAGCTGTCCCGCGGCGCCGGGCGTCGGCCGGGCGTCGCCGCGCCGGGAGGCCGCGTTTCGAGACGCTCGTGCCTCTCCTTCGTCGGCAAGAAGGAGGCAATCGCGGGGGGCGAAAAAGCACGACGAATCCGCGCCTCCTGGAGCGCGAAGTCGCCGAGAAAACCTCGCTTCGCGATAAGATTTTTTTTTCTTTTTTTTTTTCTTTTTAACGTAAAGTGCAACACTCATTGTCAAATCTCGCTCGCGTCAGTCTAAGGTGTTCGAGCTTCACCGCGAAAAGACTCGCGTTGACTTAAGACGAGAAGTGCATCGTTGATTGATAAATTTCCCTCAGGTCGGGAAAAAAAAATGTTAATAACGACGCGTTTCGGTTTGCTATAAAAGAAAAATATCTCATTAATTCCAACATTTAAGTGTGACTGGCTACACTGAGAAAAAGAAGCTGGGGGCTAAAGCTTCGATTTGGATGGGCGGCTATGCTTCGATTTTTCTTCCTGATTTGTAATTTGTCTTATTCGATTTTTTTTTTGTGTGGTTTTTCCTCCTAAGTCTACGACGAGCAATCGGGAAATGGCTCGAGAACCAGAGACGGATAGGTGAGAGATCTTCGGGATGCGACTAATGGAGCATCGGGATCGGGATGTCCCCCTCCCACTAGAATGTCTCGGGCGTTTCCGCAGAGTTCCTCTCGTTTGCCTCCGTATATCCGTTCCTTTCCTTCTCGACATAGTCGCGGCGCCTCCGGGCGGCGTCTTTCGTCTCTCTCTCCCTCTCTCATTTTGTCCCTCCTCCTCTCCCGCGACTCGTCCCGCGGGTTGCGCTCCGCATGCACCGAAGGAAGAAGGAGAATCGCCGAAGGGGGTGTCCCTTTGTCTCCGGGGAGGCACTCGGGGAAAGGGTTGAAATTGAAACGGGGCTCACCGTCTGATTTGCTCGCCCTCCCCCCGGGGGTTAAGCGCCCCCGAAAGGGTCGCGAGGGAACCTCTCCCTCCCTCCGAGGCAAGAGAAATGACGTCTCCCTCTTCCCGGGAAATCCCCTCGGGGTCCGGTGCACAGGTGCATCCCTGGGGATGCACTTTAGGGACGTGGCCGAGTTACGGGACTAATCCTCAACCTGAGGGATCCTCTTTCATTTTTCCCTTTCCCTCTCTCTCTCCGGGAAGTAACATCGACTTCGTTGCATAGATGCACCTGTGCACCTGTCGGTGCACTTTGACGTCATGTCCGAGTTAAAGAGCACATTCGCGACGTAAGGACCCTTTCGTCATTTTTCTCTTCCTATCCTCTCTCCGGAAGTAGACGTCGCTGTCGCCACGTCGATGCACCCCGTGCACCCATGCACCCCTCCACCTATGCACCCTTGCACTCGTGCATCCCTTGATATGCATTGCGAGTGGCGGAACCGCCGATAACGTTCATGGCCGTGACGTCGGCGTGACGAAGGTTATCCGAATTTGTCATATCTAGTTCGAGAGGATGCACGGTTGCGGGGGGTGGCGGAGGGGGGGCTCGAAAAAGGGGAGAGGGAGGGAGATGCAGTCGGGTCTCGTTACCGGGATATTTCAGGCTTTTCGCTCGGTTACCTTGGGGCGCGGAATGAAGGTGGGAGGGAGGAGGAATATTCCCGGGAAGAAGTGGGGGGCGGAATCCCGCGGGATGGAACGACCCCCTCTGCTCTCAGGAACCAGGCGGGACGTCGAGAGTCGCGTTTCCGGGTTTTCGCGAATTCTTCTTTTGATTCCTATTTTTTTTTTCCCTCCTCTCATTACTTCTTAAAAAATTGCATCTCTACCCTTTCTTCGCTCTCCCGAAGGAGAGAGTGCGTCGTCTGCATTCAATTATTCGGGATATCAGGTTCCGGTGGACGAGAGAGACAGCGAGAGGGAACGCTTAATCTTTCTATTTCTTTCTCTCTCTCTCGCGCTCTTTATCTCTTTCCGTTCCGTCTATCCATCTCCCTCGGGGAGAGACTTTTTTCTCGGCGTTTGCGTTATAGCGACTTCCATCCGGTCTCTGCCCGGGAGATGTGCACCCGGACGGGATGTTACGCACACTCGTGCACGTCGGTGCATCCTTGGTCCATGAGATGGGGATGCTGGGAGAAGGAGGAGGAGGTCGAGGGGGGAGGAGTCCCGCCGCACGCGAGCTGGTCTAGGGAATCGCCGGAGGAGCTCTTCTCGTCCTTTTTCTCCACCCTCCCTCCTTTTCTCTCTCTCTCCGTTGCCGCCCTCGTTCTATCTCGACTTCTCTCCCTCTCTCGCAGCTCCTCTCGGATTCTCTTCTCTCCTCTTCTCTCCAATTACCGTCTCTCGCACCCCCCCGGCTCGGGGCGAGTGCTCGAAAACGAGGCGCCCTCCATTCGGGAACGATGCACCTTGCCCGGGGAAGGGGAGTCCCGAGGGACCAGTCGGAAAATTGGGGAATCCTCCGCCTTATCGCCGGAGTTTCCGCCGATTACCCCCGGCGAATGCGAACTCGCCCGAGGAGTGATAAGCCTTGTAAATCCGAGTTTGATAACGATCGGGAGGGCTGTTATCGGGACTCGTCGTTTAGGATCGATTCCATTAGATCGGCTGATCTTTCGGATATCTAAAATCAAGGAGCCGTGATTTTAGATGGCTGCCGATTCTTTTTTTTTTTTATTGGGAAATTTAAAATTCAGGGTCGATTATTTCATATCAGCTGATATCTAGTGTATCTTAAAATCGAGCCATTATTTCATATCACCCTCGGCTGGATCGGCTGCGATCCCTAGGGTGTGAAAAAATTTTCCCCATCATTTCCGTGGAAATCGGAAATATATTCCAGAGAATGGGGTAGGTCGGGGTGACACATCGGATCCGAGGCGAGTCCCGAGGGCACGGTCCCTCCCTTTTTTTTTTGTCGACGGACGTCCCGGCCGGGGAAATTTCCAGGGGAAGGACCGGGAGGAGCGGAGACGAATGCGTCGAGTTTCCGTTTTAGCCGCGTATCCGTTTCCCTTAGCGTTTTCGCGTCCTCATAATTCCCCCCTCCCCTCGTCCCTCCTTCCCGTTCCTTCGGGAGCGAACTACTCCCATTACTCGCCCGAACTTCGGGAAACGGGCGAGTTCGCGAATAATCGGCCGCCGTCGAACTTGCTCCTCCGACCGGAAACCGGGAACTCCGTCGACTTCCGATTGGCCCGAGAATCCTTCCTCTCTTTTTTCCTTCTTTCTTTGTCATCCCTGCGAACTGGGAATTTTTCTTTCTTCCTGCAATTTCTTTTTATTCCCGTGAATATCCGGTCTCCCGTTGTCATCGAATCTTCCTCGCGTGCGAGAAGAGGTTTTTGCCTCGCACGCTTTAGAGGAGCCCATTGGCCAGCTGACGCTCCTCCGAGATGTCTTGGCTTCCCTTTTTTCCCGTTCTCTCTCTCCCGAGGGACGCCCTGGAGGTCCGGCGTCGCCGTTTCCGGCCTGGCTAATTTTAACCCCCGAGGGAACCTTGAGGATCTCGGAGGAGCTCAAAGGAGGATAAGGGACCCGACGAACCGTATCCTGCTGTTCCCGTTATCCCGATAAAAGCGGGAATTGGGATGCAGCGGGTCCTTAAGGTATTCCCAGGTGCGTCCTTGCTTTGGATCAGCTGATCGGTCATTACCGATGATCGCTACAGGAATCAGCTGATCAGCTGATCAGCTGATCGTTGTCGGCGACCACCAGGGTGGCAATCAGGGTTAATGCGATTTTCCCTCCGCGTTTAACGAGCAGCGGTTCTTAGCCGAATCTGAGATCGTCTTTCATAATACGAGGGGGGGTTAGGAGGGGGGAAGATACGGAGTTAATCGGGGAAGACGAGAAAATGCACTTCGGGTTGTTGATCCGCATGGTCGGCAGACTACAGACCGAGCCTTAGCCCTCTTGTAGCTCGCGCCGCTGATAAATGCCGAAGAGGGCGTCCCGCATCTCGCCTCGGATATTCACCGTGTGTCGGAGAGAGACCGAGCGATGCGGCGCCGAGCGCGAGCGAGAGAGACACCGATACCTCAGGCCCCTGCGGCGACGCGGTCCCGTTTAATCGGCCCGTGCTATTAATTATATCCCCGCCTGCGTTTTCCTCCTCCCGCAACGCGGATTTCGCGTAAGCGACGTCGCCGGGGATATTGCGGAATCCCGGGATTTATCACTCGTTTCCCTCTCGCCGATTTTCTCCCTCCTGAATTTTTTCCTCGTCGCTACTTTCATTTTTTCTCCCTCGTCGAAATTCCGCGGTGGTTTTGAATATACATATATTCCCTTTTAATTCCTTTTGTTCGCTCTTTTCGGTTTCCATTCTCCTGTTTATTTCCCCCGTTCGTCCCAGGAATTGCACCGGAAAGTCGAGGTTTTCCTCGGTTTTCCCGGAGTGGGGATGAGGCGGCGAACGGAATTGCGACATTCGTCCTCGTTTAGCTGACACTCGCGTTTTTAATCAATATACGGTTTGCACTGATAAAAAGTTCGTAAAAACCTTCGAAATTTATTAATCATTAATTTTCCTTATTCACTCGAGGTCGGTCTTTCCCCTTTCGCTTCTCTTTTTTTTTTACACAGAAGGGAACGTCCATGACTCGCAGGCAATTGTTTTAAAAGTCTGAGAAATCGAAAAGTCAAGGATTAAAAAAAAAAAAATCATTGGTTTGAAATTTCAAGGCGTTCCTCTTCCGTCTTAATTAATTCTTATCAACGGGGGGATTGACAAGGGGAGGGAGTTATTTTCTCCGGCGGGTCATTCGTCATCGTCGCCGAGATCATTGGCTCCTTCTCTTCAGGGTTCCCCACCAAGTCGGAGGCCGATGGTCCCGGGTTCCCGGTAGGTCTCGGCTTCCTGATAAAGGCCCGTGCACTTATCTGTCTGGCGGATGCTGCGCCTGCTCTCTCTCTCTCTCCCTCTTTTTCTCTCCCTTTCTCTTTCCAGCGAACGCGTCCATATCGAGCCTTTGCCGGGACACGTGTTCCGCTTCTTCTTCGCCCTCTCCCTCTCTTCTCTTCCTCTTCGTCTTCGTCTTCGGGCTCTTCCTCGACCCTCTGCTAGACTCTCTTTCAGTAGCGCTTTGCGCTCACCCGCGAGCGCGAGGACCGAGATCGCTCGATTAACAATTGTTTATTAATAATCAACTGGGTGAAAAGTAATCACGGTTAAGTGAACTCGTTAGGTGGCGCCTACCTAAATTGGCGATTATTTATTAAAAATCAACGAGAAAATAATAATCACACCGAATAACTCGCTCTCCCTCCTTTGACAATTGCATATTAAGGATCGACGAGAGAAGGGGAAAAAAAAAAATTAATCGCAGCGAGAAACCTCGGAAATTCAGCGGGATCGATTATCCCGGGAATCGCGGAATAAGGACTCTTTCGTCGCCTGTATGTCTCCCTCTATTTTTTTTTAATATCTTTCTTTTTTTGCCAGGAAAGGGGGAAGGCATTCTTTTTTCTCCCCTTTTCTTAACCGTGCCTGCACGCGTCGATGGAATTACCGGGTCGTGCCGCGAATGCACATCGACTTGCGGCAGATTAATAAAAGGTTTCGGGGGGGGTGGGTGGGGGGGCTAGGGGGAGGGGGCCTTGTTGTACCTCGTTGTACCTCGGCAGACATTTCCCGTGTACGCGATCGAAATTTCAATCCGAGCTGTGATTCGTCGTCGATGGGATTTCTGACGCGTGGCCATGCCGTCCCTTATCAGCGGTGATCGATAGCGTCATCCGGGGAGACGTTATATCTCGTTATCAGGAAATTCTCTCGAGGGAGGTTTTTCGAGGAGTTTGGGAGTAAATTGGAATAATCGAGGGAAGGTGAGAAAAAAGGGTCGCAATGACGAAGTGCTGCGGCGGTTGCGTCGAGGATTATCAGCGGACCTCCGAGGCTTATCAACCCCTGCAGAGCTTTGGGTCCTTTAGGGGGCCCAAGAGCCCCCGCGAACAGGGGAGGAAATTCGGAGGACGCTACGACGTCGTCCGGGTGCCCGGGGGGCTGAGGTAAGGGGTCAGGTTTTTCGGGAAAATTCGGGAAATATGTAAAACTTGAACGTTCATACTTTGGAGATTTTCTTGTCAGTAGAGGAAGATCTAACGTGTTTCCGTTTTTTTTTTTTCTGCTTGCAGCTCCAGGTGCAGCTCCAGGTGAGTCCAGAACATCCCGGCTGGAAAAGTTACCCCCGGTCGACGAGGCCCGGGAAAATTCCCGGAGTTTGCGTCCTGCGTGTCGAAAATCGAGTTTCCATCATCCCCGTGACAAAGTTAACCTGGCGGGGGGTCCTCGGCCGTTACGGCCTCGAGTCCCGAAAGTTGGATGGACTGGATTAATTCACCTCCCGAGGTCCCTCGGGACCTCGTCTCCCGACGTTAAGGAGACGAGGAACTCGTTCGCCTCCTCTTTCACTCTCTTTTGTTTCCCTCCCTCATTTTTCCTCACTAAGGCGAAATCACCTCCCTGCCCGTTCTTCCCACTTCCCGCGTTTCCCGGAAGAGGAGGAAACCTTGTCCAGATTCTGATAACCCGGGTGATAAGACGAATAAAAATCCAGGTCCATTGCCCACTGTTACCGAATGTTGGCAAATTTTTTTTTTTTTTTCTTTAACTATTACTATGATTTCTTAACGGATTACCGCGAGATCTCGCGTCGCCCGTTATCACTCGAGATCCTATTTCTCCCGCGGCCTTCCTGGGCCGGCGATTCACGAAGGCCGCCCACCGCAGGAATTCGCGAATAATTCTCCCTCGGGAACCGGCTCGGCCCCTCTGCCGATTATTTTCGAGCCAGCTGCGCCGACGAGAGGGCCGAGCGTTGTTGCGGTTCATCTCGAGATGCAGCAACGAGAGAGGGGGGGGGGGGGGCATTACCTCGGTGCATGTGCATCGTAATCCCGGCCGAGCGATGCACCCGGCGGTCCAACGGGATCCGATACTACACGTGTCCTCGAGAGGCGCGATAACGGAGGTACGATGAAATGAGAAAAGAAAAAATTGACATCGGGCCAACCTCCCCCTCCCCCTGCAATTTGACCCCTCACCCCCGCGTCTAGATCCCGGGAAAGGGGTGAGTCCTGCAGCTGGGGTGGACTCGTTAGAGGGGAGTGCCTAAATCTGCCCTTTCCTCTTTTTTTTCCGTTTTTTTTCCCTCTAGCTCTCCCAGGACGATCCCTCCCGTCTCGAGATGCGCCGAAGATGTCGCACTTTAAGTCCTGATAACGATATCGATTTGAGGTCCGATTAGAGATCGGCTTGATGTCGGTCCATAGGTGGGTGAGATACCTTGATTGGGATCCTCAGACCCCCGAGGACTGCCCTGAAATGGGCGATTCGCCTTATCGGAGGGGCTGATTAGGGGGACACCCCTAGATGCGACCTTATCAATGCTCCCGGCAATCGGGCCGAGTCGAGGATCACGCGCTAATGCGTCCCCGAGATTCGATCTATTAATTTGGGGTGGGGGATTTTAATTGTGACTTCTCGGGATACTAAACCCCCTCCCTCCCCTCTTTCCTGGTGTGATAATTGGCCGAGATCATACCCGGCTTGCGCGCAACTCTCGGATAGACTCGGCTCGACTCGGCTCGACTCGGCGCGACGCCGCCCGCTCGGTTCAGTCGCGTCGCAGCGCTCGACGGCGCTCGTCGCTCCTCGACGTCGACCGACGTTATCGGAGGTGCTCGTGATAGTGCAGTTTGCGTGGTATATCTAAGGAAAGGAAGAAGCACCCTAAAAACCCGACGAATAGTGGAGGGTGCGACACCGAAGGTGTCTCCTTCTCTTTCCGGAGGAATATCCTCGCACTTTCTTTCGTTATCTTTTTTCTACTTTTTTTTTATCGTTTAATTGTTACCCACTTTCCTTTACTATCCGCTTCTTTCTATTTTTTTTTTTTTTTTTTAATAGTCACTCCTTACGATTTATCTATCTTTTCGTGAGATTCATTGATAGCGAGCAAAAAGGGAAGTCGGTGATCGTGGAGGTCGATCGAGTCGATCGATCTTACAGAGGGTGGTAGTGATTAATCGATTAATCGCGGAGATCGGATTCGGGGCGTCGCGACGGCCTTGACGGTCGGTCCCGGTCGGTGTCGGTGAAAGTGGGCTAGTGATAAGCGAGTGATTGTACCGAATCCACCTGACGCGAGGAGATTGCGGCCGGGTCGCCATCGATCGCTATCGACCCCCATCGATCCCCAGAGGTGGCGGCCGATCGATCGATCCCCGCCGCCACTCCCGCACGCTGGACCCCGGGTGAGTGTCGCGCCTTCTCTTATCACCTCCTTCTGATATCCATACATGTGATCTTGGCAAACCCCTTCGTCGAATTGACCCCGCGAGATCTCTCCCGACTTTCCCAGGTGAGATTCGCCCCCCTCTTGTCAAACGTCATAAAAACGGATGCATAAATTCCCGACTATCAGGGGGCGCGATTACGTCGACTAGGAGAGGCGCTTATCTCTCGCCCTCCGCGATAGAGAATTTTCCCGGATTTCTTCCCCAGGACCGAAGTCCCTTTTCCGGCTCTCCGGGCCCGGAAGTGAGACGAGAAACTCCGTATCCTCGGCTGGCGGGGGGGCTCGACCCCCCTCGAATGCTTTTCTCGGATTCCCACCCCGTGCCCCCTTTTGGGGCGATTCCACGAGCTCTCTCGTTCATTCGAGTCACGCGCTAGGAAAAAGTCGACGGTATCCCCGATAACCCCCTACCCTCCTCCTCCTCGTCTCTTTGCAAGAGGGACGATACCCTCTCACCCCCCGGTGCCCCCCTTCTCCTTGATATGCCAGTCGGGGGCTGCATGGACCGACGGATAGCCGGCTCGCCGTCCTAGGAGATCCTGGGGGGAGGGCAGTGGGGGGGTTCCCTCCTGTCGGAAAATGGGTACCTCGGTCCTCGTTATCAGGGAACGGGGGGGCCGGAACATCTCGAGGAGAGACGTCAAACCCGCCTTAAGACTCCCTAGGGATCCCTCCCTTCCATCTCCTGTACGCGGAAAATCCTCGATATGCTCGCGGAGGAAATCCGAATGCGCTTTTCCGATCGCCGGGATTTGCGGGAAATTGGGGGGGAGGGTGGTTCTTTTTTTTTTCGCTTTTTTTTTCCCTTGCGGAAGTTGACGCCCCTCATTTTTTCTCCCGTTTAAGCGATCCCTGGGGGGTAATTGGCCGGGAAGGGATAGGGGAAAAAAAAACTGGGGTGGCGAAACGCGCAACCTGGTGCATTTGCCCCCGCCCCCACAGTCCCACCTTTTGGTGCAGCTGATGCAGCGCGTCTCGAGAGCGCCGCCTCGAGTGCGCGGCACCGCATCCGGGACTCCCCCGGTGGATATCCGATGGCCCCGTCGCGGTTTTCGCGGGAGTCCTGAAATCGACGAAAGGTCGATCCGGCCCCCGCATTAATTAAATTGCCTCCGCTGGGGGGGGGGGGGGGATTAAACGAGGATTCGCGCGGTCAGCTACGGCCCTCTCGATTCCTGGAGCGCGGCCGGGTCCCCGGGGAAATTGGTTTTCGCGGCGAGTGCCGGAAAAGGGTGCCCTCCCCGCAGTGCGATCGAAAGAGGAGCGGGGAATAAAAAAGGAACATGGAAATCGAAGGAACCGAGAGGGCGTAACACACACTTCTCCTCGCAGGAGTCATTCCCTCCCTCTCCTCTCCTTTTTTTTTTCTCCCGTCTCCTATCCGAAAGAAATTCCGGTAATTGGGTTTGCCTTTTGCTTCGACATGCGCGAGGTTTCCAGGATGAGGGGGGTGGGGTACGACCGCAATCGCGTTTAATCAAGGGTCATCGGGATATCCGCGGCGGTTTCGCGCGGATTAGTCGGTCGTCATCAAATATGGGATCCACGTGGGTTTTGATTGGGGAGGGGGTGGGGGGCATTAAATCGATCGGCAGTTCTCCCCAACTCTCTTCAACCCCTTGACGAACCGACGGCGGTGTCCTGGACGGCGAAATTCGGGATCGCGTTATCTGTCCCCCGTATGCCGTTAAATTCCTGGAATTTTATATGTTTAATGATTAATTCGTAATCTCTTCTGTGTTTATTAATTCCTCGAATTTTTTTTCCTAACCCACCCCCGTCGGTCGCATCTAATCGCGGGTTGAGTCGGAAAACTCGATGAATCGGTGTGTCCGTCCAGGAATTTTCCCTCCCGCCGTTTTCCGCGGTCTCGCACCGTGGGATATCACGCGTGTCCCCCGTCCGAAAGAGGGACGTAGGGGATATCGAATTAAGCCGGTGCGAGGCTCGTTTCCGCGTTTTCCGAGTTTTCGCCACCCCCTCCCGCGTCGAAGCTCCCCCTCCGCGGAAAATCGCTCGACCCGGAACCCACGCACCTGCCGAACGCGGGCCGGCCCGCTGCACATTGCGCATATTGCACCAGGCAAACACCCCCCCGCCCTCTCCCCCCATTGCGAATTTTGCAAATTTCCCGGATATTGCGCGTAATAGATTTCCCGGGGTGGGGCGCGCGACGGGGGGTGGGTGTTGTTCTTTTTTTTTCCTCTTTCATCCCCGAATGAGGGGCGCGTTTCAATTCGCGGTAGGCGTTCGTCTCGTACATCGCCCTCGCGGCCCTTATCACGATTGCGTACATTAATTTCTCGAGGGATTTGATGAATTCTGACGGAGACAGTGAGGGAGGTTTTTCTTTTTCGTTTTCTTGACGATGTTGCACTTTTCGACCACGGATGAGGGGGGGATTTGAATTCGCCCCCGGGGGGTGAAAAGGGTGCGGAATGAGGCCTGCTTGGAAATGCACCCTCGACCCCCCGGAACAACCCCCGCCGGTGAATGCGCGCACGCTTCCGGGATGAAAGGACACCCCGGTTATTTCCAAGGTGCGGACTCCCTCCCCCCACGGAAAGGGGGAGAGGGTCATTTCGGAAACTGGGGCAATTCCGCGGTCCCCGGCAAATACGAAAAGTTTGGCCCGCCGCTTGTTGCGGCTCTTCAGAAAGATCTCGGGAAGGATGGGGGGGCATGCCCCCCTCATTAGCCTCTCTAGGGAGGTTTTTCTGAATTTCCGGAGTTTCCCCGATTTTACCCGGATTTCCTTCGTTTTAATTTCTTTTCAACGGGGCGCTCTTGGTACGAAACTCTCACTCGGGGGTGCGATCTTGGGGAAGGGGGCAACTCCACCCCCGATCGGTC